AAGGCCTATATTCTCGAATAGCATGAGTGCATTTTGGGGAAGACCTAAGGCCTATTATAGGTTATTTAATTTTGTTTTCAATTCAACCAGTGTGTACACCCTTTCACTATCAGGCTGCGGCATGAATATTATATCTCAAAATAGTAAAAGATAACTTTTATGGTATACATGAATGGAAGAGTACAAATGAAAAAGTTTAGCCGGAGAGGAGTTTCAAGAAAGTTCGGCTTGAACTTGTTAAATGCAATGTTTGGAAACGACGTTTTTCTTGTACAGTCGTGCAGCGCCGTCTACGTTTAATACTCACTTTGTCAATGTAGGTTTCTCTGTTGATAAGTTTCTAATGTTAATTGTTTTATACTCAATCAGCATGATCTGGAAAGTCAGGCAAAATTGGGTCTAATTTGACATTTTACAAGAAACACCATATTTTAAGGGAAGTGACATTATTTTGTACGATCTTTATTTCGTCAAAGATAGGGTTAATGCGCTTATAATAATGTTTGAAGTTAAAGGTTTAGTGGTAAGTACTTTAATCATGGTTAGTTGTAGTGTTGGGTCCAGGCAGTTTGGTCAAGGTTTGAAGTTAGGATTTCATCTCTAGCGTATATAATTGGGCATGGGGCGATCGGCGTCGGAGTTGAGAGTTAGACCCGTATATTAATTTTGAAATGAAGCTATACGAGGCAGCAGGCGCGTACGCAGGATTTGTTCAAGGGGGAGGGGGGGGGGGGGGGGGGGGGGGGTTAACATTTGTAGACGCTTTTTTTTTTTTTTTTTTGTCTCGAAATTTGAAAAATTGACATATTTTGGCTCCGTTGGGGGGGGGGGGGGGTAAGGTCAACTTTTTAGGTCAGCCATGGGAATATATATATATATTTTTTTTAATAATAAAAAAAAAAAAAAAAAAAAAAAAAAAAAGGGGGGGGGGGGGGTAGGGGGTTTAGGGGGGGGGGTTACACACATAAAAATACCAAAGGGGGGTTTAACCACCCAATCCCCCCCCCTGTGTACGCGCCTGCGAGGCAGATAGTTATTAAATTATTTGGCAAGAGAAAGTCATAGATTTGGTGATACTAGCCATATCTAATCTCAAAGTTACTACCCCCCCCCCCCCCAATGAACTTGATTAATCTGACTAGCAGCACCAAATATTTCTTACTTTTAAAAAAAGAGTGTATAATATATCAAAAATCCTTCATATTCATTTTGTAGCCTTGTAAACGGTATACCACGAATACAATTTAAGCTACTGAAGATAACAAAATAATGAGCGACTTTGAGTAATAAAATAATTTATCAGGGACGGAGATGAAAGAGAAAATTCTCAGTATTTCAACCACTGATCTCTGCAATTTTTTCCCCGTAGATCGAGATCAGTGGTCTCCGACGGGGTTGAATTCTATTATCTCCTGGATCAATTCGCTTCGGTCTAGCCATTATGATTTAGTGGTGCCAGTGGGCCCTCCATGGTGTCTGAAAGAGAGGATGGGGAGGGGGGGGGGGATGACTGCTTGAATAATGATATGCTATTGAGTCAGGGAAGCCAGGTAGTAGTCATATTTTCAGTGCCTCCTCTCTCCCATTTTTTCAATTTTCCCTCTTTTCCCTTTCTTCAAATTTTACGCCATTTGATTTGGTGGAATTAAGGCACACGCTAGTGTGTCTGGCAATATATTTCGTGCAGTTAAATATACCACTTTTTAACAGGTCTATATGCTTTCTTTCAAGAACCCTTAATTCGGCTGAGCTATATAGCTACAAAGGCATTAACTCTACTAAAGTAGCTCTTCCTACCTCCCCTCCCTCCTTTACTACTATCAGTGGCGTAATGAGCAAAAACTTTTTTTTTTGGGGGGGGGGGGGGGGGGGGGCAGGAAAAAAAAATCGGCATCACCCCAGGTGGCAAAATGGGCAATTATTTTTTAAGGGGGGATACAGATATTGACGAAAACAGTCGAAATTTGGGCCTACAATCTACGATTTAGCTATGGCGTACTGTTTTTTGTTATGTTGATTATTCGTGAAGCTAGAGTACTTTGCATCTACCCACTATCACAAATTACTTGATTGCTTACATTAACTTTGAGTAATGAGATTATAAGTTAATATCCTACACATTATCCAGGGGCGGTGGAGCGTCTTACAAAGTGAAGGGAGGCACCAACAAAAAGGGGCACTTTCTGAAAAATGGGCACCTACACATTAAGGGAAACCTAAAAGTGAGGTGTTTAACATTGCACCTACACATTAAGGGAAACCTAAAAGTGAGATGTTTAACATTGGTATACCCCTACATTGTGATTACATTATCAGGGATGATTTCAATGTTTGTTTCTCTCTTTACATGGTTCAAGTTACCAGTTAAGCATTATCAGTAATTTGCAGTTGGGTGTGATGGTCTGAATATATAGGATTTCCCGGCCAAATTCGCGAGTTTGTCATTCGAATTAATTTGTCTTGCGTTCAAATTCGACGGTTTTAGTGCAGTTAGGTATATCTCGGGTTTATATTCCCTTTTCTAGTTTTCAAATCTACGGAATTTTCGTTAGAATCTACGTATGTTTCATTCAAATTAACGAACATTGTGCTTCTTTCGCCATTTGGTCATTCAATTTGGCGCAACACGATTTTCTGACAACGCGACGATGTACTTCTAGCATTCTAATTAATTTGTAGCATTCAAATTAGCACTTTGTGCACTTAAATTGATGGTCATTATACATTTCTCGTTTATTACACACTTTTTATAGCTCATTCTTTTTCTTTCAAGATTGTTTTTTCATGTGTATTTCATCATATTTCATTTTTTTGCATTTATACACTTATACTTATTAGATCTATCTGATATTCATCAGCATTTAAGTTTGATTATTAAGAAGAAAAAAACGACTTGTATCTACGGACGTGATGGTCTCAGTATATTTGTAAACGTTTATGTAAGGAAGTTGTTTGTCTTATAATAAAATAAATTTATCATAATTTCATCATAATTTCATCATGGAAGAAGGGTACAATATTGTGACTGGGGTGGGGACTAGAGTCAACAATTTGAACATGATTCATTATTTAGCCATGTCTATAGCCATCGATCTGCTGGCGGGCAAGTAAACTATGAAACTCTTTAAGAAAAACAGAGGGGTGTGCTGGGTATAAGAGACGATGTGAATTACTTTTGTAAAATTCCGAGTCTGTAGTAAAAAGGGGCGATTGAGGGTACCCCCACATTTCCCGGGTAGTTGAACATGTCCGTACAGAAATGCCATATCCCTTGATTTCGCCCCTTCTTTACTTTATGTCTGATTACATCCATCTGCATTGTCCTGAAAATAAATAAATGGATTAACAGCTTAGAACCCAATGAAAAATCATGCATTTTAACTGCATTATTTAAAAACTGTAAAAGTTTGTTGCAATTCTTCCCCCTAACATTCCTAACTTGAATAAAAATATTACGAATACGAATTTGAATGATAAAAATTACGCTTCGACAAGTGCAGGGCTTGAATTAATCCAAGGCCACCAAGGCCATGGCCTTGGATGCCCCTTTGATTGGCCTCAATGCCCTTCTCATTGGCCTTGGAGATTTTTTGTGCCCTTTCCAATTCTTCCTATTTGTGCTGTAATATAGGAATGTGCCCTACAGAAAAGTGGCCTTGCCCTAAAAATATTGAAATTTACGGCCTGCAAGTGAATATTAATTTGAATGCTAGTTAAGCAGTTTCTAAATTGAATGACAGATCTATGAAACCCTTCGACCAAAATCCTAAATTAAATACAAAAGCTGGAAAATTGAATGATAATTGGCATGGCAAAGCCAATCTGCGCTAACTTAAATGCAAAGTAAATTAATTCGAATGACAAACACGCGAATTTGGCCGGGAAATCCTATATTTATTTGCGAGCGAGCAAAAATTGCCAGATGTGTGAGGTCGCAGTGCGAAAAACTACATCTTATAAAGACGAAAACACAATTTTGATTGGGCTTTAAGCACAATCTAATCATGAAAGACTTAAAAATATCAAATAAGAAACATAATTATATCAACTTTGAGAGCGAGCAGAGCGAGCGAGCTTTGGGCGAAAAAAAAAAATATATACTCTTAGTTGCTTTGAATTATATGAGCAATTTTTATGGTGAAAGGGAAAAGGGGCACATCTCAAAGGGAAATGACACTTATAAGAAAAGGAGCACGTGTCAAAGTAAAAAGGGGAATTATCAGTGGTGAAAATGGGGCACTTCTCGCATCTGATAAGGGTCACTTACTATAGAGATGGAAAATGAGAAAGGTGCATGAGTTGGCTCTTATTTTAAAAAGGGGGCATTTATCCGCAGAAGGAAAAAGGGCCCTCTAATTAGAAAGGGGGCACTTATCAGAGGTGAGAAGGGGCACTCATCAAAGGTAAAAAGGGGCACCGGTTATTATAAAAAAAAGAGGAGGGCACTTGTTAATGGTAAAGTGTTCTGTACTATTTCAATCATATAGCACGTCATTCGCTTCTGTATAGTAGCTCCGCAGACTCTAAAGACTGTTAGCCAATATATAAGCTCTGTACAAGCTTTGCTTTTATTTACGCTCCTTATCATAAAATATTATTTTACATTTTTTCAAATTTTAATTTGTCAAAATATGTATTGTCTCACATATCTGCACTTAGTAATTCTACCCTTTATCTACCCATTTTGTTTTGCTACTCTACAGTTTGTATGATTCTGAATATAATAATATAAATGTTGGGAGCCCCAAATTCGCAAAAAAAAAATTGATGGCAAATTAAGTTAAATTGGATGTGAAAGAGCCAAAGAGGATGTCATTAAAGACACACTTCTACAAAGATCCCTCCAAATGTGTTTGAAGACAAATATTGATAAACTAAGAATACATAATAAATTTGGGTCAGGCTGTTGTACGCAGAAAATCTAAATTTTGTATTTTTTTCATACACGCCGAGCTAGCTGGCATGGCTTTCCACCTCCCTGCTCAGATCAGCTCAATGAACTTTCTGAGAAGTTCTGCGCAAGCGCATCGAAATTATTGAGTTGATGGTCGCCTGCCGACACAGATCCTCCGTCTTTTTGAGATGGTAAGACATGACAACGAATTCTAACATAAACTTTTTTTAATTTAGAAATAAATGTTCATCAGATTACTGAGCAAAACGTCACCATTTGAGATGTATTTCTGGTCGACCTTTTTCGTACGTGAAGATTAAAAACGTGATGTTGTGTGCAGCTGTAATAAATCTACTTTTGCGTAATCTGGTAGAGGCTCTTCCCCCGCCCTTCCCGGGGAAGAATCGGCACCTGCCCGATGACCATTTCCATGTAACAATAAATATCTTGGACTTAGCTTAGTTTGGGATATGTCTTGATGGCGACAGGTTGAAGGGAGAGGGGGGGGGGGGAGGGTTAGCTAGGTACCTTGTTTCTATCAATAACAAAGCTTAAAGTCATGTATTATAATTTAATTAACCTCAATTGTCAAAGTTTTGTTTTGTTGAGAAACGTTGAAGTTGAACTTCAAGTTGCAGTTTCATGTCAAGACTCTAGACTCTACTTGAGTCTTACTCTAGTCTAGAGGTCTATAACTTGTAAGTTCTAACTTAGCCTGAGACTGAGGGACTAAAGTTGCATTGATTTGTGAAGAAAATCTATGAAAAGATTGTAACAGGGTTGTATTATTAATTAGAGATCTAACTTAGATCTATGAAATGATTCTAGAAAAAAAAAAGTTTTAAAAAGGCTTCAAGATGAGACTGGATAAGCACTGGTGGTCTGAGCGATTCAAATTAAGTTAATTTGATATGATCGAAACCGTCCCAACTCTGCGCATGTGCAATAAGTTAAATCTAGAACTTAACCAACCCTGAAGAAGTGACCGAGGATTACAGGATCTACCTCTCCTCGTATCATGATGATGATGATGATGATGATGATGAAAATATTCTTAAATTTGGAGATGGTGATGTATTTCTACTGCATCTTGTTATTCCCACGCATATATGGGAGTTGCATTGTTTAGAAAACTCTCAAGGGAAAATGTCAATAACAATGTCACAGGGATCATTAGTTTAAGGCAGCCATCAATGAAGGACTACTACAAGTCTACAACGAATTTGATTGACTGTAATAACTCCCATTGCCACATGTTTCAGGAGCGTCATGATGGTGCTTCTGTATTGTAAACCAAGAGATTTCAGCGTTAGAACGGGATCCTATGACTATGAAGGTTTAAAATGAGTTAAAAATTTGACATAAAGCCATTCATATTTGTGATAATGTATGGATAACGTACATGTACAAGATGTTGCATATTGATTATTCTAATGAATTGAAAAACCAATTAAAAATTAAACAAAATTGTAATTTTAACTGCAATTGCCACTTTACTGGAAACCCCATCAAAAAAACATTGCTGTTTGCTAATTTAGTTTTTTCTTGTTATTGTGAGTTGCATCACTTCTCACTGCTCTTGCTCTCTGCTCTGCATGCAATGGCACGGATGTGAGGAGAGTCACACTTGAACCATGGGGTTTTCCCCCATGTTTATAGGTACATGTAGTTGTCAAGTAACCTCCCATCAACTCCAGAATGTGAGAAAACCCCAGGGGGGCGTTTCACAAAACTTGTCATCAGTGACAAATGACAATTTGTGTTATAAGCTACTGAAATCCTTGCTTCTGATTGGTTATCAGCAGATTTGTCACTGATTTTTGTCATTTGTCATTGAAAAAAGGCTTTGTGAAACGCCCCTCAGGGGCAGGGATTTTGCTTTCGGTGTAAATGCATCATATGGGACTGTCCCAAAGATTGTTGATTTGGAAACCTAATCTGACTTTTCCTCCTTGGTATGTTAAAGGGGCTGTATCATGAGGTGTGTCTTTCCCGTGGCCCTTAGGCCAATCGGACGACGTGACCACAGTATTCACGTGCATGCTACATATGCAAAATCAAAGCGTGGGGAAAACTTTGGTCTGTTTCGCGCCCTTTCGCGCCCTCTCACGAACGCTAGCGCGCCATGACTGTTAATCAAGTCCATTCATTTACTTGCCGTTGTCAAAAAGAAGACGCAGATGGCGTCACCCAGCATTTCCCATGCAGCCCCTTTAATATTGACTTTTTTCCTCAAAGTCATGATATTAAGAGGTGAACCTACTTGTGTTAATTACTAAAACATTGAAAGAAGAGTAAGAAAAATGAATCAATGTATTAAATCTTCAAACAATGACAATACCATTTCTAACGGAAATGTGGGCTTTTCCAATTAGTTACATGTGCACAATTGTAAATGTTCATGTGACTATTTCAACAAGTGGTTTTTTTTTCCGGTATCATGAATTAGCCCAAAGACTACTAAAATCTTTTATTCCCACAGGAGCAATCTGATTCATGTAGACAGTAGTTGAAATTCAATCGAACTACAATAAAAGATAAAAAAGATTCTTTATGCAATGACCATTTATAGTTTTTATGGGAACGTGGGCTTTTCTGGAAAGTTACGTGTAAATACACACGTGACTCTTTTAACATCATGCACATGTGGTCTTTTTTCCGGTATCATAAAAAACATCCTCAAGTGGCATTCCAGTTGTCTGACATTTCCCCCAAAACACCTGTTTTGGTGGAAAAGTAAACCAATTCAGAAGGTGGTACTTTGTAAATCAAATCAATAGGATTTATTGCGCAGTTACTATGGGAATATTAAAGTGACCTTTTATGTGGATACCTTAACTTCATTCTTCATATTTGCTACAATTTTTGTTAAGTTTGTAGGAAGTTAATATGATATAATTTTTGCTTGCAGTGTTTTGCACTAAGAAGTCAAAGGAATGCTTTTGATTTTTAATTTTTTATCTGGCTGGAGAAAAATTGATTTCAGCTTTCAAAAGTTTGATTTCGATACTTTATTGCAAAAATAGTCAATCCTGACTGGTTGCTCCCAAAACACAAAAACAAAACAAACAACCAAAACCATTAAATCCTAGTAATGTTGGCTTATGTTGTCTGTTTGAATATAGAATTCATGGCAACATATTTTTACTTGTGTCATTTTGAAAGATCTTGTATTATGTTAAGCTTCATTAAATATACATGTACAGTGTTGTAGGTGATGTTTGGTATTAATCAGGCATAACAGTTATGAATTTGTTGCAAGTTTTCATAATTCTCGTTCAGGAGACTTAATTGCTACACTAATCAAAAACAAAGAAAAGAGTTACATGTAGGTATAGGTGTGGTATATGAGACACACCTGAATTTTGCAAGAAGTAGATAAAGATAAAGATACAATTATCAGAGTACAAACAAACTTTTTAAAGAATTTAAGTTTGAAGTTATTAACATTTTTCCCAAACTATGTACATAAACATGTTATATATACCCCCCTAAAAACTTTAGTATGTGGATGTTTAATCCATTGCCTGTGGGAGGCAGGTGGCTCCTGTATTGTGGCTATTGGGACATAGACCTGTCGTCATCAGCCCTAGTTGGCCTAATAGCCCGCTATTTCGGAGCCGGGAAATTAGCCAGATCACGAAATAGCGTGCTATTCGTCAGGTGAAGACGGAAATACTGGGCTATTTGCTCAGAAATTTTCCCAAGATATCTTGGGCTAGTTTGCAAAATATCCTGCTCACACTATGGGCGAACACTAAGCAAATTTCTCGACTGATGAAGATGCAAGATGTAACTTCGGGCTAATTTCCCGGATCACAAAATAGCGGGCTATTTGGCCAACTTGGGCTGATGAGGACAGACCTAATGAGAACCCAGTAGTCAATGGGTTAATCTAGAACTACAGAGGTACTGTACAAAATATATATGTACACAGACTTAGGGTTGAATCAAGTTCATGGTTGCAGAGGTCACTGTAGATAAAGAAGTTGTGCCCTTGCGAGACATGTGATGACCTCCTTTATACAATGCACACTGTCATTATACGACCAGTAGATATTGTGAAGATGATTCAGTCCCAGACACATGATAGTCTTCAAGAAGGTCATGTCTAACAAAGACGTTTTGATAAAATAACCTTTATTGGCTCCAGTGGTTGAAGCACGTTTCGATGACACTTTAAAGTCTATGTACATGTACATGGTAGGCTAATGATAGGACTGTCCTCATCAGCTCGAGTTTGCCAAATAACCCGCTATTTTCAGACTCGTGGTGTTATCCCGAAGCTTGAAATTGCGTCCTCACCAGACCGATACGCTCATCCCAAACTAGCTCAGACAGGCACAAATTAGCCTGCTATTTCCCAAATAGTGGGATATTTTGGAAACAAGACCGAGATATCTAGGGATATTTTCTCAACCAAATATCCCGCTAATTGCAACTGTGGACTGATGAAGACGCAAATCAACTGGTTAATTTGCGATCGGGATAGTTAAAATAGCGGGTTATTTGGCAAACTCAGTCTGATGGAGACAGGCCTTGAGAGCTCTGAGAATGGGAAATGTGTTTGAACTAACACTTATTGTAAAGCCATACAATGAAGGGAGGGATCTAGGTAGGGAGGGAGGGAAATGAAAAAGAGAGAGAGAGAGAGAGAGAGAGAACTAGATTGTGTTTCCATGATGAAGTCTGTGGAATCCATTTAAAGCCTATCCGCAGTAGTTTGGCCAGGAGGGAATTAGACCTCCCAGCGTGGTCACTAGCTGGTGGTTATCTAATGAAATCAGCTCTCAATTAACATATATAAGAAAGAGGGGACCATGGGGGATCAACGAGTACGGCTTGTTGGCTGTACAGAGGGCGCAAGTAGCTACAAGTAGTGCAGTCCCACTTTTAATTAAAAAAAAAATGGGCAAAGAAGATAGATAGCCTTCATGTGGAGGTGGGCATATTGGCCCGTCTCTAGAAGTTGTGGAGTTATAGTTTTATAGGAAGGAGGATGAAAAAAAGGTGGTGAAAAGTGAGATAGGGGAGCACAAAGTTTCTATCCTGTAGAGCTCTTAAAACCGGCATGGTTGATTAGGGAGTCTGTCATACCAGGGAGATGCGAGTCCCGCACATACAGTTATTTTTCATACCAGCCATAGTCTACAGGCAAAGACTCTTAACTATGGCGGTAGCCTAGCAGAGCCGGGGTAATATTGGAGCGCTTTGAGCACCTTGCAGGGTGGATATGTGCGTTATATAAATATCCAATATTATTATTATTATGGCAGGCTGTTCATACCATTGTTTGCTCTCACCTTTAACCATTTACTGGCATTGATCTCTCAAGAGGCGTACAAATCGTGGTCACAAATCTACAGAATTTACATTTTTTGCAGGAAAAAATATTATCTAAAGATCATAATTGATATACCATTGGCGAGAGCAACCAGTGGCATGAATGGCCTGCCATATTTAAGTCCAACTTAAAGTCTATATATTAGTCTTTGTGAAACACTCCCCAGGAATCAGATAGTTTACAGGCAATAACCCTGGTTACAGTAGTCGTTGTGTATGTGTTACAGTGTCTGCACAGTGAGACTAGGCTGACATCATACTGCATAGGCTCTGTATTTATAAGCTCCCCAGACACAACGCAAGACTGACCAAGCAAGGCTCTGCTCAAGGCTTTAGGAATAAGCGAGTTCGTAAATAGCTCTGGACCGTATGACCCCAAAATATCCACAGATCTTAGACACGATGGATACTTCCCACCTGTGCATTTTAGAATCACTGCCAAAGTGATGGAGGTGCTTCATGAATACCTTTTGTTTGCCTCTTGAGAAGAATACTTCCACCTGTGTATCAAATAAATGTACTGTTGGTGCATAAATGAATACTGATTACATAACTTTCATGAGCACAATCCGAGTATTTGTCTCAATGGTTTTACAATTGGGGTACGAATGACCTTTATCTGCCCATGCGCAAATCCTATTACGAACTCGCTTATTGTGGTAGAGTTTAATGAGAGTCTGTGCTAGCAGACTAGGAATCAGACACAATCACTGCTGTGATCTCATTGGTCCTTGAGATTGAAAGGGGGTGTGAGATGGCCTTATTTGGCAAACGATAAGCATGGCTGGAGCGCCATGCAAGTATAGATTACATGCTGTTTCTCGTTCTACTAGAACCTACGCAGGCTTTATAGAGAAACACCACAAGGGTAAAGATATATTTAGGAAACCTGTTGCGATTTGACGTCAGAATAGAAGTTAGAACTTGCTGGAGTGCGGACAGACTGCACATGCTTTATACCAATCAGCATCTCCTACCTATAACTACCTGATTTGTTCACTGTAGGATCATTCAATTTGAGTCCATTTCTTTTTCAACTTGACGTTCCATTCCAGATTCATCGTGACGAGCATTTCAAGTTTTCTACAAAGCAACTCTGCTGAGCTGATCTTCACAATATTAAAGAAGAGGAGTTGGAATTTCAAGCGGTTCCTTTTTGGGGCACCCAGACCCAGAGGAAATCTTAGCTGAGAAGAACAAGAGGAGAAAGGGAGGAGGAGTAGGAGGAGGAAGAAGAAGAGAAGAAGAGAAGAGAAGGAGGAGGAGTAGGAGTAAAAGGAGAAGTAAGAGGAGGATAGAGATGGAGGGGTTAAAAGGACTGATCGTGGCAATCTTTGCCTCTATGGCAGTATTAGTATACAGTGGATCAGCGCAACTTCAGACAAGGTAGGACAAATTTCAAAAGAATAAATATGAGAGGAAACTAGATAAGTAATTACAGTACATTAACTTCTTGTCTTGATCTTTATTGAAAATTGATTAAGGGAAAATCTAGCTAACATCGTGATTTAGAATTTTCTTTAAAACTGTTGCATGATACTCAAACTTGTTGTTCAGAGAGAGAGATTTGTGCAAATAGTGGTGTTTTAATTATAGTCTTTATTTTAAAGAAAAAGAGATGAATGCTAAATTTCACAGCACAGTATACGCGATTACGTTGTTCATATTTTTTAGACAAATTAAATGTTGACATCTATATCAAATCAATAGTAGTGGTTATGGAGTATGAAATAAATAATTTTTTATCTGACTAAATACAATTTACGGGGAACAAAACTCACAATGTAATAAAGAAACATTAAAATTACAAGCACAGGTACATCAATCATGCTACAGCATTTTTATATTTGTTTAGATGTCCAACTCATCTCCTTTGTGAAATGATAAGAACTATTGGAATGCTTGTTTTTTTAAGAAAAGACCTACGTACATACACTAGAAACAGGAAAAAGCAATATATATTTTGCAATGTCGATTGTTTATTTATTATATTGTTGTTAGCATCCTTGAGGGATTTTCACAATTGACTGGTAAAACAAATGGGGCATGCCATGATGACTGAGAGATGATGAGCATCACTGATTCTTTACAATGAAAGGATAATAGATTCACCAGCTTAAATCATGAATGAAGTGGTTTACAATTCATAGTTATTGCTGAGTTGATCATCTTTTCATCTGAAATAGACAAATTTGTTGTGACTGTATTGGTTTGTCACAATGTACATGTATAGAGTGATTCTAAGAAGTCATTAGTCATTACTCAATTTTATGATGTACATGTACGAGTAGTTATAGATGATGTTTACTATCAAATGTACACAAAATGTATTAAGGTATTACTAAAAAGTGGAATATTAAATAACAATGATATTTTACTCAACAGTGAAATATTGTAAGATATAGCGCCTTTTCATTGCGGTTACAAAGCGCTGCAAACACCGCTCCACAGAGTGCTTTGTCTCAAGGTTGATCATTTTAACAAAACAGAACAATCGAAAAAAGGTAGTTAAATTGTATTGGATTTATATTTTAATATCAGATAAGAGATGAAAGTTTGTAGTAAGCTGCATCGATTTTTAAATATTTTGTGTGTGGCGAGAGGGGCCCTTCCAAGACAGAATACCCCAAATACTGGGTTTACTAAATAAATTGAAGTATTCTCTGGTGGTGGAAAAGTGTGTAAAATCCTTTGTCCTTGGGAAGTTTTGAACAAGAGTTTTTGCATACATCGTTTGAAGATGACCTTGTTTTCTCTACATTTGGCAAATTCATGAAAATGACTGTTATTATCTTCATAAATCCTTAAAAACATATTGCTCTGTATGTTTACCATCAAATTAGCATTTCTTCCAAAAACATTTTTAGACTGATTTTGCATCTTGTAATTTCAACGGGAAACGATTTGTTTCACCCCAAATACTGTCAGTTTGTTAGCTCTGCACTGTGAGAAATAAAAGTCACTTTGCCGGTCATGGTCCTTTGATCATAAGGCATGCTAATTCTTTATCTAAATTTGTGTAATTGTTGTTTAAACAGTATCACGTAGGTGCAGGAATTACCTAGCAAGTTTTTACTAATTATCGTACGTCTGCAGATCTTTGTTATTTAATTCCTAATCTTTGTGAGTGCCAGCCAGCAAGTCTAACTAACCTTCCTCTCTCGGATAAGTCCTCTTTGCTTAAAAGTAAATTCATTACTTACAGACTAAGCAATGAAAAGACCAGAGCACTGAAACGAATGACTGCTCATAGAGGTTACACAGCTTTTGTATCTCGACTAGCAGTCATTTGTGTCTCCTCTTTAGTCAATTTCCAAGTGTCAATACATGTACAACCCAATCAAAGAAATGCATTTTATGTATTGTCTGGAGCATTTGCCCACCCAATAGCACTTCTATTCAAATTGCCGCAGCAAATACCGCCAGTCAGCCTTACTGATTGAAAGTTCGGAAGCCGTATGATGCAAAACTATACAAGTTCTGTTGACTATGTTCGGAAGAGTTCAAAGTGTTGAGGGTGGTAGCTCTTCAAAGCTGACTTACAAATTTGCGGGAAATCACTTAAGTATCTGTTGATTTTAGAGTCTATGGATGACGCCGCCGCGAATGGTGTATGCTATGTATGTGTGAATAACCTTCCTTAGCCCTCAGCACGTGGCCTTTATGACTACAGGAAGTTTGTCTGCGACCACAGACAGATCAAAGAATATACTCACACTAAACTATCAGAAGCCCCTTGGAACCATTCACAAATATGAGATGGAACCATGAAAGTAGGCCAGATATTTCTGAATAAATGAGGCCAATCACAGAATTTTTTTTTACTAGAAGATATAAAATTATCCCCAAACTCTTATGAGTCAAATGAAGGAATAAAGGGCACAAAGAGACTAAAAAGATTTGATGTAAAGCTATTCTGCCATGAGATTTCACATCAATTATTGTAAAGAAAGTGTCAATAGTCAAAGAAGTTTTAATTTTCCACCGATGGGTATGGTCTTATGGAAAGGATTGACGTGGATTAGCAACTACAGTGTAGATATTTTGTAAAAATGGTCTATTAAACTGTACATGTACTCACTGGAAGATGTTGCAATATGATGTTCTCATTATGATTTTGTTCTGAACAATATGAAACATGCGCTATTTTTCTATGCAGAATCCCACCGTAGACATCATAAGGATAACACACATACTGTACATGTATAACATCACGGTAGACCCTAGAACAGATACTAAAGCACGTCGAAAATGGTTTTGAGCGGTTCAGTGACTAAAAGGAGGGGTGTTTTCGAGTGGGTTCAGCAGGGCTCCACACTTAAATTTTTCTAAAGGGGCCCGGATTGGACTTTTTACAATCTGTATGCATGAGCCCTTTGGAAAAACTTCAAAATCTTAGTCCCGGGCCCATGTGTTCCGGGCACCTGTTGGTATTCTGCCCTACCTATGGGTATGGAAGGGGTTAACGAAAAATTAGAGAATAACGGAATAAAGTCTACAATTTTTTTTAGAAAACTGAGGAAATAAGGAGATTGACATCGATTCATAAGTACTTAGAGAGAGAGAAAGAGAAAGAAAAAATAGAGAGAGAGAGAAAGAGAGAGTTTTGATCAAGACTATATTTTTCACTGTGAGAAGAGTTCAGGTTAACTTGTAGTTAAACTGTACGTGAAAGTAACATATAGGCCCAAACATAGTTTGTATATCTGTAAATCAGAACAATTTCTCTGAATTATTTCCATTTCATGGTTAGCTGGAGTCTGCTGGACAATTGTCTGAAAAGAATTGTATCAAGCACTGAAACTGTCTCTCAAGTCAAATACCATCAATTGAAGCGGCACTGTCATAACAACCTCTACTGTTTGCTCAAAGACTAATTCTCTTTTGACAGACAAATGTGAACTTTTGGGGATGTTTTGTGTTTGTTGCAGAGAATGATTTGAATACAATGTATTCCTTTGTGAGTAATTATGACAGTGACAGTTCAGCTTTACAGTTTCCAGACTTGAACTTTGTTGATGTATTCATTCAAAATCCAATGTTGAGATAAGAATGAAAATTGTAGATGTAGATTCTTGGGTTTTGTATTTTATGCATGATAGATTCAAATGACACTGTAGTGTAATTTCTCTCACAAAAGTATGTTATACATGTATATAATACCATAAAAAACAATCTACAGGAAAGGGAGAATATTTGCATACAATGATAATTTTGAGTGTTTAAATTCTTTCTTCTCAAACTCTTTTTTTTGGGTAATGTATTTGATTGAATATGTTTTGAAATGTGGGTGTGTTATCCTATTGAACATGTACAATGACTTATTACCGGTACACTCCTTCACTTTACTCTGTAATCTTATACTCTATACCACATACACATGTACGTTCATGTTTATAATGTAACTTACTTGCCAACGATAACAATTATCCAATCGATTTTGTTTCTAATAATTGATAGTAATGAGGTTCATGTACTTTTATTGCCCAAAATTTAAAAGGGTTGGAAAAACAAATTTCTCCTGTTCATGGTTATAGTAACACACACAATACCATACACGATATCCACTAGAATATGTTCGTTATTCTCCCATCTATATTTGACTTCTCAATGTTATAACCTTATTTGTGTACAATAGGACTTTTCACAAGCTACTTTTAATAGCTGATTAGCTAGACTTCAACTATAATGTGTGAATTATGTTAAGCACATAGAAACAATTTGTACATTATTTTAGCACTATATAAATGATAACTATCATAATGACCATTTTGGTTTATTTTTGCAGAGAGAAGATCTTCATCACGGCCCCCAATGTGTTTCGAGTTGGAGTGAATGAGACTGTGACGGTGTCTGTATTCAACACAGATCAAGACCAAGATGTTGAGGTTACTATCTACCTTGAGAAGAGAGAAAGGACGAGAGGACTAGCATGGCCGTATTCATATACTACCGTTGCAGTACGCAGAGGTGAGTCTCTGTAATGAAGGATGATGATGATGATGAGGAAGAGGATGATGACAATGGTGATGGTGGTGGTGGTTATGGTGGCAGTGGTAATGATGGTGACTGTTATTGGTGTGTTATTGGTGTAGGAAGTGGAAGTGATAGAGTGGAAGTGGAAGTGGTAGTGGAAGTGGTAGTGGTAATTGTTGAGATAGTGGAAGTGATAGAGTGGAAGTGGAAGTGGTAGTGGAAGTGGTAGTGATATTTGTTGAGATAGTGGAAGTGATAGAGTGGAAGTGGAAGTGGTAGTGATATTTGTTGAGGTAGTGGAAGTGATAGAGTGGAAGTGGAAGTGGTAGTGGAAGTGGTAGTGATATTTGTTGAGATAGTGGAAGTGATAGAGTGGAAGTGGAAGTGGTAGTGATATTTGTTGAGGTAGTGGAAGTGATAGAGTGGAAGTGGAAGTGGTAGTGGAAGTGGTAGTGATATTTGTTGAGATAGTGGAAGTGATAGAGTGGAAGTGGAAGTGGTAGTGATATTTGTTGAGGTAGTGGAAGTGATAGAGTGGAAGTGGAAGTGGTAGTGGAAGTGATAGAGTGGTATTGGTAGGGATAGGGGAAATAACAGGGTATTGATTGTGGTAGTAATTGTAGTGATAGTGATAATAGTAATAGTAGTGGTAGCAGAAGACAAAGAAGACAAGGAAGACGAAGAGGAGGATGAGGAGGATGGGGAGGGGAGGGGAGGAGGAGGAGGAGGAGGAGGAGGAGGAGGAGGAGGAGGAAGAGGAGGAGAAGAGAGAGAGAGAGAGAGAGAGAGAGAGAGAGAGAGAGAGAGAGAGAGAGAGAAAGAGGGGGGAAGAGGGGGGAGGAGGAGGAGGGGGGGGGGGGAGGGGAGGGGGGAGGGGGAGGAGGAGGAGGAGGAGGAGCTCCTTTAAAGATGTCCAAATCAGACTAATCTTTTAAAGTCCAAGGGCAGATATGAATACTTCAGAGAAAACATGAGTCACTACATACATTTCTCTGGAAATGGGGCATTCTTTCAGAGGATTGTTATCTTATTAGATTAAGTGCTGGTTTTGAAAATAAAGAAAGAAATGTTTCCAAACACTCTAACTGTATTGACACATTTGATAAAGAGCTTGGCTGAAAGATACACTGCTAGCCTGGGGTTGTTTCTCCTTTGTCTTGCTATAGACGTCATTTGAGGCTCTTGATAAATCCATCATTGAATTGAATTGCATTGAACCGAATCTAGTTATATGAACCAATCAGTAAATCAAATAGCATTGAGTTTTATATAGACTGCACTGTATGATACCATGGTTTATGCTCTTTCAGCAATTTCTTTTTAAAATGGTAATCTGAACCAATGGAAAGTGTCATGTAAAGCTTTACTGCAAAAGGTTAAAGATAATTCAATAAAGTCAAAGACGGCAAAAAATAGTTATATCATATGGAAAAGCAATTTCATGGTGAGAGTGTGACAAATACAGGTTTTTCCATTATTGTACGAAGAATGAATTGACGTCATAGAAACCAGAGGAATGATGAAAAAACACCCTGTTACGTGACAAGCAGTGAGTGACAAGTGACTAATGTGAGGGAAATGGGGGAGGCTGATGGGGGAGGGCGATACCACTACTACCAATCACGGATGTTTATGAAATAATATCAAGCATCCTCCATGAAGCATCATAGCGGATGTTTGAAAAGTTGAGAAACTTTTTTAACTTAATTTGTTTTAACATTTAGTTTGATGTTATACAACATTCTACCTTCACATTGTTTAACTCTGGCTATACACGTATCCAGGGAAGGCAGTGATTGTTAGGTGCAAGAAGTGTCTATACTAATGACTGCTTGTTTGATAAGGGGGGGGGGGGGATGTGAAAAGAAACACAATATGAATGTACATATATATAGTAGAGTGATTACTACTACTCGTACCTATTAGTATTAACATTATAGTTTACAATAAGCTGTTGTATAGAAGAAAAACAAAGTTTATAAGTTGAAACTATTGATAAACAATAGCAAATACTGTTTTATTTTTTTGATGCAAAAGAAAATTAAGTTTACATTAATCATTGTTTTCATAGCGTTTTGTTTGAAATAGACTACTACCAAGATATCAAAGACATGTACTCAATAACATTTCTGTTCGAAGATTTCAGATGCTATCCAGATAAATGATAGGAAAATGAATATGAAGAGATAAGAATGATTTTATAGTCTTTTTTTTGTTGATCATATCATTCTACAGGTACACCAGTGACAACCAGTGTGCGTGTGGAGCCAGAGCATTACTCCTCCCCGGCTGAGGGAGGGAACCAGTATGTATACCTGGTAGCTAGTGCCCCCTCCCTGGGATTCCAAGAGGAGAAAGAGGTCTTGCTGAGTTCCAGATCGGGATATCTTCTGCTTCATACCGATAAACCAATCTATACACCCAACCAAGAAGGTGAGTTTAGAATGATAATAATAATAATAATGGTGGCTTCTTGTATAGCACATGTCCGTCACGTTGTGACGCTCCTGGCGCTGCCCCAATAATGCTCACAACATTCCCTTGAACATTGCCTTTATTGTCATTTGATAGCCAAAAGAGAATTAAAGTCTCGGTCACAAATGCCATTAGGAACTGCTACAAACGCCGTACAAAAGATTTTCAGACAATGGAAATTCGGGAAGACAATGGAAAAACAGGGAGATTCGTACAAAATTATCATTCGTATGAACCTTTGTGACCGTAGCATAACATTTATGTACAGTCAAACCTGCTTTAGCGACCACCTGTATAGAAAGACCACCTGTCTTCAAAGACCACTTGTCCACAAAGACCACATTTTTGGGGTAAATACTCTAAGGAAGCTAATGTAGGATGAAAGTTTGATACCAGTTGGTGCAGACCAAACAACCTACATTTTAAGTTAAACATGTAGGTCAAAACCTTGAGAGTCACCTTAATACACACAGCAGGGTCCTAATGAAAGATTTATCAAGCAGGTCAGCTTTTAGTGGAAAAAAACCCACCTACTGAGCTCTGTTTTTTGAGAATCTTAGTTTAAATCCGACATGATAAAAACTTGCACCAAGTTTTTAAAGTTATGCCCAGCGCACACTACACGATCCTCCTTTTATATAATTTTCAAAGAAATGGCCATTGCATTACAGTAAATATGGAAATCTAAACAAGCATCATTTTCCCTATTTAGTTGCTGAATGATGATGATAATACTAACAACTTTTAGTGCATTTATGCTTAACAGTCAGAATTAAAGCTGAATTGGCTTCAAATCGTAGACGATTGCATAAATGGTTTGACGTCATTACAATTCTGTGCCGATTCAAGAAGCTTGAAATCCCTTGAAATTCAAATTTCAATTTAAGCGTATGACTATTCAGATTCTCAATCATTGAGATTTTAATAATTTGAATGTTCATACCAAATACTGTTACAAATTCTTCTCAATCTGATGGTAGTCAGATTGTATAGTGTGGGGTTGGCTTTACGCTGTTAATGTAATCAGGGTTTAATCAGTATCTGAAGGTGGCAGTGGCATTCTAATTTGTTTATCAATTAGTTCGCAACTATAGCAAGGTTAAAAAAAGGAAGAAATGAAACAGGAAAAAGTAGGGAGCAAGCTACTTTGCTTATTCTGTAGCCCTCCTGCATCTGATGTATGTTAATTATGCATTCAATAATAGAACAAATCAAAATCAAATCAAAATCAAAGAAGCTGGTCTAGGATAGATAGGAGATGTAGGTCTAAAATTATCATGAAATGGCAGGAAATACAGTATGCCGAAAGACAGAGAAGGAATATTATGAGGTGTAAAAAAAAAGGTTTGAGTAGTTTGATATCTGTAGTTAAAAAGAATTTCATATTGAAAGGAAACATGTGATTTTGATTTGAATATCTATTGAGGATGATGGAAGTTTGAAGGTGTTGATGAATAAAGATTATCAAGTCTGCATATGTTTTTTAGACTGGATAGAGGAGATTGATAACAAGTCTTTAAATCAGTGCTGATTTATGGCTGTTTATTTTCTCTTTCTCTATACATGTCAAACAAGCAAGTCCCAAAGTGAAAGTACATATTTTACAGGTCTTCACAAAAACAGGGAAGGGGAATACCAATGTTTTCATTTCCTATTTGCTGCAGACATTATGGAATGTTCATCTAAGAGAAATGTTGGGCAATAACAACCAGACCGGGGAAAACAGACTGCAAAGTTGAATATCTGATTACAGCAAAGTTTAGTCAAGAATCATATTGACCCAACATTCAGCCTTTTCACACACAAGTAAATTTGTTTAAAGCCGATTAGTTTAAAGAGCTTTAAACTAATCAGCTTTACTTATGACATCATTCACACACAGAAATTTCGATGCGATCGTTTCGTGATTAACTGCTCTTAAAATGCGCATTGAAGGTCAGGTCATATCAAACAAAGTGCACGTTCCATCCAGTTTAAACATGTATAACCGTTCACACACAAAATGTCAAGCTCTCTAGATACGGACTTCGTATCTGCAGCCTGTTTTGAACGGCGTATGAATCGCGACTTTGTATCGATCCTAACATCGTATAAATGACGTTCACACAGGGAAAATTGTCTTTAAAGCTGTTTAAAACTGTTGAGTTAAACAGCTTTAAACTAATCAAATCTAGATACGATGAATTTTAGCTGTGTGTGAAAAGGCTGCTAGTCAAGTTTACTCTGAAGAATGAAATTGACCAAACATTGCCTCATTCAGAACATGTCAATGCATGTTGGCGCAATGTATCAACCCCCTACCATTCCTTGAAAATTGAAAGGTAAAGAATATATTTATAACAAGAGCTTAGCATCGAAGAGATGAATGTTAATATGTGGGTGGGTTGGATAATAATGTAGGATGTTGGTCTCCGGCCAAGATTTTTGTTTTCTTCTGAGAAAACAGCTCCAAAACTGTTGCGTGCTGTTCAGTGTTAACTCTGTCACGATATGTATTATAGTATGATTCAGCAATGAACATATGACACATTTCGTAGAAATGTGGGATAACCATCAACATACATTTTGAATAATGACCTGTATAAGCTCCTCATAATTGTCAGGGCGTCCCTGATGATATAAATGTCCCTCTATCTCTTTGATGATGAGAAAGAGTAGATGTGCATCATGCCTAAAGTTGAAGGCCATTTCTTTCTCAATTTGATTTTTCACTGTTTACAGCCTAAAGATACATTCTTGGATAAGAATGAGCTTTGTTGAATTTATGCATGTTTTCGATCATGACATTCTCTTAGTAAAGCTATAGAACATTAATGAGAAGAGGATTAGCAGTTGGTGTTGAAGATGCCTACAAACTTAGTGGTTTGCAGAATATGTAAATTTTAATTGTAAAGAAACAAAAACAAAGAGAGAGAGAGAGAGAGAGAGAGAGAGAGAGATAAAAAGAAGAACTTTCAAAGTCATGCTGCTTCCAGATATTGCTTTTTTATTTCTGAGAATATGAACTTCGTCACATTTGATCTGAAAACCAAATGTGAGATTATACATGATTAATCAAGTGCACAATTGGTGTTTAATGAATTACCCTTCCAGACAGAGTTAACAACCACAGTGAAAGGGCATTGTACGGAGAGAGAGAGATTGGGGGGGGGGGGGGGGCGAGGAGGAGGTGAGTGAAGTTGGGAGTGGTGTTTCAACATACAAGTATTTTCTTGTATGTTGAAATATATTGGTTTTTCTCTGAATTATTACAAATGCTTGTGCAAAGAACTTTTAAAATTTGTCATTTTCATGAAGATCCTCTCTCCTGCCTCCCACCCATTGGAAAGAGGAAAAGAGGATTGGATGATCACAAGAGATTTAGAAGCTTTTTTATTTAATGTTCAGCTCACCAGTTACGCCCATGAGCTAGCCTTGACTTTCAATATGTTTACCCTTTTATTCTGTTGATGACGTCTACAGTAAGCTCTTTTGAATATGTTTTTATTTGGATCATACTTGAGTAAACAATTTGAGAAAGAATGAAAATGGCTTGTTGTTTTGTCGTTGATTTTCCCAGAACAATCTGGAAATGTCTTCATTCCGCCGCAAAATGGATCATTACAGACTGCTGGGATGATAGCAACAAGTGCATGTGGTCAAATCATAGTTCTTTTCTCTTCAATGGTTTTTCATTTTATGATCAGAGATATTTTGAGAGAGAGGAAGGTAGAAAGTTGGAAAGGGGTGGGTGTGGGTCAGATCAAGCAGACACGAAGAGGCAGGTAGAGGGAGGGAGGGAAGGAGGGAGGGAGGGAGACGGTGGAAGAGAGATGGAGGAGGGAGAGGGAGGGAGACAGGGAGGTAGAGGGAGGGAGGGAGACAGAGGGAGGGAGGGAGGGAGGGAGACAGAGGGAGGAAGGGAGGGAGACAGACAGAGGGAGGGAATGAGGGAGGGAGACAGAGGGAGGGAGGGAGGGAAGGAGACAGTGGAAGAGAGACGGACGAGGGAGAGGGAGGGAGACAGAGAGGTAGAGGGAGGGAGACAGAGGGAGGGAGGGAGGGAGACAGAGGGAGGGAAGGAGGAAGGGAGGGAGACAGACAGAGAGAGGGAGGGAGACAGGGAGGGAGGGAGGGAGACGGTGGAAGAGAGACGGAGGAGGGAGAGGGAGGGAGACAGGGAGGTAGAGGGAGGAGACAGAGGGAGGGAGGGAGGGAGGGAGGGAGGGAGGGAGACAGAGAGAGGGAGGGAGGTAGAGGGATGGAGATGGAGGGAGATGGAGGGAGGAGGGAGAGGGAGGGAGGGAGGGAGGGGGGGGAGGGAGGGAGGGAGGGGGAGGGAGGGAGGGAGTTAGTTGCCGAGTAGAACTAATATCGTGTTATTAAGAAATAAATATAGAAGAAAGGAAAAATGATGAATGGATTGTTAGAAAGTGAGATGGAAAATCAGGGAGGTTATAAAGGATTGCAAAAAGAGAGAGACAGGAATCGAGAAGGAAGTGAGAGAATGGGAGAAAGAGAGAAAGAGAAAGAGGGAGAGATTGAACTCGAATACAATGAAAATGCCAGCAAACAAAATCTGGATTATTATTTTGTTGTAACTGTGCCAAGTTCCTGTGATGCATAAACCCAACAGGATATCAGGGAAAGACCTTGCTTTACATTTCGGTGGAGATTTTGAGCAAAAAAGAGGGATTATCAAATCATGGAAAGGATGGGAAAAGAGAATAAAAGAGAAGAAACTCAGCTTGAGTAGTGGCTTAGTTCCAGTGGTCTGTCTTGGTATGTAATGGGCTTACTATGAACATGGGTGAAAGAATGAGAGCAAGGATTGTAACTCCATGATTAAGAGGAACGAATGGGGAATGATCACACTCTTTTAAGGGCATGTTGAGAAAATTAAAAAAAAATTTGTAGGTGGCTTCCAATACCAAATCAAATTCAGAAATCACTTAGCAGAGGCAATATTGGTGCACTACTAACTGGTAGTTGTGTTTTTAGGACAGATTACACCAAATTCCAATGCCTCTTGAAAGTTTTTCTTTTGATAATAACGAAACGAAAAGAAATGGAGCTGGTATTTTCTAATACATGAGTCATGGGGATAAGCTTTTACAATTTTTAGCCACAAAAGTTAAAATGACGAAGTATTTCCAGCTTTAGCAAATAGTTGGGAATCAAGGTTTTTTTCTTCCATTTCTGGTAACCAGTTACATACGCATTATTACCACATATTGCACAATATCCTCCATATGATGTAATGTATCACCACTAAAACCCAAGTCATCGAGATGAGGGAAGGCCAGGGTACTAGGGTGTGTTCGTCATGGGGGAAATATGTTCCGGGAGATCGCAATACAGGGAGCGCTATTCCGGAAACATAATGTACCCAGTAGTTGACTGGTATTACGATCGATCATGTTATCCCCCTGCAACACATTTCCTCGCCTTTCGTCATCGCTGTTACGAAGTTAGATCCTGGATGTGGAGGTCAGAGGTCAAAGTCAATCCACTGTGGCCTGGGGTCAAGGGTCTGACCCTATATATGGAATGCTTCTTGTAATGTGTGTGTGGGTGGTGGGTGGTAGAACGTGATGTGCCAACCTCCTCTGCTAGTCTTGTGTGAAGACTTCATGTTCAAGTTTCCGGCACGATCTCTGTATTTTTATGTGCTATTGTAATATGTTTTTAAAATGTTAATCATGTGCCATTCAGCGTTATTGACACAAATCTTGATTCTTTTGAATTTAGAAACCATCAATCAATCAGTCATATGTGTCGAAGGTTCAAATCCTTCTTTGGATGACATTCTGTCGCATTATCCTCTCGACCAAACATGCCAAATGGGATCCTAACCCTACTTACAGTTAATGCCTCTGATGGTGTTAGAATGGGTTGCTTGGTTCAGTCCAGTATGGCATGAAAAACTCATTGGTGGCTTTCATAGTCACTTATATTGTAAGTACGGAATATGATCCAGTTTAATTTACGGTTATGGATGCAGACTTTATCATTCTTTATAGCAAGAAACTTTTACCATCTTTAAACTTTCACCTACATGTACTTCTTCAAGGAGTACAAAAGCATGCAAACTGATTGAATTTCAAGGTTGACTTTTTTCTGTTTATGAAAATTTCTGTTTGCGAAAACGCTATGTTATTAATGATTTGCGAAAGTTTTTAGGTAAAAAAAGTTTCTGTTTTTCTAGTAGTAGAAAGATATCCTACTCATGTTATTAATGATCAAACTAAAAAAAATTATATAATCTGTTTACTATTTCTTTGCTCTTTGTATTTCAGTGAAGATTCGTATGGTGGTAGTGGATCAGGATATGAAACCATCTTCAGAATTGGTAAGCATTTCACAAGAAAGTCTAATCATTCTTCATAAGCTGCGGCCCCGCAATTTTGTGCGTTTACAGTGAGAAAAGCCCGGGCCGTGGCCGAGACTACCTCCAGAGCAGGGCCAAATGCACGGCCACTTTTGGCCTCGCATTTGGCCTTTTGCGCATTTACAGTGCTAGGCCGGGCCGGCCTTTTTGCTCACTGTAAACGGGGTCTTAGTCTTTGTGAAACACCCCACAGTTCTCAAACCAGCAATACGACAGATGTTCAATAACATCAGGTACAATCAATGTTTACTTTAAACTTAACTAAACAATTTCTAGGTGTTCTGTAAACACTTTACTAAATATCTAGAGTGGGTTGTAGATAAGTTATGACCTATCAATATTGTACCAAATAAATTGATTTGTGGAACTTGTAAATACTGTCAATTTTTATATTTTATTAGCATTGTAATACCAGGTGAACAAATACAAGAAATGACTAGCTTTTGAATATCTCAATTGAATCAATACAAAGTACAGAGAGCTAACAAAATACTTAAACATGTATTTATCCTTGATTGTCACAGAAAGATAACAAAAATTGACTTCATTTGTTAATTTATCATAACAGTTATAGGCTGCGTTCATGCTTAAATTTTGAAGGCAGAATGAGCGATCTGAAACGCTCATCGTAAACGCTCATCGTGATCGCAGTTCCACGATGTAGTGTTCATGCTTACTTCTCTGGCTCCCCAGGCAATTCTCCGTGTGGCCTTAATTGGTCTTCCAGCTGGATTCGCAAACCTTCACTGTGCATGCTACGTAGACCCACTAGAGGTCAGTGCGTTGACCCCATTTAAACGCGTTTACAAATTGTAAACGCATCTTTTTTGTGAGTTTACGATCGGCGATCGTGATCGCTGTTTTTCGGTGATTCTACAAAAGTGAGCATGAACGCAATCGTGTTTTAAACTAAACGCGTAACAGATGCCTGATTCTGGCCGTCAAAATCAAACATGAACGCGCCCATAGATGTTTAGATTGTAAGCTGTAGTCAAGAGTTGTATTTTGACCTAGATGAAAGCAGTCACATCAATCTTTCTGTTCAATAGGAAAATGATTTATCGAGACCATTAAATCATTTGAATGCATTCTGGCCTAAAATGGAAAAAGTCTATAAAAGCTACCTGTACGTGTACGTGAAAGCTTTTGGCATAGGCCTGTCCTCATCAGCTCGGGTTTGCCAAATAACCTGCTATTTTCAGACTCGGGATATTATCCTGAAAGCTTGAAATGCGTCTTCACCAGACCGATACGCTCATCACAAACTAGCTCGGCTGGGCGCAAATTAGCCCGCTATATCCAAAATAGCTGGATATTTTGGAAACAAGACCAATATTTCTCGGGACACATTTTCTTGACCAAATATCCCGCTAATTGCAACTGTGGGCTGAAGACACAAATTAAATGGTTAATTTGCGATCAGGATATTTAAAATAGCTGTGTTTTTTGGCAAACTCCAGCTGATGAAGACAGGCCTAATAAATCATTGCTGTACACACAACTCAGCATTTTTGGTCTTCTTTCACCCTTACAATGCTCCTAGCCCAGATACGCACATAATTACTAAATCAATATTTATTGAAGGTAAACTTTTGTATCAAGGTCATAAAACCATGTAAAAGGCCTGTGGTTTTCTGCACTCAGCCATGTAACAAACCAATTACAGCTCGTATGAGTTTAAATGAAGCCTTGTTTTTCTCTTGTTGAAGAAAATGTCAACTTCACTTTGTGTTAGATATAATTGCTCAGCGCTAGTCAGCGAGGGAGCCGAGCGATTCGTCATGCCTAGAATCAGAGACGGTAGGAACCGCAGAACATGACAAATGTACCCTCACAAAATTCAATAAATAACTTCGGAAATTCTTAGTTTAAAGGTACTACATAAATTGTTTTTGTATTTATTGTGATGACAAATTTGTGAGGAATTTATGAACGGATTGATGGCTCATCTAAAACAAAAGGACAAACATTGAAAAATCATTGAAAATTGATGGCAAATACATTGTCTTTCCAAGAATTAGAAATACAGAAAAGTTTGGCTGATTTTGTCAATGTCCATTTCATTTATGACCTGTTAAAGTAAACTTTGCATAACAGAAAAAGAAAGGTCATTATCTGTAATTAACACATTAACCACGCAATAGCCAAATAAAGTTTATACACACTGTACTTGTTTCTTGTGAGCATATTTAGCTAGAGTTTTGCACAATTCAAGAACTGTGATTTTTATTTGAAATAGGACCTTTAATATCAGTTCATGATGCTTTATGTCTGGGTCTTTATGACTAAAAGCATATAGTTGAACAACTGTTGACCCCATGGTTACATGTAGGCGCTTAGGGCACATTGGTAGGTTATGCTTGGGGCCAGTAGGGGTAGACAAAGGGCGTTTCATTTGCATGACAATTACTCTCAAAAAGTACCTAAAATCCACTGTATTTATAAAGAAAAAAAATTACAAAAACAAAGGATAAAACACAAAGGGTAATTTAATAGTTAAAAAACGTTTTGTGACAACTATTTTTATCCTGTAAATTGTTTTATTTCTGAAGTTCTCAAGCTGTGATGATGCAAGGAGGGCATAATTATAAATAATTGTCATTTAGAAATGTAGTACGCTGTTTTCATATCATTATTCTAAAATGAATAAAATAATTCTGCAGTTTTACCCTCCTGAAAAAGACCTCCAAGCTCTGGAGCGGAAGGAAGTGGAAATAACTTGTGGAATGGATCTCTGAATTATGGAGGAATGTGTATCATATTGACATGTGTAATATAGCGTGGTTCTTAGATATCATACCTGAGAGAGTTAAAGGATACTTAATTGGCTCTCCAGGGAACCAGTCTAGTTCCACAGACATGGTCTTTAAGTCTCCGTTGAAGCCTGACCTTGCACTTCGGAACTCTTCTCTAGGGCCTGGGTTCATTCACATCAGGACCAGGGATCCAGTCTAGTTCCACAGACATGGTCTTTAAGTCTTTGTTGAAGCCTGACCTTGCACTTCGGAACTCTTCTCTAGGGCCTGGGTCCATTCACATCAGGATGATTTTGTGCCAATACTTTAATGATAAAATAACTTTTTTTGAGAATAAAGTTTGCTCTTTGTTTCCTGGGAACTCTAATAATCCCTGCATTGTGGAATTGTTAGATTTAAAATGTGCCAAAGACACTGTAAATGTAACATTTAAAAAGAAAAACAACAACAAAATCACCAAAAGTATGCTATATATATATTTACTAAAAGATACGGAAGAGATGATATTCCAGTAATTATTGGGTTTATTCTGCAAAAGCATATGATATGTGCACCTTTCTAGACCCCCTTTTGAATTCAGGGAAATGGAAATACTCTTTTGAATTTTCTGAGAGTTTTCCACACTTCCATACCACATATATCATATTTTCAACTTTCAATACATGTTAGTTACAGAAATTGGTTTGCTGTATCGGTATGAATAAATGTGAACACTCTGTGAGAAGAAAAGATTTTGGGTCAGAGACAAAGGAGAGAACGGTCTAAAGTCAATGTCAAAGAGAGAAAGAAACGCCTCCAGGGAAATTCAAAGAAGTCAACTATCCATAACTGTTCTCACATGCATAGAGCAGAGTGATTTATCATACCGGCTCTGTTCATATTACAATTTAACCATTTTCATCAATGTGAGGAACCTTCATTTGTGTGTCACACTGAAGCTGTTGCCATGTGTTGGTTGGTATCTACATGTTCTAAGTAAGAATGAGGAAAATGGAAGGGGAAGAGAGAGACAGAAAGAGGAGAAGGTAGAGGGAGCAGTATTTAAAGGTACTATGTCCCTTTTGCAGCCAACCTCCAATGCTGTAGAACTTTGCAGGAATTATGAATATGTCATGTATGTCCTATCTGTGAAATTTAAACGTTAGTAGTGTCCTCATATTCAAATTATGCAAGGAAACCCGTTTACTTGCTAGACTTCACTGTCAGACACTATTGAGTGAGTGACTGTTTTTTTTTCTTCTTTGGTAATAACATGTGAAAAGAGTTGTAAAGTGTACACTGAGCATTTGTCTACATCAATAGCCCACTTCTTGTGATGGCCAAGATTAAACTGATTGAATCTTTGCGCAGCATAAAATGTATGACCATTCGGTACAATTGTCTGAAAATCAAGACTATTACTTTTGGGCTCTATAGCCCTAAAGTCGATTTGACAACTAATAGTCGTTATTTTCCCACTTGAAGAAATTTTTAAGCCCCACCTTTTTTAGGGAAGTTCTAAATTAGTATTATCTTTCAAATGCAGTTGGAATTTAACTTTTTCATTTTTTTGGCCTGCAAATGGGACATAGTACCTTTAAAGGGGAAAGGCAGAAAGAACGAAATGATAGTAACAAAAACAGTGGAATATGTTTGTATAGAAAACTATAGATGAACAGATAATATGACTTAGAGAAAGAAAGAGAGAGAGAGAGCGAAAGAATGATTGAAAGAAAGAAAGAATGAAAGAAAGAAAGAATGAAAGAATGGAAGAATGAAAGAAAGAAAGAAAGAAAGTGAGAGAGAGAGAGAGATAGAGAGAGGAAGAGAGAAAAGGAAGAAGTACATGTACAAAAAACAAACACGTTACTGAAAAGATAGAGAGAGAGAGGGAGACAGAGAAGGAGACAGAGAGAAGGAGGAGGGGGAGGAAGGAGATTCTAGCACTAGGAATGTTTAACCTTACATATTTAAAAATTATATGATTGTGTGAACTAGAGGCCTGATGATATTTTGCTCCCAAGTGCCTCTTTAAATGCTCATGTTGATACCTCTTGATCATCAAACTGTCAAGCAACAGGTTTAGATTGCAGCATTGATTTATCTTAGTTCGGCATGGTATGGAAACCCCTTGGTATCACCCAGCTCACTGACCCTTCTCAAGTTCTAGGTTAAGAGAGAGACAATTAAAACTTATTTAGATTTAGTTTCACATTGTTGTTGTTTATTTTTTTAAATGTTAATGTACTTATATTTTTTCTTCTCCATGCGCCTCAAAAACATTAGTCATGTGGAGTTGGCGCATTACAAATACTCTATATTATCATTATTATTATTATTATTAAAACACAGAGAAATTCCCCCTTTTTTAACTTCTATGAATTCACTTTTGTAATAGAAGGCAGAGAAAAGAGTTTTTACTTCAATTCTACCATTAAAGACATCAGCATAGTTTCTGGACTGGTATTTATAAGCTACCCAAGTCAGATCTAGCTAAGAGATTATCACTTTTGTTGAGGGATATCTTTCAAAGCATTAATTGTATGACACAAGACAAAACCGAACCACAAGGAGAATCAAATGCTTCCAGCTTAAACCAGTCAAATGATGATGGTTTTGAATGATGATAATTTTACATGAAGATACAGAATCATACTTTTTATTTTAATAAGAAACATTTAAAGGAGAACCCTGCTCTTGTCTCCTTCGATTAATGTTTTAGCTATGCACATTTTGACCCGACCCTGCAAGTTCACCCTGTAGGATGTTGCCTTGAAACGTTGTATTGTGAAAGAACCACAAGAATATAGTTAACCTTGTATACAAATATTTATTTACATTAGAAACGTGTGTAATCAACAAGATGATTCATGATGAGTATAATTGGTTGAATTATTAAGGTTATTACTGCATTTTTATAGAATTAACTAATAGAAAGAAAGCTTCTACCAAGTTTAATTTTATCATAATATCCTTATCAAACTTTTATTCATGCTGCCATTGTTTCAATATTTCTCCCCTTCAGATTCATCTGATGATCTTGAACCCCCAAGGAATCATCGTAGAGCAGTTCAGAGAGACCAGAGCAGTCAATGGATTCATGAACAAGACTTTCACTTTCAATACTGAACCCATGTTTGGGAACTGGTCTGTCACAGTCCTGCATGGTCTACAGGTAAGTCTTCAACCTTCGGTATGTAGATTTATTGATGAGTATGGAGGGATGATTTTTAGGAGAACTAACATCCAGAATACCACCACCCTGACAACTAGAGGGAAGTATTAAACATAAAATGGCCTCTGGTGTAGATTTCCAAAGGATGTAGTTGGTGGTGAAAAGGGGGATATGAATGTCTTTGAAGGGTATAGTTGTTTTAGGGGACCAGGGCATTGTTTCAAAAAACCATGCAGAGAGACAGAGACAGAGACAGAGACAGAGACAGAGACAGTCACAGTCACAGAGAGAGACAGAGAGGGAGAGAGAGAGAGAGAGAGAGAGAGAGAGAGGAGAGAGAAAGAGAGAGAGGGAGAGGGAGAGGGAGAGGGAGAGAAAAAGAGAGAGTGAAGTTGAAGTTGAAGTTTTATTGATCAATTTAAACGTGACTGATAAGAATTCTATAGGTCGTTATGAAAACATCATATCAAATCAAAGGAAATAAAGTGTCTTTGTTTAAGGCGTACATGAATGTTTCCTATGGTTCCCTGGTGATTTTTCATTCTTTTTTTCATCCTTTCACTTTTCAGTTTGAGAAGAACAAGACGATCAAGTTTGAAGTCAAAGAATATGGTGAGTTAGAGTGGAAATGACGAAGTTCTTTATATGTTCATAAACATTTAATGGGACCATTTGATAATTCTGATAGGTTAGGACACAATTCAGATTTGAAAATACATTGAGCAATATCCCTTGTAAGAGATATCAAGACATGAATGAGGAAATATCCAAATTGGTATCAGACGTATTATTCATTTTCAGAAAGGATGTGAGTTGTAAATTGGGAACTGCCCCAAGATATATTTCATCATGTCTCCACAGTTTCCTTTCCTGAAATTTCATCGCTTTTTGAGTCATTTTGAGGATATATTCATGCGCTGTTTTCCAGCTGTGGTTTAAGAGTTTTGATAATTCATGTATGATTGGCCGATACCTCGAAATACAGAAATGATGTTTTCATCTTCGCCCACTATCTATGACAGATAAGAATTCTGTAGGGAAACATCATCATATCCAGTTGCAGGAAATAGTTTTTGAAAACCATTCCATATAATAGAGATCAGCTGATTTCTGTATCTGTTTGTGAAGCCCTTTTCAAAGAATTAGCCTGGTAACAATCACACTCTCAGTGGAGATAACATCATAGAGTTATGAGATAGAGATGATATCCTCAAGAAACTGTATGAACATCAGGGGGGTTTCTCACAAAGATCCTAAGTTGGGCTTAAAAATTAAGGAGAGCCATTTGTAGCCTTAAAATAAAATATATTCAAAAGTGAAAATTCAAGTATTTTAGTGTTTTTATAAAATCCACATCAACAACATGACATCTTCTTGATAATAGAAAATATGTATGATTTGAATCAACATTTTATGCCTTTTTAAATAACTTTTACTAAATATTTTTACAGATGCAAATGGCTTTCCATAACTATTAAGTCCAACTTAGAGATAAGTTCAACTTAGGATCTTTGTGAAACACCCCCCAGGTCCTCTTTGAAGTTAAATAGTAATTACCACTCCGATAAAGCAGGTCTAACGTTTTACCAATGTTGTTGCATCACATGTTAAAAAACCACAAGACTTTACGGCGGTAAAGATTTCCTTTTTCATAAACAATTTTTTTCCTTGTCTGTATGGAATGCCTATAAACCATATATGTATTTATTATTGATCAACATATGTTTTGAAATGAGTTATATAGGTTGTTTGTAATTTTATGTAGTTACGTTTCCCTTTTTTCCTTTTCACTCCTTATTATCAAATTGTATCTGCTTTACGGTTGATTGATGGAACTATTCTTCATGACATATGTTTTTCTTTTACACTTTTGATAGTCTTTAAAAGTTTTTGTGTTAGTGTAATTTTAAAGCTGTAGCTAGGTTGTGAGAAGATGCTGTTTGAACCACTCTAGCTTTTCTGATGTATCTATTCAAACTGAACATATTTACTTCAAAGTATGAGTTTGAAAGAGAATCCTGTTAAATTGTTTTTCTTTTAATTCTTTTCAGTTCTTCCAAGATTCACCATCAAAATAAACACCCCAGACTTCATCTTAGAAAGCTCCAGCCGAGAGTCTCTAGACATCAACTTTGAGGCAAAGTAGGTCTTTTTTTCAAATTATCTTTCCTTTGTGATTCTTTTCATTTTTATTGTTATTATTTTTGAAAAGCCATCTAGCAATGGGTTTCCATAGATCCATTGTCTTTTATCGGTTGTCATTTTCTTTCAAGGTCCACTTCAAGGTTTTGCAAGCTCTAATGGTAGTGTGATAGTGTCAACCTTTATCTAGATATTTCTCATTAGGCATACTCAACAATTGGTAAAAGTAAGCTCAAGACAACCTTTCATACAACCCAGTGTAAATGTTTACGTGTGTTTAAAATGGCCATGGAACTCTCTGCAAGAAGTGAAAACCACAGATTCAAACCACTTCATACCTACATGTAGCATAAATTGGGTCACAGCTGCTTGTGGTTGTACTCCTAGTGAGTAAGAGTATGAAACAGGTGAGATGGGGTGTAATAAATAGTCTGGCTTTCATTCACTTATTTCTTTGAGCTAGGCATTTTATTTACATCGCTCCTCTCCACCCAGGTGTTAATTGGGTACCTGGTAGGATGTGAATGTTGTTGTGATTGGATTAACATGTGCGCATCCACCAAAATTCAACTAGTTGGAATGCTCCCCAGGGAGTGGAGAATGTGCACTGATTACATTAGTGCAGAAGAGTAATTGAATCCAGTGACTGGGCTGATGACATGGGATTTTCGGACTGACCTAAAGGTTTATAATTATGATTGCAGCATGAGCTAAATCCAGGATTTTGTTTCAGAATCTGAGGCAATGTTACAGAGTCACTTTTATGGTAAGGGCTTTATAAAAAAAATGGTATTATTCATACTATTATTATAATTCATTATTATTCATTACAAACAGACATGTCTACAAGAAACCTGTGGGAGGTAACTTCCATATGGAGATTGGTATCCTGCAACCAGACGGAATTGTGGTTTCCAAAAGTACTACTGTAGGCACGGTGAGTCAATGTCACCATGATGAGGAGGATAGTTGTGATGATCATGATGATTGTAATAATGATGTGGTGGTGGTGGTGGTGGTGGTAATGACCAAAATCAAACTCTTGGTATGTATTACATGATTAACAGATGATTTGCATAGTAATGGCTGTTCTGATTTTTAATGATGATGATGAGAATAATTGTGATGATGATGATTGTAATAATGATGTGGTGGTGGTGGTAATGACCAAAATCAAAGTCTTGGTAAGTATTACATGATTAACAGATGATTTGCTTAGTAATGGCTATTGCATTATTTTAATGATGATGATGAGAATAATTGTGATGATAATGATGATGATGATGATGATGATGATGATGATGATGATGATGATGATGATTGTAATAATGATGTGGTGGTGGTGGTAATGACCAAAATCAAAGTCTTGGTATGTATTTTACTTGAGTAACAAATGATTTGTTTAGTAATGGCTATTACATTATTTCCTGGAAACACTCCTGCATTATTTAAACCAGCAATGCTCCTCCCATTGTAATATATGTCTCATATTTCTGATTGGTTTATGGAGATGGTGTAGGGAGCCATAAGGAATTGACAAAGATCATGGAATCTTCCTTGTCATTTTGATTCCGAGCCAAGAAATCTCAATATTAGAAACACCGGCTTGTCATTTTATAACGATGTTCGTGCAAGTTCTTTTCTTTTCTTTAAAAAAAATCTATATAGATATTAAAACAAATAATAGGGTATGATAACTCAGTTCTTCCTTTGATTTTGATGATAGTTCAGCCTCCTTATTTATTTATTTATATGACATTCTTATATGACTTATATTATTCATTCATTCATCCATTCATTTAAGTCTATTGAAAGAAAATTCCTTGAAAAATAGTCCAAAGACTAATACATATAAAGATAACATGGTTGCTTTCTTTAAAATTATATGAAAGAATCCAGTAAATTCACCAAAATTGACAAGAAACAAAAATTGAGAATAGAAACGAAGAAGAATTATTCATATGACTAAAAAACATAAAATTTCACTGAAAGAAAGAGGTCTCAACATAGCTAATATTTATCGGTATGTTTTATTCATTCTTTTAACAGCTTGAAAATGGGATCGGAACGTCCTCCATCTATCCCAGGTATAACTTTGGTCTTGACTGGTTCCGCAGCTATGAAGGATGCAGGCTCAATGTCGAGGTCGTAGTCACCGAGGCTTCGACAGGAGTCACGGAGCGTGCTGTAGATATCTCAACAATGATTGTACGGAGTCCCTACCGCTTCAGGACCGGCCAAACCGTACAATATTTTAAACCGGCACTACCTTATGAAGTACAGGTATGTTGCATTCAAGGTTTTTCTTTCAAATGAGATGCCTAATCTATGTGAATATGTGATATTTGCTTATTTTTTTTGTTTACTCTTCCCTTGTGTCGGACATTCTATTAAATTCAAGTTTTACAAATTCAATAAAGAAAGAGAAAAAAATTATGCCTACTTGAAACATGTACATGTATGTGCTAAATGGAAACAATTTCACAGCCACAATAGAACCATTCTATATATATTATATATGTAAAATATACCTAGCAAGAATATTTAAGCCCCTTTAAAGTGTTGGCAGCCAAATGACATCCTCTTTCACATTATGATACAATTTAAGTGAAATTTTGCCATCAAAATTGTTGTAAATTTTGGGCTCCCAACACTTTAGAGGGGCTCTAATAAAAAACAGAACTATGTATTTTATTTTATAGCCAGAATAGAACTTTGCTTTATATATTAGATATGTAAAATATACCTAGCAAGAATATTAATAGAGGCATAAAAGACAGAACGTTGTATTTTCAAGTGAAAGTCCCTGTTTTCTTTGAATAGTTTGAGTTGGAGACAGTGCTGGGAAAGCCAGCGCAGTACCTGGACGTGAACATCGAGGCATCCGCTCTGGTCCAGTCTCGTCGTCTTACTCTGAACCATAACATGGATCCCAACGCTAACCAGCAATCTACTGATGCTAACGGTAGAGTGCGGTTCATCTTCAATACAACACAAGATATGAGCCAAATCAATATAAGGGTGAGGAAATACCTTTCTACTTTTATCCTTCTTTAGCTTTCTTTGCTTCTATTTCAATATGTTTTTTTATTGTCTACTTATATACACTTACAAGAATAGCAAGAAATACAGACATACCTAAAGCTTTTCGTCTTGTGCTTATCAGAGTAAATCGCAAGAATAAACAGAAAGCTGAAATTAGACAAGCAGATGTCTAAAGGAAGAAAGCGTGAACAAAAACTTTCATTGTTATTACTCCAAAGTATTATATTGTAGATATTGCTCTAGTCTCAGAGTAAAGTTACATACCAGCAAAACTATTGCAGAAGCAATCTTAGTAAAAGCAGCATTGATGACAATGTGTGGTCGCTGATTCAAGAAATTTGTTTTTCAGTTACACTTTATATTCAGATTAATTCATGTATTTTGTAGTTATTTTCCTTGCTTATGGCAAGTTGATTTTATGAGTTGTGACAATGTCTTCTTATTTGAATGTAATGTAACTACCTTGTTTGTTTGAATAATGGAAGAGACCTTGGATGGTATGTACGTGCAAGGTCAAGGTTAGATCTGTTTAGATAATATCTCATTCCAGGAACTACAGTTGTTTCGATAAACAATCTTCATAACTTTATAGTAACCCTTTAAATGCTGGCTATCAGAAATATGTGCAAGATATTTGGTTGGCTTACCTTATCTTTGGTACTATGCAATATACATTACGAAGTCTGACTGAATTGAATTGGATTTAATTTATTTCTTTTGCAACACATCAGTCAAATTGCATTTCAGCGATGCAACATATACAAAATATAACAAATTTTTGAATGTGTACACAATTTTAATTTGTTAATGATCATATGACTGAACACACACTAGCAAGAATTATTCATTAAGAAATCTGCAGAAGAAAAGCTATCTTGTGCAATATTTTTGTTCTTATGAGAAACATGATTATGTAATAATTGCTCTGCATGCAGTTTCATCCCTTGTCCTAACACTATATCTTACACGTATCCTATACATAACCCCAAACCCTATTACAATATAAGGGCTTGTTCACATACCACATGATATACCGTGGGGGTATTTTTAACATAATACATTTGTCTCTTATAACACATTGATAAGTGAGTGCGCTTTATTAACACAGAAAACTAACATTTTGTATTAATTCTTTCATCAAATATTGGCCTTAAAATGTATATATTTTGAAAACCCTTGCAGAAGTGTGTGCTAAATAACACAATCTTTCAGATCATTATACAATTTAAGTGCAATTTTGCCATCAAATATTTGAGACTCCCAACACTTTAGAGGGGCTTTAACCTTCAAAAGTCCCTCAGATAAATGTAGGTACTGCTGATGATGATTACCTGTCTATTAGCATTGATGTTTGTCTGTATGTATGTTGTAGGTATCGACAGAGGAGAACATAGAGCAAGAGAATGCTGTCTTTCAGTTTGATGCTAAGCCATACCAGTTACCCGCTGATGATGATGATGATGATTACCTGTCTATTAGCATTGAGTGCAGTCCCACTAACTCTGTTTGATGTTTGTCTGTATGTATGTTGTAGGTATCTACAGAGGAGAACATAGAGCAAGAGAATGCTGTTTTTCAGTTTGATGCTAATCCATACCAGTCACCCGCTGATGATGATTACCTGTCTATTAGCATCGATCAAACTGTTTTCAGGGTAAGCTTTTCATATCATACATCTTGTAATAGTACAGTGTTTACAATCATTGCGTATTAAGTGCTATATATATGTGTTAATGTTACATTAGGGCAATTCCACGGTAACGGAAGGACACTCAGACAAGATTTTTGAACTTCAGGTTCATACTAAAAGAACTGTTTTATTAGTATAAGATGTGAAACAGTACAGATATAATACCTATATAAGTGCCTTTAATTCTCCCCAAAAAAATTGTCATTATAGTTAAGTAGTTTAAGAATGTGCATATTAATTATCTCGGTAACGGAAGGACATAAAAATGGACATGGTTTTTCCAGTTAATTAGTGTTTATCCAAACTTTGTGAAGTTGATGAAGCTTTCCACTTGACTGAAACACATTTTGTTCCCCATAGTTTAATACATACTAATAAAACATTTCTTTTAGTATGAACCTGAAGTTCAAAAATCTTGTCTGAGTGTCCTTCCGTTACCGTGGAATTGCCCATTATTATCATTATTATCAACAAACTCTTGCAAAGAGAGTTAATGGTCTTGCATTGTTGCACTAGAATTGTGAACAAAACTTTTACAATATTATTGATGTTTAAAACAGTTTTGCGCATTTGTAAGCTCTTTTTATATCGCACCTTACTTTATCATTGAATTATCATTAAAAATTTATATTGCTACTATTACAGCCTTTCAAAGAAAGATAATCCTCTTTGTTAGCAAAGAGTTGGAGCTGTTTTTCAATACAGGTACATTGTGTTTCATTTGCCACTTCATTTCAAAAGACAAATCTCATGTAACGTTTTGCCTGAATAACATATTACATGATATTTCTTATTTCTTTGTCTTGCATGCAGGTTGGAGATGAACTTTATGTGGTTGCCAGGACAACAGCCTCTACTCCCATTGACAATCTTAATCTACTGGTAAGTGTATCCTGCAAACTACTAAATCATGCTCACCTAGCTGTCATTTATCTTATTACTACTTTTTCTTTTATTTGGTTATGGACCTTCTTTACTTTTGCTGTCAATGATTAACTTGTGAAATATTAAAATGATAAAACAAATAATGAAAGCAATATGTATTTTGTTCTCTAAAGCCTTGTTTAGATATGAAGCGGCAAAACTGTGGAGCTTTTTTAATGATGACTTTAAAGCGTAATACGCTCTACATTTCTGTATATTATAACACAGAGCTCAGTGATTATGCGTAGGACCTTTGTAGTGCGCAGTTGCTATTCATTTACATGTTCAAAAAGGTGCCTTTGGGGGATAATATCTGAATGGGCCTTAAAGGTACTATGTCCCATTTGCAGGCCAAAAAAATGAAAAAGTTAAATTCCAACTGCATTTGAAAGATAATACTAATTAGAACTTCCCTTAAAAAAGTGGGGCTTGAAAATGTCTTCAAGTGGGAAAATAACGACTATTAGTTGTCAAATTGACTTTAGGGCTATAGAGCCCAAAAGTAATAGTCTTGATTTTCAGACAATTGTACCGAATGGTCATACGTTTTATGCTGTGCAAAGATTCAATCAGTTTAATCTAGGCCATCACAAGAAGTGGGTTATTGATGTAGACAAATGCTCATGTACCCTTTACAACTCTTTTCATGTATGTTATTACCAAAGAAGAAAAAAAGCCAGTCAGTCACTCAATAGTGTCTGACAGTGAAGTCTAGCAAGTAAACGGGTTTCCTTGCATAATTTGAATATGAGGACACTGCTAACGTTTAAATTTCACAGATAGGACATACATGACATATTCATAATTCCTGCAAAGTTCTACAGACTTTGAGGTTGGCTGCAAAAGGGACATAGCACCTTTAATATAGCAGAAAGGGAATCTTCTAGAATTGCAACAGAATACTATAATTTGGTTTGATGGTTTGTTTTACCTGACTTCTAAGAAAGCATGTGTATGCTTGTAAGTAAGCAACCAGAGGACTGACAGCTTTAGGTCCTCTCTGAGGGACTTGGTAGTGAGGATTAATGAATTACCAAAGGGCACTAGCGCATCAATTTGGTTGCAAACCTGGACCTCCTGGTTACGAGACCACTGCTCTACCACAGAGCCATCTCATCTCCTTAATATAGCATTAAATGATGTAATTGTTGTTGTTTCTTTTGTTTTTATCCCAATAGTTCTTATCACAAGGTAAGGTGATCTTGGCCAAGAGCATAGACCATATGATCAACAACCCAGAGCGGGTGTTTTTCAGTGTGTCCTCTGACATGGTTCCAATGGTTCGTATCATAGCGTATTACATCAACCAACTGGATCAGGTCGTAGCAGACTCCATCGCTCTCAAGATTGAGAACACCTGCAAACACCATGTAAGTAAATACTATAAATAACTTTTTTGTTTTTAATATAAGTCTGATGCCTCTCCATATGAGCATTTTATCTGCAGCAGTTTCTCTTGACCAAGGGATAGTAAATATGTACAGATAAATAACAGTTTTTCAAATCCTTTTTTAAATTTTGTTGTTTGATCCTAAGTTTGATGTAAAAAGAGTAAGAAAATAATGAATAATGCAATCTGAACAGAGGTAAGTGTAATTGAAAGACAATCTAGTTTTGCAAATATTTTTCTCGAGGTCAGAACTGTATATCTCTGAGTGGCTTTAAGTTGACACGCCATGTATTTAATGTGTCACCTGTAGATGCAACATTAAAGAAATCTCTTGGCAATTACACCATCTTCCCTTCGTTCATTAGAAAAGTACTTGAATGTGATAATTCAAGCCTGCCAGAAATTTTTAATTATTATCATCTTAATGTAATATGTTAGCATTTGCTGTAACAATTTATAGGTTTTCGCAACCTTCATGGAAAGTCCAGATATAACTTTTGTAAATATAGTTAAATTTGACTGTTACCTTGTATACTTTGATTTTTATATTGCAAAATAAATTGAATTGAATTGAATTGAACAATGTAGAACTTTGCTAGCAATCATTCCCCCATTTTCCACTATATTGCTAGGAATGTACAATATGCTCGGTTTTATACATGATCTATTAAGCAAAAGCCTATCAGAAGCTTGTAATTGACATGACCTTCTCTCTGATTAGGTTGCAATCAACATCAAGGAAGAAACCAATGAGGAAGGTGCGTACCTGCCTGAAACACCTGTAACTCTGCTGGTAGATGCCTATCCTACATCCTATGTTGGTCTGCTTGGTGTAGACAAGGCTGTCTATGCTCTCAACAACAAACATAGACTCAGCAGAAAAAAGGTGAGTCCTATCACAATATTGTTGTATCGTTCCACATTTTGTGGTTTTGCTCAATAAATTTTGAATCAGAGCTCTAAGAATATGGCAGATACATGGGAATAAATGGCAAAAATATCTGCACACACTGCATCCAGTTCTGTTTCATGGCTCTATTGCATTTGATCATTTTGATGCCAGGAGTTTTAAGAAGGAAAATAAGCTTTAAGGATCCTTAAATTGGCACCTTCTTGAGACATTCAAAATCATTTTTTTCAATCAAAATTTGGCATTTTAACAACTTTTGACAATCTTCTCACTCTCATATATTATTTTTTAGAGACAAAACATTTTATTTTAATAATGTAGCAATAAAAGAAAATGTAATTGTTACCAATTAAAGAGCAATATGTGATCAATTTAGCCCTACAGATAAATCCTGCCCTGAAAAGGTTGATGATTATCCTTTTACCCTTTTTTTTTAGATGTTTGAGATGATGCAGACATACGATATAGGCTGTGGTCCTGGAGGTGGGCCTACTTCACCAGTCATCTTCAAAGTAAGTTAGAATCAATTTGGTATCAGTGAAATCACTCATCTTTTAATGAAATTTCAAAGTAGAATAAACAAATCTCTATGATAAAACCAGAATTAATATGGAGCTTCAAGAGTGTCAAGTCTGATAGACATGAGCACTATACAAGAACGCACTTTTATTATTATTAAATATTATTATTTTATTGTTTCAGATGATATCAATATTTTGGTCAAATGCTGTATGTAAACCTTTCAGAGTCAAATATGAAAGTAGACTATCAGATTTTTGTGGTCTAATGTCTTCTGTAAATCTTCAGTCTAAAATGTCAATTTTTAGTTCTTATTTGTCTAATCATAATGGAAATGGTCAACACTCATCCATATATTTCAATGAATTTCAGTATACAGTGAGATCTTATGAGACTCTGTGATAGATGTTGTAAAACCGTTGGTTTTATGTTTTTCAATTCAAATGATTTTATTTCTCATGCAAAACATAATACAATGAATAAGTATATTAAAAACATTATACAATGAAACAACAAATATAATAGTAATAGCATGAGAAAAAAGGAACTAACTAGAAGCAGAGCTTGTTGAAGTATTAGTTCCTCAGATGCTGTTTTACAATATATCTTGAACAAATGTTGATTTATGTTTTTACTTGTATTGTAGGATTCTGGTCTGTCTGTTTTGACCAATGCACTGCTAGCTGTCCCTGCTCGGGAAGGTAAGAATCATCTCATAAGATTCACATGTCACAAGTCACATCTATTCTGCTAAGAATGACTTTATTACCATGTACTTAACTTATCTCTAACTTTTGTTTATAAGTGGCCCAAACATTGTGGAGCGGTGTGTGCAGCGCTTTGTAACCGCAAGGAAAAGGCGCTGTATCAAATATCTTTTGATTGATTGAATACATGTTTGAATAAGTGTTGGAAAATGAGAGAATCATTTACATAGCCTTCTTAGTTGTTAAAGAGAGTCTTTTTATATAATATTATGATATGTGCTATACAAGAACAGAATATTAACATTATTAGATGGAATAAAATGTTTAAATGATTATCAGATCAGAGAAATATGCCATGTTATGTCCTTGTGTGTCATTACTTTTGTGTTTTTTCTTTCAAAGCTCTTACATGCCAGCGTGTATCATCATCTAGAAGAAAAAGAAGTGCTACACAGTGCCAGTCAAATTCCCGCAGCAGAAGTAAGTTCGCCATTCAAGATTCTCTTTTTGATGTTTTTAAACTTTATTGGATGTAATATATATTCAAGAAACTGTGATGCTGAAACAGGTTTGGAATATTTCCTCTGACTTCCGAATCTCTACAAGTCAATAACTCCAAAAACGTGATCTTGGTGAGCATCTAAGAAAAGTTGGCAGTTTAGCGATCGACAGTCTCTGAATGATTCTCTTAAAAGGATGTCATTACTCCTAAAATATTGAGAGTTATGTATATGGATGTGAAAGCCTATCTGTTAGACTAGTTTGGCCAGGAGGTATTAGACCTCCCTTCCTGGTCTCTGACAGGTGGTTATCTCATTAAACCAGCTCTTGATTAACATAAGAAAAGGAGGATCACGGGGGACCAATGGGTATCACTTATGCATTGTTTGCTATATAGAGGGCGCAAGCAGCTTCAGGTAGTGCAGTCCCGCTTTAAATAAAATGTTTCTTTGGAGAGTTTTTAACAATCTTTCATGGCAGTCGGAAAAGATTTAGGTCAAAGGTTGGCAAAGGTCACACACAGCTAGACCAGTTAATCCTACATTGTATACTACTATTTTAGGACTATTAGCACCATTTGAATAATAATTATATTAAATACAACATTTATGATTATGCTCATTGGTTTTGGAATGGTGTTCCATTGGAGCTTATAAGACAAGCAGAGGTGGAGGGAGGGAACGTCATCATAGCACTGAAGTCAGTAATCTCTCATAAGAGAGAAAACTCTGACTCTACTAAATGATGATGATTATAATGGTTGTATTGATGGTCTTTAAATAACATGCACATTTTATTTCTCTTTTAGTTGAGTATTGTTTGAACCAGCTGGAGCGTCGATGTAACTGTGATGATAACCTGACCACTACTAAGATGTTCAATAGAATCCAACGATGGTGTACATGCGAGACGATTGCCTCCAAGCTGGCCTCCAAACTACCCCCGTATTGTCCACAAGCTACAGAACAAGACATCGAGGTAAAGCATTCTTAACTTAGCTGAGGCAAAGCCCATGGTGGCCTTGTTTAAAAAAGTTCCCCTGAATATTATAATTTATATCACTGAGTATATATAAGTTAAAGATATCATAAAAGACAGCGATAAACCCAATATAAAGACAAACAATTATAAGAACGTGTGAAATAATGTAGAATTGTAGGCGGTTAAAAGGTTTAGAAGGTAGATTCAACGGTACTAATCTTGTATTTGATGTAGTATTGAATGTTTGCAATTGTAAAAGTACTTTGTATTTATAGTATACAATACCCTTTTTGGATTAGAGCAAAATCAATTGACCTAAAAATTGTGCACTCTCTGTGGCTTCAATAGGCAAATCTAATGGTATACCTGGTATTGTAATGAATGTATGCAAGTGTAAACAAATTTTCATATTATAATTTCCCTAAAATGTTACACATGTTACAGCCATTACTCCATATTTTCAGCCACATTTTTCTTTCTCTCGAAGAAATAAAAATGGTTTATACATTTCTGGTACATTGATTTTTCTGTGATCTGAGATAGGATATATACACTTAACAACTGAATTATCCATACCTCTTGTCAATTTGAGTTTTTGGGGGAGTGTGTCTTCGTAATTCAAGAATGAAAGGTCGACTGGTTGAATTAGGGCCTTTACTGAATACTTTTACATAAAAGCTTTTACATGTCACATTCTCGAGAAAAAAAAAATCGGGACAAATACATTTTTCACACACTTAAAAAATCACAAAACTTGGTAAGGGTGGAATAACTCAGTCGTTAGATGAACATCAGTACATTGACATGTCAGCAAGTGGTCGATAAGATAACACCTTACAGCGATGAAAAAGACTTTGATGTATCACCACCTGTTACTGTGATTATATAACCATAGAGTATTGTTTTTTATGTGTAGGATTTCTCCCAATGTTGTGAGCTGATGAACAAATGGCGAATAGGTAGTGCCCCTCTTGGTGTTGATGTTCTGGATAGTATGGATTCAATCAGCATTGGAGAGGATTCTACAGACACATTTGAAGAGTTTGGGATGGACGTCAGATCTGATTTCAGAGAAACGTGGCTCTTTGATCTCATTAGAGTTGGGTATGTATAACAATCTATAATGAATCTTTTGATTCTATAGATTGAAAATGAATTTACATGTAATGTATTCAAAGACCTACACTTTTGTCATGTAGATGTATACATGTACTATGAATTTGATTAATGAGCTGTATCTTTCAAAGTTAGTAAGGATGTACCATTCCAATTTTTATAAGTTTAAATGTTTGCATACAGCTTCAAACACCTAAGTAATGGACTGAATATGTAAAATTTCATTTATCCAGGCTGCATGTAAAAGGTTATGAAATAAACGCTAGTGCCAGGTTTTTTTGCTATGTCAGGCATGCGAGTTGGCAGCAAGTATTGTATGAGGGGTTGCCATAGGTTTATACACTTTAACATCAGCTCAAATTGCCTTGAAGGAAATTAAAGCGTAGTCAACAGTTTTACTTCCCTCTCTCTTTCCACATTGGCTGCAGAGAGTAATTTCAAAAGTGACAGCAGGGACCCGTTTCATACAGCCTCTTTTCAATGACAAATGACAAAAATCAGTGACAAATCTGCTGAAGACCAATCAGAAGCAAGGATTTCAGTAGCTTATAACAAAAACTCTCATTTGTCACTGATGACAAGTTTTGTGAAACGCCCCTCAGGAAAATGCTTGAAAAAGCTATTTTAAAGCTTTTACTATACATGTTAATTCAAAAATACGACCCACTTTATCAAACCCATTTAACTTTTATATTTCTTTCTTCTGGAACCTTTGATGAACCAATAGTGCACCTGGGCGAGCGTCTCTAGACCTTCAGACTCCTGGTAGCATCACTGAATGGAGTCTACAAGCAGTATCAGTCACACCTACAGGAGGTCTCTGTGTTACTGACCCACTCGATGTGAACGTCTTCAAGAGTCTATCCATTCAACTTCAACTGCCGTATTCAGTGGTCCGTTCAGAGCAGATTGAGGTTCTAGCAACCATCTACAACTACAATGCTCAGGGTGCAACTGTAAGTGATTGTTTATTTGTTTAACTATCGGTTAAATCTGGAAGTGAATTCCTGTTTTTCAAGTCGGAGAAAAAGTCAGAGCATTTGAGAAAAATCACTCAAGTAGCTCTAATTCATCATGGAAAAATCAGAAAAAACAGAATTTCATTTTCATGGAATGCTGGGATCTCTGTTTTGAACTTGAGTTTCGTTTTATTATTTTTTTCTTTTTCAAATTGAAACAAAGCAAGTTCTTCACCATATGCCCATCTTTTACTTGACCCCCTCAGGTGAGAGTATCATTCTACAATCCTAAAGGAACGTGCGGAGAGTCTACCAACCCTTCTCAGCCAGCTAGGAGGACTGTTCATGTTGAAGGATTTAACTCCCAGTCTCTCAAGTTTGTGATTGTTCCCGTTGAGATCGGAGACCTACCCATCACAGTCACAGCCACATCAGACGTGGGCAGTGATGGAGTGCAGAAGATCCTTAATGTTATTGTAAGTGCCTAGAATAAGCCAGTCCATAGTTGCAGTCTGAGCATGAGAAAATAAAGGTCATTGCAGACCGAATTGTGAAATACACAGAGACAAAATACTGGATACGTGCTCATGAAAGTTATGTAATCATTATTCATTTATGAACAAGCAGTGCACTCCATGATACACAGGTGGCAGTATTCTTTGAAAAGGGGAAACAGAGGCTATTTATGAAGCACTTCCATCGCTATAGGAGTCATTATTTCAAAATGTACAAAGTGGGACCTCTTCATGTTTTGAAGATCTGTGGATATTCTGGATCATTTGGGACATGTGCTAACCGTGAACTGGTCTATTAATATGTTGATTGATTGATTGAATTGGTTTATTAAAAAATAACAACATGACATGCAGCTCAAGGCTGATATTCTTTTTACAAAATTATCAGATATTTACATTGTAATACAAACATCAAAATACACAAGCAATATAACAATATAACAATGGTAACATCCCACAGCACATTTTACAGCAAATATTTTGCCGGATTTTCCACACACAGTATGAAAGGCTAAGATGTTTTTAGCCCTAGAACCAAATATATTAATATTTGGCTCTATTTTCTGTCATCATCTGTGCCATTCTCTTTAGATGCATTAACAGTTTCCTTTTCTGATTTAGACTCGTATTTGTCTTGTTATCGCGATTGTAATCATATAAAAAACACAGACTTATTCAAATATCCTGCTATTATGATAAATCATCTTAGCTTTTCATATCGTGTGGGGAAAATCTGGCAAAATATTTTCAGTTAGATGTGTAATATGTAAAAATGAATGACTTTAAAGATATTTAGTGCTAGTAAGAATCGGTATGGTCAAGCATTAAGCCTGTTGCACTTGACGCAAAGTTGAATGATTTGAAATGTAATATGTATTTTCCTTTGCTGTATGTTAGGCTCATGGAGTACCTCAATCTGTGGATCACTCTGTCATGTTAGATCCATCAGGGATCTATCGTCAGCAACGAAGATCACCTCGTCTTAGGGCTGCCATGATGGAAGACATTCAGAGTGATCGTAAGTATCTAGAATGATTGTTAGTGTGAAGAATGACTGCAAGTATAAAATATGATTGTATTTGTGAAGAATGATCGTAAGTGTGAAAAATGATTGTAAGTAAAAAATATGATGGTATTTGTGAAGAATGGTTGTAAGTGTGAATAATGATTGTAAGTGTGAATAATGATTTTAAGTATGAAGAATGATTGTAAGTGTGAAAGATGATTGTATTTAAAGTGTGAATAATGATTGTAAATTTAAAAAAATGATTGTTAGTGTGAAGAATGATTGTATTCAAAGTATGATTGTAAGTATGAAGAATGATTTTAAGTGTGGAGGATGATTGTATTTAAAGTGTGAAGGATGATTGTAAGTGTGGAGAAAGATTGTAAGTATGAAGAATGATTGTAAGTGTGGAGAATGATTGTAAGTATGAAGAATGATTGTAAGTGTGAAGAATGATTGTAAGTATGAAGAATGATTGTAAGTATGAAGAATGATTGTAAGTGTGAAGAATGATTGTAAGTATGAAGAATGATTGTAAGTATGAATAATGATTGTAAGTATGAAGAATGATTGTAAGTGTGAAGAATGATTGTAAGTGTAAAGAATGATTGTAAGTGTGAAGAATGATTGTAAGTGTGAAGAATGATTGTAAGAATGATTGTAAGTATAAATAATGATTGTAAGTGTGAAGAATGATTGTAAGTATGAAGAATGATTGTAAGTGTGAAGAATGATTGTTAGTGTAAAGAATGATTGTAAGTATGAAGAATGATTGTAAGTGTGGAGAATGATTGTAAGTGTGAAGAATGATTGTAAGTGTGAAGATTGATTGTAAGTATGAAAAATGATTGTACGTATGAAGAATGATTGTAAGTGTGAAGAATGATTGTAAGTGTAAAGAATGATTGTTGGTGTGAAGAATGATTGTAAGTATGAAGAATGATTGTAAGTGTGAAGAATGATTGTCAATTTAAAAAATGATTGTAAGTGTGAAGAATGATTGTATTCAAAGTGTGAAGGATGATTGTAAGTGTGGAGAATGATTGTAAGCATGAAGAATGATTGTAAGTATAAAACATAATTGTTAGTGTGAAGAATTACTGTAAGTGTAAAGGTTTATCACGTCTTTAAAGATAAAGTGTAACTATAATAAGAACACGCAAGTGTGCAGTGCTTGTCATAATGGATTGTCAGCTGCAAAATGATTGTAAAATGTAAGCCTGAAAGTAGGTTGTTTGTTTTCCCAAGATCCCTAGGATGAATTTGATTGTGTCTTCTCTTCCTCACAGAAGTTCTAGATACAGACAATGGTGTGCAGTATAACATTCTAGACCTGCGTCCACCTGAAAACATCATCCCTGGAACGGAGTCCGCTGTACTTTCTCTGATTGGTGAGTTTATAAACATACCTTTGAGAGGGAGATGAGAATCATTCCAACAGCTAAAGGTCTTCCGGAATACAATACAAGGCCATGAGCCACAGGAATGAAAATTGTTTATTTCACATATTTTGTTATTGTTGCTATGCAACGTTTTGATGTTGTATTTAATTTGATTGTATTAAAGTTAGAATGATCGATATGAAATCACACTTTGAAATAAAAACTAGCATCCAGAGGCAAATGAAGTTTTTACATCAATGTTTTTTGATAATAAAGTTGATTTTCATTAAAAAAAAAGTAGAGGGGTTTGGTGAGTGCATTTTGTCTTCAGTAGTCTCTAACATGTGGTAATGGGTACCCGTATGCATGTAACAGCTGTTAGAGCTACAAATGCAAATATAGAAATATCTAGCAGAATTAGTAGAAACAGTGTTAAAGATGTTCTTGCATGTTCTTGCATATAGTCGTTTGTGAAGTAGGCAACTTGGCAAACACTGAGCCAACGGGTATTATACTCCCGTACGGACGTACCCATAAAAGGGCACTAGTACGCACAGGAACGTTATTCCTGTTGGCTCAGTGTGCTGCCCTCCATATACCCACGGATGAGCAACTTTAATATGATTTTGACTACTCAAATAAGTTTCATTATTATCATTAATATCTTTATCTTTATATTAAATAACTTTTGGTTATTTTTCTGTGATACTTTCGTTGTTCAGGGAACATGCTTGGTCCCATCCTGGTTGATCCTGTGGCAAACTATGGTGAGTGGTTAGCGTACCCCCGTGGGTGTGGAGAGCAGACCATGAGCATTGTGGCTCCTACTATCTTTGTTCTCAAGTACTTACAGACTATGAAGCTTATGAATGATTCCTTGGAGGAGATGGCTATGGATCGCATCTCTAGAGGTGAGTCAATGCGACAATCAGTGCAGATTGGAATAAGTTATGTTTGGACACCTAGATTAATGTGAAAACATTCAATAAGACTATATTTTGATGTAACACTCGGTTTCTATAGACTCAAGCATGAATTATCTTATCTCTTGCTTTGTGTTCTACGGGGTGAAGGCCATTTGCTCACTACCCATATGTAAATGCAAACCAGACCAAAGCATTTGCGTCCCTGATCACGACCAAACTAATATCCATTCGTGACCAGCCGACTGTAGGCATTTTCCAGGGTCCACTTAAAGCTCCAGATGCTCGCTTGCTCGCTCAACATCCAACCATGCAGTGATTCACTCCTCGCCATGCTTTTGATTGCAAAACAACAAAATGATGATTTTATTTTAGTCATCACCTCACCAAGAGATGGGGCTATTTCACTTATTTAGCTCCAACACCATATATATATATATATATTTAACAAAGGCCTTTCATTTCCATCATCCAATTATTTCCCTGATCATCCGTGGAATGTAACATGATTTTTTTAATATTACAGTTTTCACTGATTTGTCATTCTTCACTTGCCTTATATATCTTTTGCCAAACATTTGATCTACTTTCACTTGTGACTAACACATTTGACAAATGCTTGAATATTGGTGATGTTTGTTTGCTCCTGTCTTCATAGGTTTGGCAAGTGTTTTGTCTCACAGACGTGAGGATGGCTCATTCACCATCTGGGGTACCAATGTACTCTATAGCAGCAGTACATGGTGAGTGTAACAGGTCAACAGGTCTTTCATGCACCCCCATATAAGATAGGTCTACTATTCCATTAACATTCAGAGAAATGGACTCATTCTGTAATTCAGATCAGTGAATTATGAGGGGATGAGATCACAATTTCTGACCGCATTGGAAAGATTCATGACTTTCTTATTTGTTGTCCAATTTTTCTTAAACTTTCACAGAGTTGTTTCTTAAATTTTTCTGCTTCTATTAAAACTAAATAATATCAGGGGGGACTTCCCCTTTAAGGGTTCAACAAATACTGTGTAACATTATTATAATAACCATGGAATTCATTCAATCCATGGAGTATTTTGAGCAACATTGATATTGAAAATGGTTTAATATGGTTGTAGCACTTTTACCTGAAAGAGTCTGGGTGCAAATAAAACCCTTAAAGTTTGAGAAAGTATCAATAATGAAATAAAACATTGTTCAGAAGAGATGACTTGGTAAAATACCTCAAAGAATTGCTACAGTGAAATCAGAGAGTGTATGAATAGTGTTCTGCACATTTCTCAAGCTTATATTATGCGCTCAACGGTGAGTTTGCGAAGCAGCGTTTGTTGTATGCAACCCCTTTACCCCTTCCTGTTTTTCATGTCAACAAAACAAGGTTTGTTTCCATTTTGCCACTGCATTGTATGGGGGGGGGGGGGGGGGGGGGGGGCTTGAAAGAGGAATGGCGATGGAGAGATAGAAGCTTGTTCTTGTTTTGACTTCTGGTTCCGTCCAGAAAGTTGGGGCAATTTTTGTGACATATCAGAAGTGAGAAACTATGTCTCCTATCAACTGTAGCAATGTTTGCTCAAATTGAGTTTTGCATAAAAAGCATAACCAACTATCTTCAGAAGTACTCAAGCTTCATGGTGAATCAATGTTATGGACCCAAAGTTTATGTAATGTTATATGAATATGGTGTCCATGTAACACTGGTAAAAAGAGAAACGTGTATCAAGCAAAGATTTTGAAGAAAAGCAACTGAAACAGGAACAATTCTGGCAGGGCACTACTAAATATATTTATTGCACAAAAATCTTCAACAGATGATTTCATCTTCCGTGTGTAGTAGAAGATTTCATACCTACGTTACATGGACACCATCATATTTTCTGCCCCAACGTTATGGAATGACCCTTCTACTCTCTGATGATGTTCTGTTTTCAGGTTGACATCATTTGTACTGAAGGTGTTCTCCCATGCAAACACGCTCACACCAGTCGATGAGAATGTAACATGTAAAGCTGCTGAATGGTTGGTCCTCAATGCTCAGAATCCTAATGGATCATTCTCCGAGCTCTACAAGGTTCATCATACAGAGATGACGGTTCGTTTTAATCACTAAATCAATAGTACCTCCTTAAATTGGATAACATCTCACATGAAGCAATTGTTATATACATTCACTTCTCTTTCTGTTGTAGTGAACATAAATTACATTCATACAAAAGTTTGGAGATGATTTTCTTGCAGTTAATCAGAAATTGTTCTTGGTTCATGTATTTCAGTCTTTGTGATATTTTGTTCTACTTCTGACATTCTGTTTCTTTCTGTGACAATCTATTCAGAAGAGTATAATATGTAAAAGTATAATTTTGAAATAGACATGTCTATTTAAAATAATAAGATATTCAGTCTGACATGTCTCATATGTTAGACCATATATATATAACAGTGAGAAAACAGGACTTGTGTTGAAATTTATAGTAGAATAGTGGAGCACCTTCTAAGCTTAAACTTGTTATTTCATAGGTAAAATGCAGGGGCACTCTTACACCTATCCATCAGTTTGTATTTAGAGGACTACGGTCATGGAAATGTATTATATAACTCTTTATTCACTTTAGTTGATTAATGTAACGAACTGTGGGGTGTCACAGTCAATGTTTGTCACACTTAATAATAATAATAATAATAATACCTGGTACAGCATTTGTAATGCGCCATCGATCTAGTAAACTATTCTGAGGGGCAGAGGGAGATAATTACCCTGGCTTTAGCACGGTTGCCATTACGGTGCCTAGCATTTCAAGGAAATAATTCCTGTCAGGTACCCATTTACATCACCTGGGTTGAGTGTGGCATGTGTAGATCAATGAGTAGAGGTATAGTGTATGTTGCAGTTTTGATCCATGCTCAAAGACATAAATGTACATCATGCAGTGTGTTTGTACGCTGCTCAGCTAATGTAACTACATGTATTTCTTACAGGGTGGTATAAGTGGTGAGGCATCGATGACTGCTTATGTTCTAATCGCTCTCTACGAAGGACATTGGTGTGATGGTATGCACAGGGTAAGTACAGCAGAATTACCATTTTCACCCTGACTGAATGTCAGCCAAAAAATATGCTTTCTCTCATACAATGAATAATAATAATAGGCATGTGTATAGCGCCGTCTATCTAGACAATGCTATTCCGAGGCGCACAAGAAAAATAGTGTGGTGTGCTTAAAAGAATTCATTTTGAAAGTGATGAAAAGCTTTAGACTCTTGCCTAGAAGGCTAATAGAATGACATTACAAAGATGTTTTTTAGTAATAATATTGGATTTTTGGATCTCCACCACTCAAGGTGCTCTAGGTGTCAAAATCGATAGTGTTTCTGTTTAATAGAGCATTTTGAAATACACCATGTATGGAAACTAAAGACAATTTGTTATATTTTCCTATACATTCGTTCAGGACACACTTGATTGGCAAAGTTGAAGGTTTAAGCTATGGAACTTAATTGCAAGTTCACAACTTCCAACGTTTGAAAGCTACTCCACATTGCCTTAATACCAGTCATGTTTTGATTTATTTTCACAGGACTTTCCTTTGGCTCTGCGTAATGCCCAGAGTTTCCTTGAGCGTCAGGTCAAGTATCTGAGCCGACCTTACGCTAAGGCCATCGTGACCTATGCCTTAGCTCTCTCCAGGAGTGCCTATGCCAGCGATTCCAACAGAATGCTCAGAAATGATGCCATTATTCTAGGTACGTATGCAGTATGCGAAATGTGGGTCTTAAGAAGAATGATGTAAATCCCTTGGACTGACAAAGTTAGTAATGAGGAAGTTCTTAGACGAGCTGGAGTGCAAAGGAAAATGATACGTGAGATGTTGATTAGGCAGTTGAAGTTTGTGGGTGACATTAAGCGTAAAGAAGGCCTAGAGATTCTTGCTCTGATGGAAAATTGTGGGAAAAAGGAGTAAGGGAAGAAGGAGGATACTTTGGATGGACAGTCTGCAGAAACTGTTGGAAGAGAGAGAGGAGTGAAAGAACTAGGAGTGGTGCTAATACAGAAGGCTAGGAGCCAAGGGTTGTCGAACAGCATGATCGCCAAAGTCAATTGATATGGCAGTTAGAGAGAGCAGTATCACAGATCATAGATAATTAGTAAATGAGTTGATAACATGGATGTTGAAAATTGCCACATATTTTTATCTTTTTCATAGCTGCCATTTGGACAATTTTAGAATAGAATGTATTCCTAATTTTGAGAATTAAACAAAATTATCATGCTGTTAAATATCTGTAGGTTCCTATATTTCCATCGGTGAACTTGGAAAGGGAGAAAACCATATTTGTTTGTTTCAACTAACTTTTGATTTTCTTCATCTCTTTCTCTCTGTCTTTTTGTCTATTAATCTTATTCTGTTTTTTAATACTTTGTCATTATTATCTGTGTATTCTGCATGTATTTATTTCTTTCTATCCATTCCTGCAATGTCTTCTGCAACCCCCTGGACTGGCCTTGTCTCATATTCTACTCCCCTGTGTGTTTCTTGTCTACTCCTCTCTCTCTTGCATCTCACGTTTATTCCCTTCTCTATTTAATTTGGGCATAGAGCTTTTCAACATGCAGTCCCTCAACTATGGAACAAACTTCCTAGTAATATCAAAGAATGTTCTTCTCTTGATCTGTTTAAGCCTCTGTTAAAGTCTTACCTTTTTCAAACATAATTTTGTACCATCCTTTTTACAATACTATGTATCATACAGGTAGTTTCCAGTTCGGATGTTCATCATGCTATTATGTTCTTATTATTTCATTTCTTCTGTACTCATTTCTTGATTTTCTTCTATTTCCATAGTGTAATAGAGACTTAATTGTAATTGACGCTACATAAATACTGAGTGTTATATTATTACTATTATTAATTTTGCTACCTGTTCCACCACGTTCACTCATGACATTTGTGAAGTTGTATCCTCTTCCTTTCTGACCATTCCTATCTTACCTTTACCCCACAGGAGATGGTAGTCGTTACTGGACGCCCAACGAGGCTGACCTAACCAATGAGGATCTACCTAACTGGTATCGCTTCAGACCATCAGCCATCGCTATAGAGACCACAGCGTATGCTCTCCTTGCTCAGCTAGAGCTGGGTGATATCACGTATGCTGGTAGCATTGCACTGTGGCTCAGTGAACAACAGAACTATGAAGGTGGATTCATATCAACTCAGGTAACTAACCACCTACAATCTATCTGGGGGGTGTTTCACAAAGATCCTAAGTCGTACTTGTATTTGTATTATTTGTATTTATTAACATTTATTTTCTTCTCAACAGTACAATATGAAACACAATGTATATATACATGATATATGTAACAATTATTTCAACATAGAGTATACAGTAAATAATTCAGATACGGAAGTACTTAACTCTAAGTTGGACTTAAAAATTATGGAGAGCCATTTGTAGCCTTAAAATAAAATATATTCAATAGTGAAAGTTCAAGTATTATAGACTTTTATGAATTCCACAACAAGAACATGAAATCTCCTTGATAACGATTTGAATCAATATTTTATGCCTTTTAAAATAACTTTTACAAAATATTTTCATAGATGCTAACAGCTTTCCATAATTTTTAAGTCAAACTTAGAGATAATTTCAACTTAAGATCTTTGTGAAACACCCCCTTGGTCTTGTCTTGAAGACACCGCACAAAAACGCCTCAAAGTGGCTATCAACGTGCAGACCACCATTGTAGGCGCTGCCTGCATCGATTGAGTTGATTTAAAGTTTTCTGTTTTATCATTGTTTTCTCATTCCGTATGAAATTATCCTCAATGTATAGAAGGATGGCAAGTGTATGAAGACTGCACATTGTGTGCTATGTATGTAAATGTTTTGATAAAGATATTTTTTAATTAAGAAATGATTAACCCATTCCCTGTGGGAATCAGGTACCCCCTTTATTGGCCCTAATTCACAAAGGTGGTTTAAATTTAACCCATGGTTTAGATCTTTATTTACATAACCCATGGTTTAAAATTAGCACAAAAAAGGTGCGAAACAGTCAGAGGTCCAATATTAGACGCGCGCAAGGCAAGGTCCGCTTATTTTGCGCCAATTTTTAAACCATGAGTTATGAATGAGGGTTTAAAACATGGGTCAAATTAAACCTCCTTTGTGAATTTGGGGAATTAAGACCATCCAAATTGCAACGACATTTAAAAGCTTTCAAATGAAAGCTCTCAATGAGTTGAGTAAAATGATATTTCAAGTTTATAACAAGCAGAGCAAATATTCATTCATTCTTGTATCACCAGGAATATAGAACCTTATTTGAATTGAATATATCCAAACTGAAGTACTTAAGCTAATAAAAGTGATCTTATATAGGGATATGTTTGGCACTTGATACTTAAAGAATGTTGCCCCTTTAGGCTGGTTAAGATATTACGCAGCAAAACAGCTGTTTCAAAAAAAATGATGATGTAGAGAGTAATACGCATCATATTTCTGTATCCCTATAACACAGAGCTCAGTGAATATTCACAAGTCCTTTGTTACACGCAGGTGTCATTTGTTTACTAGTATAAAGAAGGACAAAATGGCGTGTTTTTTTTTGCGGCAGTTTACCTCACCATATCTGAGGTAGCCTTTAAAGACACCTCCTGTAACTGCTCTACATGTTTTTTACTTGCCAGGACTCTGTACTTGCTCTTCAAGCTTTGACCAGATATTCAGAGATGGCTAATGGCGGAATTGACATTGACCTTTCTTGTGTCGTGACCTCAGAGGTCGATGAATCCTTCCACTATGAACATCGCTTCCTTACCCATAATGCACTTGTCAAGCGAGAAGTCGCCGTAAGTTGTCTACTCATCTGTTGTCTTTGTCCAATATCTTTTATTATTCGTATCTTTTATTTTCATGTATATGTACATGTATATATCAAAGGTTAAGAGGTCATGTGTCTGTAGTAAATTTGACTCTTACTATAATTAATACAGATAATGGCCACAAATATTTATTTAAGTTGGGGCTGTTCTATATTGGACATGATGGGTAATCTGTTCTCAATTGTAACATATCTATATAATCTAAGAATCTAAGTTAAGAAAAATTGATTTGATATATGTGTCCAAAAACTTTTGGCAATTGTAAACCTGTTTATATCAAGAAAAGACTTCAAAGAGATTATTGCAAACTTTTGCTTTTATAATCTCCAGGTACCTGTTGGTGGTCGTCTTCGCAGTCGATGTGAGGGCAAAGGAACAGCTAAACTTGCAGTAAGAGCATCATCACATTGTACATTTTCATATTGTCAGTTCATTTAAAATGTTTGTATTATTGTGAAGATAGTTACAACGGTTGTATCATAGAATGGAAGTAATTGGTAGTCCCATATAATTTGTATTAGAGTCTCATCCTAAGTAGAAATAAATACGGGAAAACTTTTGTTGATAGCTACATGTATAATCTACTATACTATAATAATATTGGGTTCTTTTATAGCACTCATATCTGTCAGACTTGACACTCCTGGCACTCTCATTTATTACCCTGGCTTACGGCTGCCATTACAGCTCTCTAGCATTTCAAGGAATTAATTCCTGCCAGGTACCCATTTACATCACCTTGGTTGAGTGTGGCAAACGTAGATCAATGTCTTGCCAAAGGACATTAGTGCCTCGGGGGGACTCGAACCGCGTACAGTTTGGTGACGTATCTACTCGACCACGACACCTATAGTCCAACCTTTACATGAAGACTTCTAGGGAAACAAGAAAATCATTGTTTTCATTTAAGGTAGAAGCAGAGTAGAAAGCTCAGCAATATGTTTGCATTTGCATTATTCTCAAAGTCCTATAGAGTATATCTGGGTGCCTCTCAAGACGTCTCTAAATTTGGCTAATCTACTTGTACCTGCTGTAGTCGCACTAACTGGTTGGATTATATTACCATAGTGACTAGTGGATATTGAAATACAGCCCTATGGTATTCTCTTGTAGTGTTATTTGTTTATCACCTTCGCTCTCTTCTCCTCTTTGACCATGATCAACAACAGATTCTTTGATAATTTTTTATGTAAAGCGCTGTGAAACAACAGATAGTTTGTAAGAGTGCTATAGAAATGACTTTATTGTATTGTATTAATTGTTTGAATTCATTTGAGTGTTATTCAAATCTTCACCCTGTGTTTGTGAACAGGTGAGAATGAAGTTCAATCGCCTACCCAGCTCCCAGGACGTGTGTCCATTCAACGTGACATACAACGCCCGTGAAGCCCGGACTGGTATGGATCCCATCAGTATCAGTAGATCTCGTGTTGGGATTGCCCCTCGATCCACCACTACATCAGCTCAGATGGCGAGGGCTAAGGGAGATCTGGTAGCTACCATAAGATTCTGTGCAAGGTAAATCCTCTCACTTCCTTCAATTCCATGACCTCTCAATTTCATGTTGTCTTGTTCATTTTTGTTAAAAGCTTCACTTGTAGACACCAAAATCATCTATACATTTACTGGAATGCTGATTGAATGAAGCCAAGTTGTTTGACTTATAACCCTTTGAATACAAATTGATTTTGATAGAACACATATTTCCATAAACTCAAGCCTGAGTTATCTTGGTCTTGTATTCCGTGGGTAAACACTTCAGGGATCTGATCAGAGACTGATATGGAATTTGTTTTTAATTTATAAAAATAATATTGGGTTCTTGTATAGTGCTCATATCTGTCAGACTTGGCGCTTTAGCATAGCTGCCGTTATGGCGCTCTAGGATTTCAAGAAATTAATTCCTGCCAGGTACCCATTTACCTCAACTGGGTTGAGTGTGGCAAATGTAGATCAATGTCTTGCCAACATTAGTGCTGCGGCTTGACTCGAACCGCGGACCCTGTGATCCACAATCCGGTGACGTATCCCCTCGACCATGACATCTGATGTAATGAATTGAATGATTTTCTATTTGAACAATCTCAGCATCATCAATTCTGTTAACATGATGAGACATGAATGGTCAATTTGGCAGTGGATTCATAATTTATCTTGGTGATTTGTATTATTTCTAGATACACCCAGAACACAAGAACCAACATGGGAATCATTGATGTGGGACTGTACTCTGGTTTTGTGCTGGTTTCAGAACGCCTTGAGGATGTAAGTTTAGTAGTTTTCTATTTCAGTGAACTATTTAATATGCTCTTTTATACTCCTTATTTGGTTAGGTGCTTCATTTATCACTAACTCTTTGTAAAAATATATCAGTAAACATCACGACTCCAGCTGAATATATGTATGTGGTAGATGTATCTCTTAGATTGTCTTTGGCACATAAATCTGCAAAACTGGTTGCATCTGGTTGGGATATAGGTGAGGGCAGTCTGCAGACTATAGTTATTTGGTTAACTTTGCTCAAGGCCTGGCAGCACCGCCGGGTGCACCCAGTGCAGGGAAAAAATTAATATTTATTTTTCGGGGGCTACTTTTCAACCTTGCCTGCATGAAAATAACATTCTAAAATTTGTTTTGCATTGAACTCTATGCAAATTTACTGGGGCTCTTTTCTGATTTTCGGGGGCTCTTTTAGGCATTTCGGGGGCTAATTCGCCCCGAGCCCCCGTGTATTTTTTTCACTGACCCAGTGTTCATGTATTTTTGTGTGATTTGCTATTAATTAATTATTTTCATTTCTGTATTTTTATAACATGTGTTTTCTGCCAAATAAAAGAATAAATAAAATGAATGCACATTTTTGTGTGGGTTTTGTTTTCAAGTTATTCTAATGAAAGATTTTGTTTTTAATTGATAGATGGTTCAGACTGATCACCTTCATCTTGTACAGAGGTACGAGGTCTCACAGCGTTCTGTAATCTTCTATCTAGACGAGGTAAGAAACTTATAATGGGGAATGTTAAGAGGGGGAAGGGAGGGGGAGGGGGAGGGGAGGGGGAGGGGAGGGGGAGGGGAGGGGGAGGGAGGGGTGTAGAGGTACGAGGTCTCACAGCGTTCTGTTATCTTCTATCTAGATGAGGTAAGAAACTTATAATGGGGAATGTTAAATGGGGGAAGGGAGGGGGAGGGGAGGGGGAGGGGAGGGGGAGGGGAGGGAGGGGTGTAGAGGTACGAGGTCTCACAGCGTTCTGTTATCTTCTATCTAGATGAGGTAAGAAACTTATAATGGGGAATGTTAAGAGGGGGAGGGGAGGGGGAGGGGAGGGAGGGGGAAGGGAGAGAGAGGGAGTGGAGAGGGGATGAGGGTTGGGGGAAGGGAGGGATGAGGGAAGGGGAAGGTAGAGGGAGGAGATGAGGGAATGGAGAGGGAATGGAGAAAGGGATGAGGGAGGGGAAGGGAGGCGGAAGGGAAAAAGAGGGTGGAGGGAGGGGAGATGGAGGGGAGAGCTCACAGTGATCTGTTTTCTTCTACCTAGACAGGGTAAAAAATGAGAATATTGGGAATCTGGGCATTAGGGGGGGGGGGGGGGGCTGTGAAATTCTCATCATCTGTGACTTAGGGGAAATAAACATGCCTTTATTTGATTTTTAAAAAAATCTGATGTCCCCCTTACCACTTTTAATAACTGTCAAATAGCTTGAAACATAATGAAATGCTACTTTCAACCGTGTTCAGAAACTTAAGAGTATAAGAACTAGCTATTATTATTTATACTCTTAAGTTTCTGAACACGGTTGAAAGTAGCATTTCACTATTTGATTTTTTTTAAAATCTGATGTCCCCCTTACCACTTTTAATAACTGTCAAATAGCTTGAAACATAATGAAATGCTACTTTCAACCGTGTTCAGAAACTTAAGAGTATAAATAATAATAGCTAGTTCTTATATAGCGCTTTTCAGGACCAAAGGTCCTCTAAAAGCACTCTACAGATATATATACCGGTATTATAAATATGCTTAAATAATATTTGTTATTGTTTACTACATGTGTGCAGATTCCAGCTGATCAAGACATCTGTATGGAGTTTAATGCTAGGAGAGAGATACATGTTGGTAACGTCCAACCTGTAGCAATCAGGGTCTACGACTACTACTCACCAGGTCAGTATAAGGTCTAAGGTTACCGTGTATCATGAGAAAGAGAGAGAGAGAGATACATGTTGGTAACGTCCAACCTGTAGCAATCAGGGTCTATTCACCAGGTCAGTACAAGGTCACTGTATATCGTTAGAGAGAGAGAGAGATACATGTTGGTAACGTCCAGCCTATAGCAATCAGGGTCTATGACTACTATTCACCAGGTCAGTACAAGGTCAAAGGTTACTGTGTATCATTAGAGAGAGAGAGAGAGAGAGAAAGAGAAATATATTATTATTATTATTGTCTGTGGCCATGTAGTCTTCCTAAATGTTTTGTACAGAGAAAAAAATACATGTAGACATTAATCAGTTCTCGGCTGGGTTATGATAAATATACCTAACACTGATTCACTATATCAACAAGATTCATAAAGGTTATCTGTCTTTTGCCCAAAAGGTATCATTTATAAAGATTTTCATTTTCCCTCAAAGTTTTAATAACTTAAATCCTATAATATTTTATGTATACTAAACAAATTAAGCAGTCACTAACGGCTCTCCCTTTTTATTGTCTTTCAGATAAATCCTGCACATCATTTTACCACCCTCTTCAGGGGAATACCCAGTTACCTACTCTGTGTAACAGTGCTGATCAGTGCATATGTCCTAGTGGTAAGTCTCCTCTACAATCCTTGCCATTTGTCAATTTCATAGTGAAACATTGTTTAAATAGTTGTAAGGAATCAAAGCTGTTAGAAAGAAAAAAATTCTTCATGTGGTGATAGTAATAATATAAGTAACATTTATAAAGCGCTTCATACTAATGTTTCTAAGCCCGTACTGTTATTATCCTGATGAGGCGCTCTGGCATTCCAGGAGTTTCTTCCTACCGGGTACCCATTTAAATCACTTGGGTGGAGAGTGGCAGATGTAGATTAATATCCTGCCAAAGGACATTAGTGCTGCCGTGGGACTCTAACCACAAACCATGTGATTCATAGGCCATTGACGTATTCAGTAGACCATCTATGTATATGAAGTAGCATTTCAAAAGGGACGTTATTTAAAGCAAAATGTTGGATATCTCTTTAGTCAGTGTCTTCATAAATATGTTGAATATTAGTCTTGAAGATTGTAATGCATTTAATCATAGCTTATGGTATTTACCTTGAATGTTTTGCAACTGTTCACTCTATGAATAATAACTAAATTGAGAAAAACAAATTGCATTTTAGAATGTTAAATATGATTTTATATCTTGCCTTCTTTTCAGAACGTTGTGCGTTGTGTACCAGAGAGCCTGGTAAGAGCTTACTCGACAAGGCTTGTGAATCGAGTGATAACTATGGTAAGTTTTCTCTTGTTCTCTCTGTCTCTTTCAAAATTTCATTTATTTTTCTAGCTTTTTAGTAGTTCATCTTGCAATTTACTCTTATGAGTGTATGAGAGGAAAGCCAATAATATGTCTTTGTTTGAAGCAATGTTTTATTATTCTTTTTTTCTTCAAATTTTCAAAATTTTGTTCAGCTTCTCCGTACTGATAGCTTTATGCAACCTCTTGTTTTGGGGTTTCCAATAACCAGGAAATATATATATTGTGAAAAGGATACCATTAATTAAGAATGAATTGACCCTGTTTTTATTTACCAGCTCTGAGAGTGACCATGATGTCACAAGAGAGAATCAGTGGATACACAGTCTACATTGGCAATGTCACAAGGGTTGTCAGAACAGGTTAGTACAGTCAAACCTGCTCTAGGGACTACCTGTATAGAAAGACCACATCTTTTGTTACCCTTTAAAAAAGTTTCTCATTGAAACATGTACTATAGGCACTTGTACATAAAGACCACTTTTCATGTCTCCCTTGGGTGGTCTTTATGGTCTTTATAGACAGGTTTCACTTTACTATGATATTAATGCTTAATTTGTATAGTTTAAATAATTAAATCAATAGAATATTTGATATAGTGCATTGGCAAGACATTAATCTACATTTGCCACACTTCACCCAGGTGAGGTAAATGGGTACCCGGTAGGAGGAAAGTCATTGAATGCTTGAGCACCTTTTCATGCTAGCTGGGCTAAAGCTGTGGTAATATGATTGCAGGGCCCACAGGGGGAACAGTATGAATACTGATGAGGCCAACCTGGGTAAACAAGACATATTATTATTGTTATTACGGTACTGTTTATAAGATGATGAAGCGGATTCTAATCAAATGATTGGTTGAGAGTGTACATGTGACCAGGCATTTATTTTGCCTAACACGTAATTTTACTAATGAATGGTCATTAGTAAAATTTTATAAAACAAATAAAAACCTCATCTTATAAAACACATCATTTTGTTCAGGCATTAGTAAAATTACCCACACTCGGTAACTTTGAAACAGTCCAGACACCTGAGGCGATACGTTATTCTTCCTAATGCCCTTTGTATAATATAAGAGCACAAAATAACTACGTGATTTTTCATGATTAATGACAAAATACCTGTACACAATAAAGTCCCTTGCACGTGTTCACTAATATCTGTGTGTTATATTAGATAAAGAGTTAATTTTAGAGTAATCATAAACTGGACCATGTTTGATTGTATCTGTTCAGGTCAAGACGATGTGAGTCCTGGAATGCTGAGACATTTCTACATCAAAGAGAGATGTCCTTGTCCTAGGATTAAACTCAATGGTGAACACACTATCATTGGATCAGCAGGTCTTAGTTTCATCTCAGACACAGGAGCAGATGGGTGAGTTCACACGCAAAAATAATAATGATGATAAAAACGGTGCTCATTACGAAAAGCTCTCGTTAAAACTATACCCCACCACTATAGCACAGCAGTCAATGGGAATCTGGTGGGGTTGGACTACCCCAATTTCGTTTCTCTCGTTAAAACTTTGAGAGAGCTACTACTATTTCACAGGCACCAATGGGAATCTGGTGGGGTTGGACTACCCCAATTTTCTCTCGTTAAAAACTTGGACAGAGCCTTGAGGCTCTGCGTGAGAGTTTATGATATTGGATTGCAGCTGGACTCCTCATCATCTTACGTAATACTAGTGTAAACAAACTCTTACTGGGGCTCTGCCTGAAAGGAAATGAGAAGTAGGAAATAAGTATTTTACTTGTTTTAAGATATTTTCACGTCAAAAAATCGCTAATAAGATAGATGAAGACCAAAATGAAAGTTCAAACGAAGCAAAATGACCCATAATTGGCGATATAACAACGATTTTAACTCTGGCAGCGAACCCCTGCATGTGTCTCTTTCTCCCTACTCCCTTCCTTTCCCCATCCATGCTTTCCCCCCTATCATGCTTATCTCTCTCTCTATCACCTCATCAAGGTCTCGGTGGGGGTGGATTACAATGCTAGTGTTTACTTAGGACTTATCACAATCTCTGCTCTAGTACAAGTAGTAGTGGTGAAAGTCAAATGGGGGTTTCAATTTTAAATGACGAGTTTTCGTCATGTTATAAAGCGCTTACCACCGAAGTCTCTAATACAATGATAAACAATTACATATTAAACAAAACATAAAAAGTGCAAATAAACCTACAAATTACAATACATATGAAATATACATCAATGTGAACAGAGTAAGTGAATCATCTAAAGCAATTCTAATCTCCTCATTAGACCAGGGAGGTGTTTCGTAAAGACTAAGATCAACTTCAAGTTGGACTTACATGTAACTATGGCAGGTCGTTATTGCCACTGTTTGCACTCACCATTTACCGGCATTTGTCTCTCAAGGGACGTACAAATCATGGTCACAAATCTACAGGATTAACATTTTTTGATAATTCATTAATGAAGGAAAAAATTTAAAGATCATAATGGTTAGAGAAAACAGTGGCATGACAGCCTGCCACAGTTAAGTCCAACTTAAAGTCGATCTTTCTTTATGAAACACTTCCCAGTGCATCGTTTCATGAAACAGTGACAAGTACGCCGATATCCGAGTCCCACTACAAAGTGGGTCAATTCTTGTACACACGTTTCAACAGAATGTGTGCAAACTGGTTAATGATCGATTCATGAAACGCTGACTAGACCTTTTATGTGCTCTGATAATAGGGCTGTCACAATATAGTAAGACCTTAAACATGCTAACCCAAACAAATCTGGATGGTTTTCAGTTAACTTTCATACAATAATAGTCACAAAAGAATGTAATTTGTTCTAAAATATTAGCACCAATATGCTTGTGTACTCTTGTGAAACACTCCCCACGCTGTCAGTAGTATTGTTAATAGCCATATCACAACTACTTTATAACATTGATTTCTCATCAAATAATCTTCTTGCATATATTCTTTCTTTCTCCAGCTACAAGTATCTGTTGGACGACAGGAGTATCGTGGAATGGTGGCCAACAAAACTGAACAAGAAAAAGAACCTCGACATTCAGACAAAACTTCTCAACTTTGAGCAAGATGCCCAGCTGTGTACATGAGTCCATCTTCATTGATTTTTTTAAACATATCAAGGACTGTGGACGGTGCATTCATTTTCAACCGTGTCTGCTGAACTTGATCGAAGTCTTCCAAGTTTATTGCATTATTTGAAAACTTATTTGGAAATATGTGATCTTGCGATTATTCAAATACTTTGCGGCTCATACAGTATGTATATGCATCCCAATGAAAGAAGTTTCAGATTAAACTATTTTTAATTGAAACAAGAGTTTGTTTGACGTATAGTAGCTCCAAGAATTGAATTTCAAGTTTTTTTCTGTTACACCGTGTATGGTATCATCCAAAAAGTCTTTTTGGCCTGTACCCAAGAAAATAATGAAACACATTGCATTATTCTAATACTTCTTATCTGAAAATAGTTAATAAAACATTTATCATCAACACTATATTCTACGAATGTACATTCATATTTTATCATGCTCAAATTCGATTCTAATTAAATGTACATGTACATTACATAGGCTTCCACATAATTATGTAAAAATGAATTATTTATAAATCAGTGGCCTTATTTTTTTAATGGTAGAAAAATTGAACATTGTCTCAAAGATTTTTCATAGGTTCCTTTGTGGGGAAAACTGTTAAAGGTACTATTCTTCCCTTTCTTATTCTCATTTGTTTTAAAGTAATTTATGCAACTCCCTGTAATCTACATCGCTGTGTGTTTTCATCTTATTTTATGTAAATATTGAATATTGTATTGTTATTTTTTGTACTATTTGTGGCTGAAATGAAATCTCTTAATCACATTTATATCATTCCTATTCAAAGAGATAATATTTTGTTATTTTTATAAAAACAAAATATAAGATTACTCTTCATAACTAGAAGGGTTTTGTTCTTTCCAAAGCTGTTTAAATTGTGTTTTTAATGATATCATAAAACTGAATTTGAAGTATTGATCAAATTGAGCCTTTCTTGACTAAATTAATTACATAATAGAGAATACATTGTAATTCTGTTAATTTCTAAGGCAACCCATGTTTAATAAATAGTGATTTATTTATTATCAATGAATAAGCCTTTTTGAAGAAAAGAAAGTGTAAATGAATGGTTTGACATCAGTATGGGGGCAAGGATGAGTATGAAAAGTATTTCTTGAGATGAAAAAGTGTGGCTTTAGAAGGGCAAGGAAATTCCATGACTATTTGAAGACAATCTACACATGCACATGTACCGTGTGTAAAATCTAGGCAGGGAGATGAGAAATAAAGAACACATTTTTTTGGTGCTAAATTTACAGTAAAACAATTTTAAATAACTCCTTATTAGAAGTGAAATATTCATGTTTTAAAGAAAAGTGTGCCCATTTTATGAAATAATTTTAAACAGTCATCATTACCTTGATAGTCAATTGTATTTGAAATTTACAAATATACTATTTTTAAAAGGGCAATTTATTTGAAGGTTCTTGAAAAATATTTTAAAGAATATGATACACTTGTATGAGTGGACTTTTAATCTCAATTCAATGTAATATTTACATTTCATGTACATGCAAATGTTGGTGTTTGGTATTTATAGGAAACACTGCTTATCTTCATGTTCATACATTTATGAAGTCACAGACGGAGAAGTCTGGTCTCTATTATCAATAATCCTAACACCCCCCCCCTATGGTCTTCTTTGGAGACATTCAAGTAAATATTAATGTCGTATGCATCCAGTAAAGGTCACAAGGTCAATTTTAATAAATGTGATTGAAGATGAAAGCAAAAGTCAAAGAAAACCATTCTAACAGATTTGACAGATTGTTGAACAGATATAACTTAAATGTACCCAATGATTAGGACCAATTTTATAGTTAATCAAAGTCAGGGTTTTTAGTGATGCTTGTATGCAGTGTCACATTATGTAAATATATATTATAATATGCAAAATATTCTGCTTTGTTATACAGAATGCTATATCATGTCATGATTTGTACTTTTTTGCATTTAAAAAGTATTCATAATAAAAGAATTTTAAACTATGCAACTTGAGAAGTTTGATTTTTATGCGTAATCGACCGTAAAGTGTGATTAGTTAACTACCTACCGGTGACAGGTGGCATTTCATAGACTGGTTTACTCACATATTGAATGTTTTAATGCATACAAAGGTTTTCTTGACAACCTGAAAGCTTGCCCAACATAGCAACAAGTAATGTATGCAGACGGGATCCCAAGTATTTTAGTTCCTGAATAACAGATTAAACGAATACCTCGTCAACAGGTCCCCAGGAAAGAAACATCCATAATTTTACTGTGATAGTAAAGCAGTCTATTGACTTTCACAATGACTTACAAATATTCCGCTCATCTTTACAACCATTCTGATTATCTGATTTATTTGGTAGCCTGATATTTAAACAAATTTTGCACATTATCTCTTTTGTACACATTCAATTTCCCTTTTTACCTATGTTTTTCAATTAATGCATGTTCTCTCCCGAACCTTTGGTTTACCTGCTATGCTAAATGGCTTCTGTGTAGATGAAATTCACTTGAATACATTAGTTGTTGCTATGTTGGTCAATCATCTGAAAGCTTGTCAGTCATCAAGAGAAACTTTTATTTTCAAAATAGTATGCATAAAACAAGAAAACGGGTTTATTGTAGATTTGAATACTAGGACACTGCCAACGTTGTGACATCTTCATATTTCCTTCAAAGTTCTACAGAACTTGATGTTGGTTGTAGAAGGGATACATTTAAGTGCCATATAAAAAATTATTTCATTCACCTGGTACAAATAATTGTATTTCAATAGTCGGAATACGAATCGATTAAAATTGATTGTTGCTACATAGAACAAACATGGCTTGTCATACCAAACAATGCCTAATCTATGCAAGTATAAATTTGGTTAAATTGCGGTTTGGGGTTTTGGGTGCAAAATATAAATTCTTACCGGTAGTTGTTTAAATATTGACTTCAGAGGTTTAGATGACAATATTTCAACCTAAATTCACAAAAAAGCAGAAATATATTCTTTCACATGATTGGTAATAAGAGCTTCCATTTCATTTTTTGAGCGGGGGGCATTTCCAAAACTGGGGTATGCCTTTAAGCAACATGCGACTCATATTCCAGTTTGTGTACAGTTAAGAACTAAATTATTCATATTCTTGTAAATTAGATGCCATTTTGGAACAACTTTAGAAAAACCCCACCACTAAAATTGACCAAACGCTCGTAGGGTACCAAATACTTCATCAATGAAGGTAAATATCAAGACTTTTAAGTAACACGTAACCCTGACTCTAACCCTAACTCTAACCCTAAGTTTTCAACGTTTATTTACATTAATCCCATTGGTGGGGTATTCTACATACATTCTATTACATAACTTGGCAAGGGTATAAAATATCTAGTCAAGTTTTGTAGCAGTGGATTCATAGGATCACATCACGCAAGCCATCAAGACATCACACCATGTATGTTATCTCACCTAGCTCACCAGTCGATCAGCGATAATCTTGAGAGGTTCTGATTAAATCTATGGGCCTCGGCACACATAGCAGCATATAGTATACTTTTTGTGTATCATAAAGTATTTAGACGATCTCTATTGATTCTCAACATTTCAAACACCACTGTACAAAACTGAGTTCACTCGAAATCAGTATTTTGGTGACAATCGATGATACCTAAATCACAGTAAAATACAATCTTTTCTACTTACAGACTTTAAAAAAATTCTTTGAAAATTCAGCCAATCAGCCACTTCGATGCCTCTCAGCACGTATACAGCGCTAGAGGTCAATATACGCATTATCATTGACTACTATGCTTTGCTGGAGTGGGGGGCCTCGGTGACTCCAATAGTACTTAAGGGAATTAATCATAAAATAGAAAGTGGTTTCTTTCCTACCTTGTCTCGTAGCAACACCTGTTGAAACCAGAATTAGTGAGCCACTAATTGTTGGGACAAAATATCTCACAAGTTACAGTGAGATAATATATATATTTACAAGATGAATTATAGGTAGCCGTTCAAATATGGCACAATCCCCGTATAAAGAATATGTAGACTTTACACAAAGTAATGTTGCTTCTTTGCGGATGAAGTAAGGGAGACAAAACTCATAATCTCAATGAAGTAACAAGGCCTTAGAACCGAGTAGAGAATCAAGCGAAGAAGTTTGATGAAGCTGAATTAGCCTCGATGTAAACTCTCTCTTAAAGTTGCGTGTTCTATAAGAACAGCTCGGGAGAAGTGATGAAAATAGGTGTGGCAGAAGCAAGTGTAATATGCATGTCATATGCTATAGTACATTGGGTGGTTGCACATCCCAACACATAGGTTGTGGAATGTGCTTGCCAGAATAACTGCATTTCCCAATACTACAAGGTTCGAATGTGCTTGCCAGAGAAAGTATGTGTGGCACTCTAATGGGCCATTTTCGTAATGTAACCAAATTTAATGCATAAGTCTTTGTGAAGGTCCTCAATACAAATTATTTCATTCACCTGGTAAGAATAATAGTATTTCAACAGACATAATCCAAACTGCATACATTAGTTTTTGCCAGGTTGGACAAACATGATGGCTTGACCTACCTAGCAACACTTGATATATGCAGTTTGCATTCTGACTATTGAATTACTATTATTCTTATCAGGTGAATGAAATAATTTGTATTGAGGCACTACACAAAGACTTGTGCATTAAATTTGGTTACATTACGAAAATGGTCTATACTGTTACAGGTGTCACTATAGAAATGGGTGACAATTGAATAAAAGGCCAGACTTCAAGACACACAATCAAGACAATAAAATTTACAAATGTAAAGTTCTTCTAAGGTCAAGTCACTACAGTACTATTGGAGTCACCTCTTGTCCATAGTTTTAACCAGGGTATATTTGTTTTATATCCTGCCTTAAAAAGTTTTCATTACATTTTTTAAAAACAATTTTTTTTTTAAATCAAATTTTAAACCATTCAACATTTGAATAAACTTAACAAACAAACAAAAATATTATTGAATTTCTTTTTCAACTCCCCAATAGTACTCCCAAATAGTTCTTTTTTCAGAGCAACATGACCAGGGGGGTGTTTCACAAAGACTAAGATCGACTTTAAGTTGGACTTAACTATTGCAGGCTGTTCATGCCACTAGTTGCTCTCACCATTGGTCTCTCAATTATGATCTTTAGATGATATTTTTCATTCAATAATGAACGATCAAAAGATGTAAATTCTGTAGATTTGTGACTATGATTCGTAGGACCTTTGAGAGACCAATGCCAGTTAATGGTGAGAGCAAACAGTGGCATGAACGGCCTGCCATAGTTAAGTCCAACTTAAAGTCAATCTTAGTCTTTGTGAAACACTCCCAAGAACTGGTGTCTTATTTTACTTCCATTGACACTACTCCACTCTGCAACAAACTATAAGGTTAATTTCCCTTTTGGTCTAACATATGTAACTACTGTACTCACATAAGTAAAAAAAAAAAAATTGAAACATAATCAGGTTTTAGGATAGTTTATTGACAATAATAGTTTTTATTCTACATTATACATATACATGTATATCTATCCTGGCCAGCAATGTGTATATACAGTTAGTATGATCAAGAAACTTCTTAGATTGAATAAAGCACTCAGTCTCTCACTGCACTGCCAATGAAAGGTGTATGACCATTGATAATATCCAAAGACTATGTCATAGCCAAAACATAAAGATACAACTTCAAATGAATCCAGTACAGAGAGAGAGAAGTGCAAAATTATCAAAATAATAAATCATGAATGTAGATAATTCAGGCACTATTGAACAGGAATAAAGCTTTAAGGTAATGTATTCACACACTGCAATATCTAACAATGGACGGATATAAAGTAGAAGATGTCTGGCAAATGATCAAGAATATGTTTGCAGTGTTGCAATGAACTTGCATCCAACAATAAAATAGACAAAACATTTTTAAATAGAAAGAATTTGCAAGTATATACATATGTACATCTTATATAATTTCATCTATGGACAGCTTATCAAAATACAATATTAGATATACAGTATATACAGAGAGCAAGGTGGTTTCATTGTGACTCGATAGAGATCAAGTTCTTCGGTATAATGCTTCATGTCATCACACAACACATACTCTATACAAAGGAAGTTGATGATGCAATTTATCATCTACAATCATAATTTTATAGTGCGTCACCTATTTTAATATTGTATGTTTGCCCATTCTGATACTTATTGCTGCCGGGCTTACGATCAATTGGGCAAAAGGAATATCCGTTTCGGTTTAATAAAATTTGGAGTGGATTATTAGGCTATTATTATTATTATTATTATTCCTCATTTTCTCAAGCCTTATATTCAACTTGAGAAACGTGAATTGTCATGTATGAAATAAAATATATGAATATTCTGTTCCTGTTGTAACTTTTTTTAAACCCAATACGCTTATGTCTTATAGATATAACATGTACTTTTTGATATATTGCAAGTGGGGTTTCTTGTATAAAAAGGGGTGAATAAACACAACTCCAAAAATCAAAACCAACTAAAACTCCAAATAATCAGAGCTAAGCTTGAATGTCAGATTAGAGGTGTTGTATTGCGAAGCGTCCCCGACACGATCACATTGTTTGTGAGTCCTGTGGTGTAATGACAATAAGAAAGGTAGGAATTTGCCGACATCATCAACACAGTTTACATAATTATAGACTGGAAGAGTGCAGATGAAAGTCTTTCATTGACTCAATAAATGGATGAAGCTGGAAAGTGATCACGGAAACACTTTCTTAAAGCTCCACTACACTACTTATACTCTCTGTATAGCAAACAATGCCTAATCGGTGACCAATGGTCCGCTTTTTTTTAAATTGAGAGCTGATTTGATGAGATAACCACCTGCCAGTGACCATGCAGTGAGGTCTAATCCCTCCTGGCCAACTAGTGCAGATAGGCTTTAAACACAATTGCAAGAATATAATATATTCTGTAGGGATATGTTTGTTTAATATGTCACTGGGCTGCTCCATACAATGTTCCATAGTTCTCCCAGTGATTCTCTGTTCATGCTCAAGGTGAAGTCATTGAATTGTTTCAGTAGAGATCTTTGACTTTCTGGACGGCTGTCTGCCAGCTACCGGTCCACCTGTTTTCCGCCGTGGTCTGCTCTTCCTGCTTGGTGGCGATCTCCTTCAAGCGCTGCTCATAGTCCGTTGTGCTTTGCTGGATACACAGATATAAGAAATAGAAAGATGATTGGCATGGGGGCAGGATAGATGGAGGCAAGATATTGAACAGAGGGCAACGTGTTCTGGGAGTGTTTCACAAAGCCTAAGATCGACTTTAAGTTGGACTTAACTATGGCAGGCTGTTCATGCCACTGGTTGCTCTCACCATTGGTCTCTCAATTAGGATCTTTAGATAATATTTTTTCCTTCAATAATGAACTATCAAAAAATGTAAATTATGTAGATTTGTGGCCATAATTTGTATATCCCTTGAGAGACCAATGCCAGTAAATGGTGAGAGCAAACAATGGCATGAACAGCCTGCCATAGTATATTTGTAAAGCGCTTAGAGACATTTGTATTAAGCGCTATATAAAAATTAAATATTATTATAATTAAATAGTTAAAGTTGATCTTAGTCTTTGTGAAACACTTCCCTGGTCTATTGGGTATGTTCAACATGAAGTGCCAATGTACTATGGAAAGACAAGAATTCACATTGGCCATTTGGCATGAAACAGAAGAATGTGAACCTTAGGATACATGTAGAAGAATCATGGTGACTGAATGCTGTCCACATGTTGGGGCACTCATTATGAATGTTCATGATCTACAGATTAGGTTTATATCAACATTAGTAAAAGGCAAACATATTATTGTAGGCTAGTGATGTTATATCCTTAGTATCACTAGTATCATTAATGCACAAAGATATCTTTGAACCCTAATACTTGTTTGAGGATTGCCTGAAAATAATAACATTGACTTTTTGTAACAACACAGGATTGAAATGCAGTGACAGATTTTCGTGATGGGGTTTGTTATTGATAGGCCTGTGGCCTTTACAAATCTCACTATATTGAATTTATTTGTGTTTAATACTTGTTATTTTTTTTTTAATGTTATTGTCATCGTGATTGTTATTTTTAAACAAATGTGAAAATAAAATGAATTAAATCATCCTAAGATAAACGATGAGTGACAAGTATTGATGTCTGTGTGTTTTCTGTTACCTGGAATGCATGATTCCTTGCATCATAGGTTGCCTGGTGTGCTAATGCAGTCTTCTGAGTCGTCACAGCTGCTGTTGTAGTCGGAGTAGGAGCTACTTCACTCTCAACCTTCTTACCCTTCGCCAGTCTGCTACGGCTACGTGCCTGAGTTGGAGTCTGCGATGTTTCTATCTTAGGAGGGGGCGTCGGCTCTGGTTGAATGCTAAGGGGAAGCCCCTCCCATTGACGACTACCTCGCTTGATGAGTGGTACATATTCATTGTCCTCTAGTGGGAGCCCTGCTTGTTTGCGTCGCATCAGGGCGCTGGTCTTCATACGCTTTGCATCAACCCCTGTACATATGGAAGATCATGTCGGTTAGATCATTTAAAATACATTACAGTTTACGAGAATATGACTTCCATTCAGTTTTATGTACAAAAATAATTTTTATTTCAACAAGGAAATAAGACATTGACCAGCCGTATTCTAAAAATTATAATATATTTCATATATTTTATATTCATGATAATGAAAATAATTTACATTATCATTACAAATATAAATTCATGTGAGCTGTCAGGTAATAACTGCACACAAGTGGCTGTACACGCAAATATTTTCTAAGTCATCCAGTTTCATTTACTCAAGAACTTCAGAAATTCTAAGGGAAAAATTATGAACAACCAAAAAATGCAATGTTTTAGTAGCTTGACCAAAAATATTGTAGATGTTAACTAATAACAAGTTAAATGATACAGGGACCTGCATGGCCGTATATCAGATTTCTTATTGCATTGATCGAGAAGACTTACTGCCGGTGATGACATCATCAACTGTTAGCTCTGAATCTAGTAGGAGTAGAAGCTGTTCAGTGGTAGTAGCAAGCTGTTTCACAAAGTCATCTCCACAGCTCTTCATTGCATCCTGTATGAATACGGATAAAAAGGCTAGTTATGGGGTGTCTTTGACTCAACATGACCCTCCACATTATCAAAATGAGAAAATCATATAGATTTAATGAAAATGACAAGTACATCATTGGGAAGAGATGTCCAACGTAAGCTCTTCTTGTCACTCTTGTTGTGCTCTACAACTTATTTCCAGAGAAAAAGTTGGAAAAAGACATCTCTCCGCTTTTATAATGTCATTCTATCATCATCATCAATAACTTGGAAAGCATGTTAACTACTTTCAAGATCAAGAAGTTTATCCAAATTTAGATTATTCAAAGACAATCCAGGAAAATCAATGTTAGAGCCGCAAAGTAGTAGAAAAAAGTTGCTTTTTCTTCTCTCTTAATTCTTCAATCTATAAACTCTGCAATATCTAACAATGATCATTCTGACAACATTGTAGGTTACATACAGGGATAAACAAATTTCATCCTGTAAACCATATTTCTATAAAAGAAGACAGCGTGGCAATAAATAGACCTGTAACTGTAAGCAAATTAAGTATATAGTAAAATCTAAATACACCCATTCAATTTATGCATGTTTCTCTCCCTTACCCCTGGTTACCAGCCATTTCATTCACCTGCTGTGAATAATGGCATCTTTATGGATGGAATACACTTCGCATACATTATTTGTTGTCATAAGATGGATCCTAATCAAATGATTTGTTGAGAGCGTACATGTGACCAGGCATGACCGGTCATTATCAAATGCTAATGACCGATCATTAGTAAAATCAAGTTATAAAACATTATTTTATAAAAAAATTAAACATAATCTTATAAAACAAATACTGGTAATACACATCATTTTGTTCGGGCATTAGTAAAATTACCCACACTCGGTACCTTCAAAACAATCCAAACAGACTGTTCCAAAGGTACCTTGTGTGGGTAATTCTTACTAATGCCCTCACTGCTGTGTATTATTTGTATACTATGTTGGGGTAAAAACATTGCAAAGCTTTAAAGTTCTCAAGAAAAACTTATGTTAAAAATATGCATACAATTAGTAAACAGGGCTCATATTCATAAAACATTCCTAAGCCCAGTTGTCAGCTAAGTATATACTGTAGCCTATGTAATTAGTTGATAACTATCTTGGTAAGGTTTTAGGGATATGGGCCCAGGTCCATTGGATTAAAGTTCTTACCCTGAGGGCCTTAGCATTGTCCTCTACTCCAGCCATGTATTCCTTCCTTCTCTCCTCCTCCTGATCACACAGTGATACAAGCTCATTGCGATTGTGAGGGTGGCCTAGGGTCGGGCGCAGCAAAAGTTTATGCTGGCTCTGTACATATAACAAATATAATGAAGAAGTTATATGTACCTATATGTATTAAATACATGGGGTACTTTAATGAAGAATTGTGCATATTGATGCACCTATACTGGCCGAAAGCCACAGAAAATTGATTGTATTGAAATACATAAACTTGCAAGGGAAAAACATCACTGTCTATATATGTAGGGCCTAACTAATGCACAAAATTCAACTCAAAACACAACATGACTAATACAAATTAGTTCAAAGCAGTTAACTTCTCTTTGCCTTGATCATATATAACTAGATGGAACTTCGACTACGCGCAGTCGAAAATGATGCCTCCGTCATAGAGCAATTTTACAAACCAAAACAGAAGAAATTTTTCAAATTCAAGTTCAATTGTAATCCATTAAGAGGTTCTCAGAATATCGTGATTACAAGCAATTTCTCATATACATATATGACCCTTTGATCTTTGACCTGATGACCCTAAAATCTACTCAGTTCATTGGCTCTGCAAGATGTCCTGAGTTAAATAGTAATCCATCTGTCAGTTCTAATGAGAATGCGTTCACAAGTTATTTTTGGATACATAATGAGCCCATGACCTTTGACCTCATGACCCATGAATCTACTCAGTTCATTGGCTCTGCAAGATACATACATGATCGAAATTTGGCAGGAATCCATCAATCTGTTCTAATGAGAATGCGATCACAAGCTATTTTTGCATACATAATGAGCCCTGTGACCTTTGACCTCGTGACCCCAAAATCTATTCAGTTCATCGGCTCTGCAAGATACATACATGACCAAAGTTTGGCAGGAATCCATCGATCGGTTCTTGAGATAATGCGATCACGAGCTCTTTTTGCATACCTAATGAGCCCTGTGACCTGTGACCTTTGACCTTGTGACCCCAAAATCTAATCAGTTCATCGGCTCTGCAAGATACATACAAGACCAAAGTTTGGCAGGAATCCATCAATCGGTTCTTCAGATAACGCGATCACAAGCTGTTTTTGCATACATAATGAGCCCTGTGACCTTTGACCTTTGACCTCGTGACCCCAAAATCTAATCAGTTCATCGGCTCTGCAAGTAACATACATGACCAAAGTTTGGCAGGAATCCATCAATCGGTTCTTCAGATAACGCGATCACGAGAACGGGACGTACGGACGGACGGACGTACGGACGTACGGACGTACGGACGTACGGACGGACGGACGGACAACCCGAAAACATAATGCCTCCGGCTACTTCGTAACGGAGGCATAAAAACACTTCAAAATTTCAATCAATACTAGTCTGATATCATATTAGGCAAGAGGATGAGAGAGCACTTTATGTATTAGACACCGAGGAAGGAAACAAATTCATGGAGCCTGAAAAATTGTAACATATTTTTATTATTGCATTTTGTATATCTGTTACCCTGGGACTTACCCTTGCTTTCTCCCACTGTCCTAGTTTCTGTGTGAACTGTCCACCACCTTGCTTCATCAATCCACTAGCTTTCTGAATGTGATGTTTGAGAAGCTGTTTGATAACCAGTGATGGGACCTTGGCTACCTCAATCTCAAGCCTCTCCAGCTGTTCACGGAATTCTGAAGTAATTAAGAGCAAGAAAATTTCCCATTCAGGTATGATAAAATATAAATGTGTACAGTACACTGCACATATCTCGTTCTGTATTGCCACTGCGATTGATTTGAAGCAGATCATTGATTTTTGTGTATAGGATCAGAGCTTTTCTTGTAAATCTGTCATATCAACTGACCCATCAGAACAACTAATGACTAGCAAAAGATTATTATCTAGACTTATTTTGTTAAAACAACTCTGATTAAGAGAAATGAAGAATGAAACATCAAAGTCCATCAAAATCAAATGCCATAATGTATATCTGACTTTTGCAACCCTCCCCCCCCCCCCCTCTCCCCTCACACAACCATTGGAAGTCACAATACAAGCAATGCCCTGATGCACTTTTGGAAACATATATCCTGCCTTTAGATGAACAGCCATCGTAGTCCTAGCATTAAAAAGGGAAAGTCCCACCAATGAGCTACACCTGGGTGGTGAGAGACAATAGTAGATGAAGTGTCTTACCTTGTAAGCATTGGTTATGATAATCATCAGCCTGCTTGTAGTAAGACTGTAGTTTAGTGACAATCACATCGGCGCACTGCTCAAAGATCTCATGGATGGCTTGAGGTCGGGTCACAGCACGACTGCCTTTCTGTCGGTAGTACAGCTGTAATACAACAGGATATCACATAAATTATGCTCTTCATTTAATAGATGAAAGTACATTGTAGTTTCAAAAAGCTTGCTACACTGACGTGCATACTCCATAGATGTTACAATACATAAACAATTGTAAAAATAACAAAAGAGCAGAGGAACAATTTTCAAATGCCTTCATCAGGTTTAAGTTGGTAGGCAGTGGTCTCGTAATCCAGCGACCTGGGTTCAAAATCAAGTTGCCGCGCTAGTGCCCTTTGGTATTATTACCATGTCCCTCAGAGAGGACCTAAAGCTGTCCGTCCTCTTAAACTAATAAGCATTTATGCTTTCTTAGCAGTCAGGTAAAATAACCACCACTAAGGTAGATAGAGAGAAACATAGCAGCAAAACTTAAGTCCCAATGTTATTGGAAAGCACATACCATGCAATGTTGTAATACCCATTGAAAACTACCATTCTGTGGCAGTTGTGGCAGTTGTGGCATTTGGCATTAAGACATACCAAATAGCATATTACCATACCAAAGTAGAGTTAGACTGATCTGACCTTACCCTTATAGGACATTAAGGATACTAAAATTTAATTAAACGATATGCAACATTAGATCTACAAACTTGAATAGGGAAGTGCATATTGAGCCCCATAAAAAACAGAAGATAGCTAAATAAAGACAACTTACATCAGCAGTAGTAAGTAGGCCATCCAGTGCATCTTGTAAAGTCCTCTTCACAACAGCTAACAAGTGACTGCAAACAGAGATGAAGAAAAACAATTATCTCATGGTTTCAAATCGACAAAAGAAAGAAGAAAAAAATAGTGAATGAATGATAGAATGGAACAGACTTTTTTTCAATTTTTAAAGACCGTCAATACTACTGGGCTAGAAGGGATTAGACCACACAGCGAGGTCACTGACAGGTGGCTATCTCATTAACTCAGCTCTCAACTAACATAAGAAAAAGAGGATCATGGGGGACCAACAAGCACTGATTGGGGAAGTTTTCTATATAGAGGGAGCAAGTAGCTACAAGTAGGACAGTGGGGCTTTAAATGCAAAAGATAAACACAAAATCAGAAGATAGTGACAAATTCACAGGCTATTGATTACATTCAAATTCATTTACTGTCTGATAGTGTGGAAAAATCTATTGTAGCAAAGGTGATGAAATAAATGTGTCATATTTCTTTGCATTGATTTTTGTCATCTGTCATCATTATATAGTATCAACACGTACATGTACCTTTCAATAATACTTACGTTTCTTTTTCTGGCTTTTCTCCAAAGATGTAATACTTGGGATCAAACTTGAGACCATTATTCTTGTTCTTTTGAGTTCTGTTTCAGAAAATAGCAATAAATAAAAAGCATAAGACATTTATTTGATATTTCTTATGCCATGTCATTTTCCTCTCGATGGTCTAATGTTTATATAAAATAAAGCTTTCATTTTAAAACATTACACTATACACAAATTGAATGATATAAGATTATTAAAAGTAATGGGTGGTATTCCGGTAGCGCGTACTAAGTTAGCGCGTGCTTAGTTAGTTCACACTTTTATGGAGTGCCTGTTGTGAACTAATTTACCCTGAACAGATTATTTTAATCCTTCAATGAAAAGCGTCCAAAAAATTGATTTTGCAATGAAATGGGAAGAAAAAGATAATATGAGTATGAACTGAATTTCAACAATGTCTTTGGTAGATTATCCTTGTCATGGATATTGAAGGAGGAAGATGAAACCTAGCATTTCATAGAAGTGTGAACTAAAATTCTTGTTTAGTCTGGACTTAGTCCCGGCTTAACTTATGAGAATACCACCCAATAAAACTAAACATGATATCTCATTTGAAATTAATAATATGTTATCAGCCTATCTTATTTCACTACTGTAAAAAATAGATCAACATGAAAGAGATGTAAATCAACTAATAAGCATGTATGATTTCAATCTGCTAAGGAATTGTATAAATTAATTAATTGAATATTGCTTGAACTAGTACCCATTACAAAGGGAGCTGGGGGTGTTTCACAAAGACTAAGATCGACTTTAAGTTGGACTTTACTATGGCAGGACATTCATGCCACTGTTTGCTCTCACCGTTTACTGGCATTGGTCTCTCAAGGGACGTACAAATCATGGTCACAAAATTGATATTTTTTGATAATACATTATTGAAGGAAAAAATATATTATCTAAAGATCATAATAGTGAGAGAAAACAGTGGCATGAATGGACTGCCATAGTTAAGTTCAAATTAAAGTCAATCTTAGTCTTTGTGAAACACTCCCCAGGCATAAGATAAATTTTGATACTGAATATAGATAAAGAGCTTGCCATGCTCAGACCATGTCATGAGGCAAGTACTCACCCGGAAGCGCTCCTTCTAGGGTTATGATCTGAGGTCATCGAGGTGGTGCGTTTTGGATTGTTGACCTTTGACCTATCCTTATCCACAGGCTTAGCAGGGGGTCTAGCCACGCCTTTACCATGGGCGTCACCGGCAGTAGAGGTGGGCTGGGATGCTAATGGTCTTGATACAGCTGTAGATTGACACATCAAACTTGTATTCAGACTTGATTTAAATATGGTACTGTTTATTTCATAACCTTGAAAGTGTCTTGAAAAGAGCTTGTACATGCACCAAACCAATTAATACTAATATATATGCACACCAATGAACTATTATATAATGATGAAGTAAATAAGACTGCTGAAGAGAATGTTTTGAACACAAATGTAAACTGGCATCGAGCTTTCCTGCCCTTATGCTTAATTGACTCATGAATAAATTACATTTAACAACTAAATTATTTATACCAGCCCTCACCAAGTTTAGTAATTTTTTAACTTTGTGAAAAATTGGATTTTCCCATTTCTTGTTTTTTGAGAATGTGACATATAACAGATTATATCTAAAAGTATTCAACCAGTCTACCTTTCATTGTTGAGTTATGCAAATACACAAAAAACATCACATGTATGAATAATTCAGTTGTTATCTGTACAACAACACTAAGGATATACTTATCCATCTGTCTCTAGCTGTATGTTACATTTGCAATAACAATTACTCTAAAAGACTGAAATTTCCAATTAAAAATATTTCACATCCATAGGCAAGGTGAAGCAACCCCTGCTTCCATGGTTATCCCATATTTTTTTATGAATATATGTATGTACTTACATGGAGTGGTCAATGGTGTCTCCTCATCCTGGCCTTTCATCTTGTTCTTCTGCGATCTGATGAGACAAACAAAAGTAAAAGCGGTTATAAAAGAAGATTGACCATCGTTTGATACCAATAAACCTTTAAAGAGTGCTGATAATATTCCTAGACTCGGGGCACATTAAAACATTTCAATAAACTCTATCACTCTCAAAGCGCACCTATTGTATATAATTTTGTCTGGAAAGAGTGTATTCTTTACATGGAACAATGGTACTAACTCTCTGATAACTCTTGAAAATCTACTTCTTATGTTGTCTGTGAGAATGTTCTTGAGCAGAAAAAAATACTTTTTATTTTTCATCAAAGACTTTTGGTAAATTCTCTTTATCGCTTTCAAAATTTTTTATAAGTATGCTCTGAATAATTTTTTTTTAAATAACGATTTTCAATCAACTTTGTGATAACTCTCCTAAGTGTACATCTACTACCATCTTACGTCAGGATATTCTTGATGACCAAGACGGCAGCATCTTCCGACTGTAGTTTAGCTGCTTTAAGAGCTGCTGTAGTCGTAGACGTGATAGGAGTCAGGGCTACGGCTGTACCAGATGGATGATGGCTTCCTGGGCCCTGCTGCTGCTCACCACTAAAGCCAACCTACAGATGAGACAGACGGAGAGATGGAGGATGTTGATAATAATATAATAATAATAGTTTTGTCCTTATATAGTGCATTTCGGGAGAGCAGGCTCTCTCAATGCGCTTTACAGATATATATTATTACCCCGGTCATAGGATTCATGCCTACCCGCACACAATGTATGAACATTCTCGACTCCCTTGGGAGTATTCGAGCCAGTCGCCATTTTACAAGCGCCACTTGCTAATCAAACCACATTAACTTTTGCATCCTACCGGGTACCCATGTAACACCTGGGTGGAGAGTGGCAAATGTAGATCAATGTCTTGCCAAAGGACATTAGTGCTGCGGCGGGACTTGATGGGCGGACCTTGTGATCCACAGTGCGGTGACATATCCACTCGACCATTACCCCTACTGCACTTGGTTTCAAAATATTTCTCATCAATGAACATTAAAGATTTAGATACCGGTAGTAAGGGAGTAAGTTTAATGTTCATGTGCAGTTTTCATAGCAAACAAGGGAAATGCTCGCGGCGGTCTCGCCTGCATAACGCAATTCAATATGATAAACCAGAACGTCAATGACGTAGCGCTCATCCGCATCTCGCAACAACAAATATTGTAAATTTTATGTGGTACACTTTTGAACTGGTCAAAAAATAAAAATTTGATGCCCTGGAAGGGACATAATTTCATTTCATTTGCATAAAGTACCATAAATAATCAATGGAGCAAAATCTCACAATTCCGTGTAGAAGTTTAGTGTTCCAAATTTAGCTCTACCAGATAAGGCAAACCAAATCAAAATCGGTCAAAAAATGAGGGAAAAGAAGCAATTTTTGTTATTTTTGGAATAAATTTGCATAAATTACCATAATTAATGGAGAACAATTTCAAAATTCTGTGTAAAGTTTAGTGTACCAAAGTTAGCTCTACGATATAAAGCAAACCAAATCAAAATCGGTCGAGAAATGAAGGAGAAGAAGCCTTTTTTTGTGATTTCGAATAAATTTGCATATATTAGCCCTATCATATGAAACAATCAGAATCAGAATCAAAATCTGTTGAAAAATAACGAAGAAGAAGCATTTTGAAAATCTTGATGTTGATGCCACAACAAAGTCTAAGTTTGTTGACCTTAAATGACCTTTGACCTTAACTTAGTGACCTGAAATTCTACTCACATGATTGGGGAGACTTGATAACCCTATAGTCCAAGTTTCATTGACTAAGAACTTATACTTTCAAAATTATATCAAAAATTCAAAAACTTAACCTTAGGTTAAGTTTTCGATGATGATGCTACAACATAGTCCAAGTCTGTTGACCTGAAATGACCTTTGACCTTGACTTTGTGATCTGAAATTCTACTCACATTATTGGGGATACTTGATAACCCTATAGTCCAAGTTTCATTGACTAAGAACTTATACTTTAAAAATTATATCAAAAATTCAAAAACTTAACCTTAGGTTAAGTTTTTGATGTTGACGCCGCCGCCGTCGCTGTCACCGGAAAAGCAGCGCCTATGTCTCGCTTTTTGCTACGCAGGCGAGACAAAAAGTAATTGTCATTTCACGTATAGAACATAGTCTCACATCGTTCACCATGTATTAGTATGTATTAGATCACTTGATATTCCATCCCTGATTTGTTATTCCAATGACTGATACCAGTTCACAGATATAACAATCTTTTCAATACATATACTAACTTCTGTTTCATGAGAGAAAACTAGTGATATGTATATGTAGTTTTTATTCAAAATACAGTACAGCGTTGATATTCTTTGGCACATTTCAATGAATGAAAATATGTTAAGATTTAAGAAAAGTTTAAAGGTAATCAAATTAGGAGACCTGACAACAAAGGACAAGAAATAACAGATTCAGAATAATTAGAATACTATGAAATAGGCAAGATGGCTAAATGGGAGAAGAAGTGTACCTTTGCAGTTGTGTTTTGATTGCCTCTAGACAATGGAGCAGGATGAAGTGGAGGGGCGTTTAAGAGCAGGTGTATAGCACAGTTCAGGTACTGTGCTCTCTCATCAAACGCTTGGAAGATAGATGGTAGCGTCTCAAGTAACTCACCAGGAGTTATTTGCTGTAGTAGAAACATACAAGATAAACAAGTAAATAAATATACTCTGATGTACACTTAAAGGGCAAATCCAATGCTTGTAATAAGTTCACTTTGAATGAAAGCAGAAAAATCAGATAAACAGAATGGCGAAAGTTTGAAATAAGTCAGACCAATTAGAATGTTTGAAATATGAGATCATTGCAGCTATGGAAATCTTCAAACTTTCACCAGTATGCTTCTCTGATTTTTGTGCTTTCTGTTACAGTAGTTTGCTATCAAGGTTGGATTTCCCTTTGAAAGATACAATTAATCTTCCTAAGCAAACTATTTAAATTTACAAAACGTACATAAAGCCCTGTAAACATCTCTCAGTTAATCTACCTTCCTCATAATCAGTATACGATAATAATATTACCAAGCTCTAAATAGGCTAGCAGTTTTAGTGCTAACTGCATTACAATTCCTTCATTATTAATTCTAATTTCTTCCTTATATATGTTTTTAAACTCACAGAAACTTTCTTTCTTTACTGCAGGTTTGAATATCTCTCAATTGTACCGGTACCTCATCATCATCATCATCATCATCACCCTTTAAATATCTAAATGTAACACACTGGAGCTCTTTATTCTCCTGGGAAAAGCTAGCCTGATGAAAAAATAACCTGATAGTAGTAACTCACCTCTTTGTCTAGATTGGGTCTCTCACATGCATCCACTCTAGTTTCTAGTTTGTTAAGCACCCTTTAAGAATATAATTGCAACACACCGGAGCTATATACGTTCTTGGGAAAGTCTACCTAGCCTGATGAAATATAACCTGATAATAGTAACTCACCTCTTTGTCTTGATTGGGTCTCTCACATGCATCCACTCTAGTTTCTAGTTTGTTAAGCACCCTTTAAGAATCTAATTGCAACACACCGGAGCTATATACGTTCTTGGGAAAGTCTACCTAGCCTGATGAAATATAACCTGATAATAGTAACTCACCTCTTTGTCTTGATTGGGTCTCTCACATGCATCCACTCTAGTTTCTAGTTTGTTAAGCACTCTCATGAGTGTCTGAGCCTGTGTATTACTCTCTGCGACCTCCCCTTTGATCTTGACCTGTGTGTTGTTGAGCCATCTACTCAGCTTCTCAATGAAGGTCAGATCAAACAGGTGACTCTTGAACCTGAAAGATAGACACATACAAAATACAATTAGAGAGAACTTTTTAAAGTAGTCACCCAAAGAAAATTCACGACAACTGATAATCATGGACAAATTATATATGGATGGAAAGATTTTCTCTTGATCGAAAAACATGAATAATTTGCTGAAAATCATATCGATATCATGAAAAGGCATAAAATGCTTTGTGGCTAGCTGTGTCTCACATGTGACGTCACAAATCTTGATACTCTACGGAAGACCGCTGAAGGCAGAAAATCTGAATCTTATAATTAACATTTTTGAGAGATGATTACTGCGAGTCCCAAACATATTTTGAAGAGGGGAGTTGTTATATTTTATCAGTGAGGCTTCCCCTTCGCAATCATATGAATTTTGAATCAATTAAAAACACTTTTGATTCTTCTTGTGACTACTTTAATACTTTTATTTGTTGTGACGTTGTGATACACTGCACACTGGAATATCATTTTGAATTATCAATCGATTTTCCTATTTCATAAGAATGGGAAGAAGATACATTTTTTTTAAAGGAAAAGGGAAAAAGAGAATGGAACAAAACCATTTAATTTAAATACATGAATATAGAAACTGAGCATAAACCAATATTCATTTAATAACTAGTGATTCTAGAAGAATTAAGAAGGGGGCAAGAAGCAAAAAAAAGGAGAAGAAAAAAAAATGGAAAAGCAGGTAAATGAAAAAAAGAGAATAAGGAAAAGAATGATTGAAAAGACAAGACAAGAATAATAATTTTTAAAAATGCTGCAGGATAAAGAAGAATTGAAGAAAGAAGAATATTTGATGTAGAGTATGACTCTTGACTGACCTGTCTTCAAACTTGCCAGCTATATCAGTAGCTTGCGTTAATCTCCTTGCCTCCATACCCTCTAAGTCAGCCATCACAAAGCCTTCAGCTGAATCAATCTTAGTCGCTAACTTCTCTAACTTCTTCTTGTATGCTTCTACCTCCTCCGGGGAAAAATTACCACCACCAGAAAACAATCTGGAAAAGGATACAAAGAAAATATCATTATGAGCTTTGTTGCTCTTCTATCACACATTTTAAAAAATAATTTAACGATATGTTTATCTTAGAAAGACAAAGTGATGTAAAATAATAAGATTTTTTGTTTTGTAGCATATTCTTTATTGCATTCATTCAGTAAAAAATAAAGAAATACTACATCTTCATTGAGTTACATAACATATCAAATGTCAAGAAAAGATTAGATGAATGACTGCAATACCTTACAAGATACCAACAGTCACTCAACGGCCTAAGTAGACCAAGGATGTTGAAGAATTGAATACTGACAATGCCTCTATACAACAGTTATATTTACAGGAGTGTAATTAGGATGGGGATAATTAAGTCAACATGCCAATATGTTCCCCTTTTCAAGATGCTATAAGAAATTGGGGCCATAATAAGAGAACTTTCTTGTTTAATCATGATGATGATTGCTTTACCTGACTGTTAAGAAAGCTTGTGAGGAAACAACCAGGGGACTGATAGTTTTAAGTTCTCTCTGAGGGACTTGTGATTGAGGATTAATGCCTTACCAAGGGGCACGAGCGCATTGACTTGGTTTCGAAGCCGGGACCTTCCGGTTACGAGACCACTAAGCCATCGCACCTCCTCTTGCACATGTCTTTGTGATCTGCCGAGAGATTTTCAGGCCGACTTACTTGAAAGACTTGATGAACCTAGCATTAGATTCTCTGAGCATCTGTAGAGTATCATCCAGGTATGTCCTGAACTGTCTTAGGGATGCTCTGATCACATCCATGTGACTCTCTACCTTGGTGTTCACTTGGTGAGATAAGGACACCAAGCTGCAAGGAGAACAAGAAACAAGGAGAATATATTAGAGTGAGGAGAAATAAAAAATACAATTGATATATTTTTTCTTCCATTAATAACTTAATAACTACAAAATGAAAACATACCAAAAATATATTGGAAGGAGTTTTTTTGTTTGCACCTTCTCTGCAAGTCACTCTCTTGTTTATTTGTATTTTTATTGTTTTATCTAAGTTGAGGGCTGCAGGCACGTCAAGCTACTTTGCCTATTTCTGTAGCCCTCCTGCATCTAATGTATGTCAATTATGCATTCAATATATTTGTTTAATTTTGTTTATTATTTGTATAAAATTATATACACTTAAAATATTGTATTAAACCATATTATGTTCATGAAAATGTATGATGAAAAAAAGAAAAAAGATGCAGAAACCAATAAATCAAATCATTATGCTTTATTTGCAATCTATAAAGCGAGTATTGGAAATCAATTTAATAAAAATGTAGTAATGAGAATAATAAGTAAATATTGTTTGTTTATGTTGAAATACAAAATAGAAGTAGAGGAAAATAAAACTAAAACAACAGATTTGAATGTTATGAAGTGGAAGAAGACAATTACTGATTTACAATCTGCTATCAAGTAAATAGAGATATATAATTTTATTTGATCTCATTTAAACATGTGATTAAGTGCTTTGTTATGAATATTTATGTACTACAATGTTATCCGTGATTTTATCTGAATAAAGACTTTATTTCAACGACAAAAACAAAAAATCAAATCAAATCAAATAACCAAGCATAAGGCAAAAAAAAGCAACCAATACATGGACATTTCTTTACTTTTATGTCTCTTGCGCTATATACTTACTCAGCTGATCTTGAAGCATGCACAAACACATTCTCCATAGTATCAATCTCCTGCTTGAACCTCTCCACCACACCATCATGTTCCTTCTGCATAGCAGAGAATCTTTGCTTGACCTCTGATAGAGCACAGGAGACACCCTTAGAATGCTTGGTGACCCGCTCCTGATGAAGTAGAAGCTCAGCGGCACGTACGTTATGGATGTCAAGCTCAGTGCGATGTGAACGAGGCTCATGAAGGTGCAGTCTCAGATCCAACTCACTCTTTAGCTCCTCGGTCTAATTTCAGAAATATTCATTAAAATAAAAAATTGATTCTTAGTGAAATTGCAAGGAATTCACTTTTGATGGAAAAATAATTCAAAGTTTTATACGTTTTATTGCTGTTGAATCTACAACCAGTTTGTCTACTACTCAATTGGTCTATTCCCATATTGTCTATGAGGTCAAGGAATCTTCATTTATCTTTCAAGTCAAAGTGAGATTTTTTTTACATAAATCAATTCAACCTCAAATAATCACAGGATGAGTGAAAGTGTATTGGTGAACTCAGCTTAAAATATATTTTTTGCCAAATGAAAATTAAATCTCTATTTTGTATACTGCAGTTCATCCAAAACTGATTGTACTACATAAGACTGATATGCAATGAAGAAAAAATTTACCTTAGCAGCTACTACACTGTGTGCTCTCTGTACTGCATAGATCATCCACTCCTCTAGATGCTCCAGAAAGGACATCCTCATTCTACAGAGAAACATGGAAGAAAGCAATAATACGTGAGAATAATGACACAAAATCATACAGTCAATATTTAAATTATTCATACCTGTACCAAGTTTTGTCATTTTGTAATTATGTGAAAATGAACATTATGTTAGGTACTCTGGGAAATTACATTATGATATCTGAGATGGATTTGAGAGGACTTGCTATATAAAAAAATTCCGAGTTTCTAAATGGAAAAAAAAGGTAGTGATCATACAGTGTACCTATTTGACACACCTTGGTAAATGTTTAATTGTATTAATTCTGTGTCTATCAAATGATTGTTACCACATAGAAGCACCAAAGCATCAAAAGAATCATTATTATTTCTTATAGAATACTCAAATGCAATGTCTGAATATCTCTCCCTCTCTCTATATATATCTCTCTATCTCTCTCTCTCTCTCTCTCTCTCTCTCTCTCTCTCTCTCTATATATATATATCTATATATATATATATATATCTCTCTCTCTCTTTAACATACACAGACACGCACACAGACACACAAATAAAGAGGAAGAAGTACATGTACATGATCGATGAGTATGCATGACATCACATCCTCTTACATTTCTCTTATGCTCTTCAATGTTTCTTGCGGGATGGTAACATTTGCTAGATAGGCTGGTTGATCCTCCCCAGACACCGTCTCCGTCCCATCTTCATTCCGGTCCCCATCTGATACGATCCCATGCTCCCCGGCAACCGTTAAGACGTAGAAGTTTGTCCCGTTTGTTGTTAGGAGCACCTCAGTGACAACGGGAGGTTCCTCACTGGTGGCAGAAGACTCCTGCAAGGAATGATGGGGGGAATCATTTGAATTAGCATACATGTAGTACTTCAAGAGCAGCAGAGTTTGTAATATTAATAATAATTTTTCTTACGCAGGGAAGCCTCATCAGCATCATTGATGTTCTTTCTAAGGGCCCGGCAATTGCCAGGTGCCCATTTACACCTGGGTGGTGAGGTGCTTATATGGATTAATGCCTTGCCGAAGGACGTCAGCACCAGGCTGGGATTCTTACTCTAGACTCTAGGATTGAGAGTCAAGTGAAGGAACCACTATACCATGACACCTCCATGCTTGTCTTATTCATTTCTTCATTTTGAATATGTTTATCCCCGTTTTCCATCAAATTAAGTTTCATTCACATGTTCCAAAATCTACATCCAGCCATTGTTAAAAATCTACCATAACCTTAATAATCCTACAATAAAATCGGATGAATTGTGATAATTTTCACCTTTAGGTACAAAACAGGAATATCAAATACAGTATATAGACAATGGCGATTCAGGTTTTAGTACAGAGCTTTAATATTAAGTGCAGAATAAATGTTACTACTAGAAGAAGATTGAGCATAAAGAATGGATAATATAAGCCATGACTGATATACAATATGACAGCATTATAATAAGACAGGAAAGTTAAACTGCACGGTACACTACACGGTGATAAAGCAGGATTAGAAGGTGCAATACAATAAACATGCATGTTTAATATCTCCCATATACCATAAAGGAGGGCTGTCAGTTATATATATATTGGTGTAGTTCATAAAGTATAACATCAAATTTCTAACCAATATTATTTCCTCAAATATAAAGGACGCTTTATAGTTCCGCTAATACAAGTACATGTATAGTACCAGACAATACATGGGTCATATGATCTCTTTTTTTTAAACATTATTAATTTGGCAAAGCACAAATATTGATAACTTTATGATTTTGCACCTCCTTATTTGATAGAGCTGTTAAAATTGTACACACCTTCTAGAAATCTTTGTTCTAAATAAGAAAAAATTGTTTGTTATTCCACCAGTGATGACCAGGTCATATGGTGAACACAGCTTCGCTCACACTGCCTCAACTTTATGGAATAAACTCCCGGAACATCTAAAAAACATTGACTACATTGTTAAGTTTAAGATTGCTTTAAAGATGCACTTATTTAACATTTAATTCATCCATTATGTCTGCTACCCAGTACATCTTGTCTTTGTATTCTGTTGTGTTTTTCTCTAGAGCGCTTAGGGACATGTTTTCATACTATGTGTTATGCGCTATACAAGAACGGTTAATTATTATTATTGTTATAACTTGAAAGTTGGATTAAATACAGATGTACACCATGCTGAGTATAGTATACATGCTGAACCTTCTTGTGACATCTTGTGTTTTCTCTTGCTTTTAAAGAAGCACACAGTATAAAAAATAAAGAGTAACTGATCAGGTAACTCATTTATCAAAATTAATTTTTATTCAGGATTCTTTAAACAGGGTAGCCTCGTTAGTAGGTACTTGGGGCCCTAAATCACGGTTACTTTGACAGAGCTTGATAGAGCAAAGGTAACTCACCCTTATTTTGGTTAAGGAGGTAAGGACAGTCTTCCTTAAGCTGGTGTCTCTCGGACTAGAACCCAACTTGGTTGGAGACTAGACAGAGAAAGGTCATACCCACAAACAAGTTGGTTAGGATACAGAAAGTGGATTAGGTGCAAACATCACAATAGGCCTGTCCTCATCAGCTCGAGATTGCCAAATAGCCTGCTATGTCTGATTTGGGAAATAATCCCGATGTTACAAATCGCGTCTTCATCAGCTCGAGACTTGACCTCGAAACGTAAAGTTCGAGCTCAAGATATTTTGCTCAGCGTTCGCGCATAGTGCGAGTCTTCGGGCTTGTGAAGACGCACTGGACAAATAGCGGGATATTTTGCAAACTAACTAGCCCAAGATATCTTGGGATGATTATCTCGACCAAATATCCCCCAATCGCAACTTCGGGCTGATGAAAACGCAAATTAACTGGATAATTTGCGATCGGGATAGTTTAAATAGCGGGATATTTGGCATTCTTGAGTTGATGAAGACAGGCCTCATGATTACAATTACAGGGTAGTGCTTGATTAGTATACTTAACACAGCATACAGGAATATGAAGCAGTGATATCATCAAGGAGGAAAATAAATTGTGTAAAAAATACATTATGATGTGAATTGAGCATATATCACATATATGAGACAGAAACGACAGAGCACACTCAAGAAAGGGATATGCTGGAAGAATAACTTCAATGCATACAAGTATCATAAGAGCACATAGAGCACATAGACAAATAGCATTGATATAGGACAGAAAATTTGGATATTTGTTAATGTATGACTGCACTTCATCCGAGTAAATATTAATGGTCTTAGTGGGAAAGAGAAGAAATGAAACATACTGGAATATAAAATCACATGCATTCTACAATTTATTAATCAACTACTGAAGTCTACCAATGCATAAATCTACACACATGGAAATACATATCACCAAGCAACATACCGACTTGGTAGACTGGGGGTCCTGTGGTTGACTACCTGCTTTGCTATCTGTATTGCTGCCGGCCTGGCTAGCTGCTTTGCTGCCGGCCTGACTACCGGCCTGACTATCAGCCTGACTACCGGCCTGACTACCTGCCCTAGATGATCTAGGTGAATCCTGAGATTGGCTCTTTATGCTGCTCTTCCTTTTTCCCTGTTTCTCCTGAGAAAATGTAAAGCAATATATATCCTGGCTACTAGTTGATAAGCACATGTCTCTTGGCCAATCCTTAATTATGCGTAACAAATGTGTCACATTGAATGTTTTGCATTGAGTGCATCGTGATGCAATTGTGCGTTGCTTATAATGACTGTGTATGAAACTATATGCCTACCAATCAAGGTCTCCAAAATAATTGGCTTAGGTCAGATGGAGTATTGTCTTAAACTCGTAGTAAAATACTTAGCCGAAAGCTTAAATTGCATACAAAAGTAGGCTATTTTTTTTTTTATCTAAGCTGAAAAATGAGTAGAATACTTGTATTTTTAGATAAGCGATGAATTGAATACCATGCAGCCCTGGGACCTGTTTCATAAAATTTGTCATCAATAACAAGTTACAATAAGCTACCAAAATCATGGCATTTGATTGGTTGAGAGCAAATTTGTCATAGAAAAGAAGCTTATTATTGATAACAAGTTTTATGAAACAGATAGGGCCCTGGGGGGCATATTCACAAAACTTGTCACCAGTGAAAAATGACAGTTTTTGTTATAAGCTACTGAAATCCTTGCTTCTGGTTATCAGCAGATTTTTCACTGGTTTTATCATTTGTCATTGAAAAAAGGCTTCATGACCCCCCCCCCCCCCCCCCCCCTGGAGTATGAAACTAACCTGTGGGTCCACCCGATCAACCTCAAAGAAGATACACAGAGAGCCGTCATAGCGCTGGAGCTCCTCCTGTACCATACCAGGATAGTCCTGGACGATCAGTTCCTGGTCCTGATAGAAATGCAGATAGCTGGAGAGAACAAGGACAGGACAAAGATGAGAAAGAATACTGAGTGTGAATTCCAAACAAAATTATAGGTTTATTGGGTTGGACAAAGGTTAATTAACATTGAATAATGTGCTGGATTAGCAACATTGGGAATTTGGAATAGTAGGACTTTGAATAACAATTTAGAATAGCATCATTGTTAATATTTGCCTGAATTATGAAGTCAGTACTCATTGTAAAGTAGATCAATAGATAAAGAAATCCATACATGTATATTTGCAAGAGACAATTCTAATCAGCAAAGAATTTAATGGGTATTTGTATTAAACTTTTAATCCTAACCACAATAGGAATATGTTCAACAATAAACGTGAATGGATGAACCTAAGGAGGAACAAGAACAAAGCTCAAACCATACAGGTTCACTAACAATATATATGTGCTTCAACATGACCTGACTTTCAAGGGAGGTGTTTCACAAAGACTAAGATCGACTTTAAGTTGGACTTACTATGGCAGGCCATTCATGCTACTGTTTGCTCTCACCATTTACTGGCATTGGTCTCTCAAGGAACATACAAATCATTGTCACAAATATACAGAATTTACATTTTTCGAAGAAAAAGTATTATCTAAAGATCATAATGGTGAGAGCAACCAGCAGCATTATAGGCCTGCCATAGTAAAGTCCAACTTTGATTTGATAGTTGATCTTAGTCTTTGTGAAACACCCCCCTGATGTCTATATCCCAAAGGTTGTCTATCAGTGCTTACCTTTCTTGAATCTTGTGGAGCATTTGATGAGCTTTGTCCATGGTTGTTTTGAGAGCTTCCTCACTGCTTTCCTGTCTCAGTCTGTCCATCAAGATGTCTAGGTTAGCCTCCATGTCCTGGGTAAATACAACAAGATTTGATTAGATTTGATATGACTAGATCTGATTACGGTAGATTTTATTTGATGTGACTGGATTCGATGTAAAGCATACAAGTGCTCTAGCTGTCCATAAATGTCTTCTCAGCTTTTCCTCTACTCTAATGTTTCCTTCTGTCAGTATAAGTCTCATTGTGCTTGTTTTCAAATTTGTGCTTCCTTCCATTCGTGTTTCGTCAGGTTCCAGTGTGATCGTAATGTTTCATTTTTTACCCATCCAGCACAAATCAATTTCCTCATGCCATTTTCACAACAACGTTGCTCAGTGAAGCATGCACGGATAAATGAAATTAATTTGAAAAACATATTTATACTTATAGTATACTTTAATTATGACAAAAGCAAAATAACAAATTTATATAGCTCATAGTTAACAATACCCGTTTGTTTTTGTTGTATTTTCTGGGATGCAATGTATATCTTTTATTGGCTTGTTATGTATTTTAGAGCAATTACAAAGTTTTCTGCAAATATGTGCAGGTGAAATATAGTTCATGTATATCTGTGACACTGAAGGGGGTACTTTCCAGACAATATTCAAAGACTAAATACAGGAGAGTCATTTTTGCCCATTTTCTACTACGCTTGAAGAGAGTGAATACACCCTTTCACGGTTACAAGAGTACGCATGCGCTGACATGCTTACTCGTTATTTAAAATGGCTCCCAAGTCAATATGATGTGAGCGCACAACGCAGGCAGTGACGCAACAATTCATGCGCATCTGAAAACATTGATGACGCAATGTTTACGCGCAAAATAAAATGGCGCCCTTAACCATGACAAGGTTTATTGATTGTACCCACCTGGTTGAGATTGTCATGTTTTCTCCGACACTCTTCCAGTTGTTCCTGAAGGTGGCGCTCTTTCTTAGCCAGGTTGATCTCATGGACGTCCCAGAGGTGAGCTGCACCCTGGGTGAATTTGAAGAGTGATCGTAGCTCCTGGGCGTGATGCTCTGCTAACCTCTCAAGAGAGAGCTGTGATATAAAAGATTAACATAGACTTGAATTCTTGACTTATGGTTGACCATCATCTTGATATAAATATTATTTGTCATTCACTAGCTTATAGATGGATTTTCCCTTTTGCAGACCTAAATACCTTAAATTCCATGAATCAAGTGATGTTTCAAAGAGATTTATTATTAAGAACCTTCCACCCCCCCCCCCCCCCCCAAAAAAAAAAAAAAAAAATGGAAAATATTTTTTTTTATCTCCCAGATATTTATTTCCTGTACCTAATTCAAAATTGATTTTACTGTTATGTCTGTTGAATTGAGGATAGCTCACTCTGCAGCAATATGAAAACGGCACTAGGTTTTCATTTCTTACTAAGAAGTTTTAGAACCTATGATTGCAAAATTTCACACATGATATCTGAAGGATATATTTTAATACTAGCTATTAAGTTTCATGGATTTTGCACAAATCTGCAAAAGGAAATTTTTATAACAAAGCCAATAAATAATGAATACGTATCATTTCTGATCATTATCATCCACATAACCCCAGATCAATTTTTGTCATCACTATCATCATCATCATCTGACTCCTTCTCATCGTTCATCATCATCAACATCATCATGAATGTCACCAATAAAATGTACATATCTTCATACCGATAACCTATAATCATCATAAACATCATTATACCTTGATTTCATTAGCCATTTTCAAATCATGGTCACAAAAGGACATTATAAAACCCCTCAATACATAACTGTTTGTACTAATGACTCACATCCATGTCTTCCAGAGCCTTCTCAAACGAGACCTGGCGCAGACCAACCTCTGGCAGAATCCTTTCCTCTGTGACCTCCACGACCTTTAGCTCTGTACAGACTCCAGCATCCAGTAGTTCGGTCTGAAAATAAACAAATCTCAGCCTCATTAACAAGTCCAAATGACCTCACTGTAGGCAAAGGTCAACATCTTTTCTTTTCCTTTCTTGGATATGGTCATCAAAGATATTTTTCATTACATATTCAATTATCCTAAAGCATACACGGCACTGCACAAAATTCATTGGTTGAATATGCATGATTTCGTCATTACTGGTGTATTTGATGAGCCAATGAATATTCCCAAATTGCTTGTAGGATACTATACAGGACAGAATGGGTATCTTGCCATTGAAAATGGCACACACACATAGAAAATTGTATTTTATTAAGGAAAATCGTACTGTCGTATTTAATCGTACTAAATACGATTAAATCTTATACTGGTTGGCAGCTCTGTGACAGCTCTCCACTATGACTTAACCCACACAGGGTAATAACCTTATGAGAATTGAAATGATAAGACTATATACCTGAAAGTTTTCCACCATGTCCAGGCATTCCTTGCAGACCTGTTCATACTCTGTATGTAACTCATCTAGGTAGGCTACATGAAGCTGTTCAATACGCTGGCAAGAGTTCACAATCTCCTTGTTCCATTGATACGCTGCTGTCTTGGTCGATTTGGGAGGCTTCATCTCACTGGGTAATGTAAAATGATTCTCATGTTAAGTATTATTTCATTGATGAAATCATGCATTATATGATATACAGTCCATGAATTAAACCAAAATTAAACACAACAGAAAAAGAACATAATAAACAAATTTAATAATGCCCTTTGTTCCCCAAAGCTACATGTACTTGAAGAAAAAAAAATACAAACCACTCTCAAGAAAGCTTAAAAATCAGGATTACAATGAATATTTTAATGAATGCTTGTGTTACTCAATTTTACCATTATAACGAGAAACAAAAAAATACAAATAGAGAAAGGATCAAATGTGAATGTTGTAATAATAAACTTAAGCTTAAGGATAATGAGGAGAAAAATTACTCACTTGAGTTTTGTTAGGATCTGGAGTCTTTCAATGTTTAGTTGAACTTGCTCATGGTGCATTTTTTCCAGTAGTGCGTTGACCTTTGACGGATTCACAATACATTCACTCTGCATGAAGTCCCTGTAGCATACAGAATCAGAAGATTATTCATTAACCCTTAGACTGTTGAATTCCCTAATCTCCATAGACTTAATACAGGGATCACCCAATTCCCATATGCGATGGGTTAACAAACCCACAGGCTAAAGAGTTGTCAAAAACTGAGAACTTCATCATGTATTATTCCCATGATCAGAGCCATTGATCAGGAGAGTTTGGCCAACCCAAGTTTGGCACAATATGGCACAATAGAATACACGCCATGCTGAGACCACGTGAAATCAAGTTGGCCAAATTACTCCGAGTACAGATTCTGATGCAGATACTAGAGTGTGGTCAACTTGCTACTGAATACATTTACCTTTAAACACAATCAATAAAACAGTTTTTTGTTTTAACTCATTGATAATTAATTAACTAAGGATTGTTTTTCAAAACACGTAATTATGATATTCTGTGAAAGACTTGCTAAGTGACATTCAGCAACTAATTGAACCTTGGTGTATAAAAAATAAGTTACACAAATATTTGAGGACTCTGTACATACATGTAAAGGTATTTTCAACTACCGGTAATTCATTCAAACCAGACAAGAGGGAGGACTGAAGATCAGTTAAAAAAGGGAAACTTAATTAGACCTCAGTCTAACTTCCTTTATTAAACTCCGGAATCAGTTTTCAATTTGAGTAGAATACAGACCAATGAGGTATTACAAAGCAAACTTCTGCAGTACTCACATGAACTTCTTAACGGCAATCTCAATGTTCAGTTTACGCCAGTCCGCTAGCCTGTCTTCCCAGATGCCTCTGTGATTCTTATCCCGTTCAATATCAGTCTTCATTAACCTAGCGTGAAGATCTGTGTAAGCTCTTCTGTTTGTGAGCAGTGTTTGATTGATAACGGTTGATTCCTTCTCAATGAGGCGCTGGACGTCAGGAGGCATCAAGTAAGCTATGTCCTCCATCTTCTTAGCATACGTCTTGAGGATATCTTTCAGCTGCAAGAAAGCATTCAGTATTCATGAATATATAGGATTTCACTTAACAAATTTTTAACTGAGCACAGTACTTTAAATAAGAAAGCTTTTTTTAATGTTGGTAATCATTTAAAATATATGCTCACACGATTAAAGGAAACCTACACTGTATTTTAAAAAGCTATTAATGAATGATATTTTTAAAACAATTTTAATATGAAATATAAAATTAGCTGAGAAACAAGCAACAAAGAGAGGTTATACTGCATAGTCCGAAATTGTCTCCCATGTGAAAATGTTGTGAACTTTCATTTGAATATGAGTTACATATTACCAAGCCAAAATGTTATATAAATTAAGGTACAAATCTTTAAGGTTATAATGTAAAATGTGTCTAGGACACTACAAGGGGTGGGGGGGGGGGGGGGGTACATAAAGTTTGTACATACCTTAGCCAGCCTGTCATCCTCCAGGACATTTAATGCGATGTCCATTTCATCAATGTACTCTCTACGGATCCATGCCTGCTCTTCTACCTGAGCCCAAAGACTCACTAACTCTGAGAGAGCATAACCTTTCAAATCCTGTCAAAGTGATACACAAGGGTACATGTAGATCTCTTTTATTTAACCCTCTCTTATTGTACTCTCTACGAATCCATGCCTGCTCTTCTACCTGAGCCCAAAGACTCACTAACTCTGAGAGAACATAACCTTTCAAATCCTGTCAAAGTGATACACAAGGGTAGCTCTCTTTTTTAACCTCTTTAATATGCTAAGATAATTACAATGTTAACAGGGTATGAATACTGACATTTATGATAAAAAAATGTAATCTTCTTCAAGTCTAAATATTTAAATATTGGAATTTTGTGGATTCACGTTTACTGAAATAATGAAAGATATGATGAATGTGACTGCACCTCTACTGTGCCTCTGCCTTGATGTATGTTTATTGATAAATGACCCAGTGACCTTTAACATCTGACCTCACGAACCCAAACTTTTCATTTAGTCTGTTCATGATCTTACATAGTTAAGCCTGGTTTTGTCTACAGTGGTTCAATTGGTGGTAAGTTTTCACAGTAATACAAGATTTTTTGGGTTTTTGAACAGTTTCATGACCCTGTGATCTTTCACCTTTGACCTCTTACATGTATGCTCCATTCATCCTTGCATGATCATACACACTTGATCTAAATTTGGTTAAAATTTGCTCAATGGTTCCTGCATTATCATCGCGGTAAGGAAAAGCATGGCGGATTGGCAACCAACAAATATAATGCCCGCACCACCTTTGATAGAGGCATAAAAATAGATTTTAAAACAAAATTGCAAATGTGAACTTACATCATCATCAGCTATCAGTGCAAGCATCTTGTCAATTTCTGCAGGAAATTAAAAAAAAATGAAAATCAGGAAAATCAAATAAATTCATAACATTCCTCCTACAGATCAATTCCATTTAAAATGTTAAATTTGTTAATGAACAGTAACAAACAGTTTATATCACAAGTGTTGAATGAAAAATTATATATTTATATTTTAAAAAACATTACCCTATGGAAACAATTATCATCATCATCATTACAAGCACTAGTAAATAATATTATGAGTGAAATGGTAAAAAAGATGGTATTCATGCACTCATTAAAAAGGGTTATAGTTTGAACAAAACCAACAAAAACTATAATTCATTTAGAGTTAGTGTAAATGATCCATACCTTTATCATTATCTTCAAGTTTCTTGATCAAAAATTCACCACCAGCTGCTATTTTGGGCTCAATATCCTAGAAGAAAAAAAAAGATATTAAAAGCTTGTATCTATTAACATGTTAGAAACAGGTTTGGTTTCATTCTATTTCACATATACTTCCAACAGATTTCATCCCAATTCATTCTTTTCTATGACTTAATGGATTGACTTCAACTGCTGCAAGTTTAAGGCATATTACTGCACAAACTGAGCCAACATTTGCTCTGTACATAAAATTTCATAAACTTTAATTTTCTTCATTATTGATGACAGAATAGATTTTTGTCCATGCAGGGGTCATATAGAAACATATTTGCAATAATGCATGTATGATCGAATATTTTTTTTCAGGGAAAATATCTCTGATTTCTTTTAGTCCAGAGGAAGTGGAAAGGGAGCTCGCAAGATAAATCACAGAGTTCCCAATTTGTGTTTGATTGATCGCAACTTCAAATATTCATAACTTTCTTATTTCTAATCAGAAGTTGCTCAAACTGACATGATCCTGTTATTTTTCTGCTTCTATTAAAACCAACTTAATATCAGGATGGACATCCCCTTTAAGTAACTCCTGAATTGAAAGACCACTTACATTTGAAATGATTGTGAATTCATGATGCAGATCTTCGGTAGCTTCATCGTGTCTTACTCTCCTGCTCTCAGCTAGTCTCTCTATGATATCTGATCCAAGTTTCTCTGCTTCTGCATGTTCATCAAAGAGTATGAATAAAGAGGGACAGTGAAAACTGTTTTGTTGCAAACATGGCTTGATATTCAGCGGAAGACTTTCGATGACAGGGAAATCCTACATAATACTATCAAACCAGACACTTTTGTGAACTGTTAACCACACTCACTTTTGTAGAGGTGTTGTCGTCGAGTGGATACGTCACCTGACTGCCAATCACAGCATACAATATTGATCAGGTTTGTTACTTATTTCTCGACTTCATATTGCTGACCTGTTTTTTAAAAAAAATAATTCAAGTTTTGAAGCTTGTTCATTAGTGACATGCACTGCACTTGATTAAGTCACAATGATTTGGATAATGCATGAAGGAGAACTGTCTTTATCTGATCGTGACTTAACCTGCTTGCAGTGCATACCCACCAATCCACTTTATAAACTAACCGATAGTATCAGCGAGTCCTCTGACTTCCCTAGCCGCGATGACCGATCTAGGTTCCGTAGCTTTCCTATCAGCAGTCTCAACAGAATGCCTGGAGAAAAATAGAAATAAATATATTTCATTGAGTTGTTTAGGGCCTTTTTCAGCAGGACTCAAGTGAAAAAGAGTCATACAATTAATAGCACAATAGACGAAGGTATAAAGTAAAAGAAATAAACAAAGATATGCAAATTTTTCTAACATTTCAGTCCAATGACTGCATTGTAAACACAGTGAAAATATATAGTAAAATACAAGATGAAAATTAATTTCAATAATCAAGGAGAACGTCTGCACAAATTCTGTGTAACAAACAGGATCGGAGGTGCAGAGGTAGAGAAAGATAGAGGGAGAGAGAGGGGAATAGAGAGGGAATAGAGAGGAAGGGAGAGGAAGGGAGAGAAAGAGAGATGGGGAGAGGGAGGGGTAGAAGAGGATATGGGGAGAGAGAGAGAGAGAGATGGATAAAAAGCAACAAAATAAAACAGATAACCAAAATGTGGAAATAACAATTTCAATTTGCTACCAGATGTAACTGAGAAGTACTCACCTGTAAAGGACCGGGTTTTCTGTTAGCTGGTTGTTCGGCAAACTCTCTATCCAATCAATATCTCTAGAGGGCAGCAGACTCTTGCCCATCTCTGCACGGTTCTCATGAACCAGGGGAATAGATGAGGTCTTAGGCTCAGACTGCTGACGAGGGTGTTCATTCTGCTCCAAAGTCTTTACCAATTGTACCTAATATGTGATATTAGCAAACAATATTTCAAGAGTTCAACTGTGTATTTACTTCAGTGTTACTAACCGGTGCACGTATACATGTGCCAATTGCGATACTTCACACAAAGTTACTAATATAGAGTATCGAAGTATGACGTCATACTGGCCAAGTTGTCAATGTTGCTGGTTTGTGCAAAACAATGAGGTGATGATAACAAACGCCCCAAACACTGAATTTGACCTGCTCCCTGCTCCATTGTGGACGTTATATTCTCCCATAATGGTCATATTACATTGACCATGTGCAGATTGCACACTTTTAAACTAATATTTAGTTTCTTTCTCCTATTAAAGAAAAAGAGGATTTAAACTCAGCACACTTTTATATAACATTTTTGTAATTCATAAAGAGAAATTGCATCATTTCAATCACTTACTTGAGCATCAAATATCTGTTTGTAGATATGTCCAGAGGGTACTACCCGTACAGCTTTCGTTTCTGCCATCATTTTAATTTCAAGCTAAAAGACACGGTAGACAAAGAATTTATAGAAATAATTTTCTGCTTGATAAGTACTATACTTGATTTGTATAGTATACAAATAATAAATGGTTACGAGTTCAATAGTGCAAATATTTTCATGAGTTGAAAGATTAACATTCTACTCAACGCGGGGTCAGCAGAGTTGAATAGAATTAACGTTAATCTTTCAATGAATGAAAATATATGCACTACTGAACGAATGAAAAACATTCAGTGTTGTATAATATAGTATAATTAAGGCACCATGCCCCATAACATGTTTTTGTTTACACATCACAGCACTACACTCACCATGAATTATTTATCATTGATCAGCACATTGAACGGAAGCAGCACACTTCATGGACAGGCCTGATCACGGAAGTGCTGCCAACACAAGTCAGAGGTCAACACCATTGTATTTCTGAACGGTAAGTCACATGGTACATGTGGAATTGAATCTAAGCTGTAATGCTCTGGTAAGATATTTGCTAATATTCGTTATTTTTACCTCCGATTTTGTACCGCACTCCATTATTAGGAGTAGAAGCGGCGTAGCAAACGTTAAGGCCACTGCCCAATATTCGTTGGGTGCGGGAAGGTGTGATTTCGGACACATTTTAGGGTTTGTTTACCTGCCTCTTCGCGCACGTCTATGGGAGCCAGTTAAGGCTTGGTGATATCAACATCATAAAAACATTATTACCAAGCCCTTAAGGCTAGTCTTGTGCTTGTGGCTTTGTGTGACTTGTGACTTACTGATGTTTCTATCAAAAGATACAGCCCCCCAAATCTAAGCAATATTCATCCAATTTTTGTCAGAATTGATGAAAAAGATGTACACGCAGAGTTATTTTGTTTTGCTAAATTTGGCAAAACAGTGGCATTGCGCAATATGCAAGCGTACACATGTTGCTTTGCTGCATGTGCTACTTGAGCACGATCTCAAGCTCCACTAAACTTTCTTCCGCATGCGGGCCCGTATGGTAATTTGCAAACACACATGTAGAGTGTGTGACCAAATGCATATGTATGTGCAGATTCTATGCGCCGTCGACATGGGTTCAGGGTGAGCGACGCTCACATCTCCCTACCGTATTTGCCGGCGATAAGGCCACACCGCCGCATAGGCCGCACCCCAACTTTGACATTTCAAAAAGGACAAAAAAAAAAGGACAAAAAAAAAAAGGAAAGAAAAAGGGAAAAAAAACAAACGGACAAAAAAAAATCATCATCATTTTGTCAAAAACACTATTTTTTTTTTACAAACTGATACCAAATTCATCAATATTCTTATAATTTACCGGAAGTTTAGCTAAAAAAGTGATCGCAGGCAGATTTGGTGTCCGATTTATACCCCTACCACAATGTACGGTGTAATGCGAAACTGCATGAAATGGAAAACAAAATGGCGACTTCGGATGGATGTTCGCATCAGCTCCGTTAAACGGTCCCTTCCTTTAATTTTGCAATGCATTGGCCATAGTGTACCATAGTGTACCATAGTGGTATAGTTATTTTACAGTTCCCAGTCCCATATGTGCAAATTTGTGCTGGTTTTGACTTATTTTTTACTCTTTCGTCGTAAAGGCCGCACCCCGACTTTTTGATATTTTCTCTTCCAAAAATACTGCGGCCTTTACGCCGGCAAACACGGTACTAAATCGTCATATTGCTAACTGTAAGCTAAAGAGTAAAGTTCTACCTGTCCAATCGCATGGATCAATTCCTTAGTACTTACGACTGGGACTAGTATTTACTCATATCGATTGGGGCTTAAATTCTAAAAAGTAGCAAATTTTGGAGCTAGGAATTATACTAGATCTAGGATGCAAATAACATATTTAAATCGCTGTTTTGATCAAAATATTTTTATAATTCCGAGATGGGAATAGAGTAAAGGAGCCTGTTTTCGGCCACTTAAGACAAAATCCTATTTTTAGGACTCTTTACTTCCTATTTATTATCATTTCTTGTTCAAATCATGAAGCAAATATTATTATTATTTAAACAAAAAAAGAATCCCAGAAAAAAATCACGAATTGCCATGACAATATTCGTTTCAATTTTCACTCTTTTGGAGCCCGTTATCGGCCGAGCGTTTCAGTTTACGGCCGCATGTACAAAGTCAATAGGAAGCGCTCGCGCGCGCCGTGCGTTTCCGCGCTGATGTACAGCACAAGCGGGCGGAGCAGGTAACCCACGCCGGAGCTCCCTGGTGCTCGCCTGGCCGAAGACAGGCACAGCGGTGATCGGAAGTTGGAATCTGAATTAGACAGAGATATCGTGTGTGCGTCGCGGTGTGCGGCTGCATTGATTTAATACATGCGATGACATACTTTTGAGCTTGCGACTAGCACAAAATCGGGCTTTAAATCTGAAAAATACTTGAAATAAAGCTCATTTTATGGTACCCATATTTCTTACAGACACGCGTAAGATACTCGATTTTTCAGATTTGGGTAGCGGGACCGGCGATTACATCGCTAAAATGTGATATTTTAGGATATATTTTCCATTGCAAATGTGGTTCTTCAGTGACACTGGCATGGTATGGTATGTGTGGGATATGTGTTATGCTATTATGCGATGTATTTTAGAGTGATTTTACCTTGCATCCAACAATCGGCCGAAAACTGGAGCTGGCCGATTACGGGCTCCTTTACTCTATGGAGATTAATCTGCTCTTTCATATGAGTTATGACACCTCATTTATTGAGTAGTCTATCAGTATCACCTTCAGGATCACAAGAAATAAAGGTTTGAATCTCGATTTGTTAATAAAAACTATGACCAATTTTGCATGATCGCGCAATGCACATTGACTGCATAGGAATGCGTGCAATCTCTATCGGAAGGACAGGACACAACATCGGGTGCGCGATCAGATACCCGTACCCGCCTTTTATTTTGTTGTGCTTCACTGCTTGTCTATTTTTTCGTAAAATCCAATGACAAAAGTGACAGCATTTTATTTGTGAGTGTCCGGACATCTCTCTTCTCCCCGCATTATAATAGACCTAGACCTTAGGCTAACATTCAAACGGCAAAAGTGACAAGCCTTTCTGTCATTCTCACTGACGCGGACAACCCACATCCTAAAGTTTACCAGACAAGGAATGTAACGTATGGGACTGGGCGATGATAATCGCAAAAAAAATTACAGGTGAACGAGCAATAAATCACAATAAATATTAAAACTTAATAAAAGATGTCCGTTACCTCTAGCTCTTGTCACCTCAGAATTCGATCATATCATGATTTTAATCAGTATGTGCACGTATAATGTGTAATTCCTATCTTTTTAAAAAGATTTCTTGATCGAGAGCGATGATGTTGCTTGGTAACGTCTAAGTAATTTAAGTGCTGCGCCATCAACGTTGAGCTGTACCAGCTAGCTAGCTAGCATTGAACACTAACCCCGCGATTTAAGATGTGGGGTAGTGGAGGGGAGCGGGGGGGGGGGGGGGGGGGGGGGGGGTGATATACGAGGAAGCATATAAGCATACATTATAGCAAACGAGAGGAAACGGGTATGTGACATATAGGCCTGTGAAGGCACTCTTCCCCTCCTCCCCCGTATCGAAGATTTCCCATTTTGCAGTATAAAAATGTGCATTTAATTGTTGATGGACTATAAATTATATCAATTACAGACATTTAATTGAAAAATCTTGCATTTTTAACAGCACCTTGAAACCTGAACAATTTAGAATATAAAATATGTAGAATATATAGAATAGAATATATATCATTTATTGTCTTCTTCCAAAAAAGAAGAAGAAACTTTCCATCCAGGTGAATAATATTACATAAAATTATACAACTTATACAAAATATTATTTTTTAAATACATTTGTATCAAAATATCAAATGCATCCAAAGTATGAATAAATAAATAATACATGCATATAATACAAATTATAAATAGAACATAAGGATAAAAGGGAAGAAGACTAAAAGGAACAAAAAGAGAAAAATATAGAATAAGGGGATTAAAGGAGAATAGCCCCGGGTAAAGTAACTCCCAAGTTTTTAATGTAGAGTAAATTGGCGTGGGGCTAGCTTTGCCCCGGCAGGGGTCAAGGTGGGGGCCGGGGGTCATCAAACTATAAAGATATCTTATTTGTGACAATGGCAGGTCACTGATTGGTGTGGGTCCAGGGGACTGAGCCCTATGAAGCTCAGGGTTTTGGGGGCATATAATTATTACAGATCGATGAGCATCCATGGGCCCGTTTTAAGGCCCCTGGTGGGGTCCAGGGGGCGAAGCCCACGTAAGCTTAGAAGAGTTTTAGGTACTTGATAACGGTCAGATGAGCATCCAGGGGCCCACCTTAGGACCCTTGGTAGGGTCCAGGGGGCAAAGCCCCCGTAAGCTAATAGGATTTAGGCATTTAATTACGGTCAGATGAGCATATTTTGATACCTCGTTATTTTGTGACACTGCTGGCAGGTCACCTATTCTTTCTTTCTCTCTTTCTTTCTTTATACTTTTTCTAAAAAGTGAGGGGGGGGGGGTGGGAGGCTTAGCCCCGCCATTCTGCAGGCTTGGACATGAAGGCTTCTAAATATAACCATAAATTTTGCCCGACTGTAAATTTGGGAATTCGTTATTTTCCAACAAACACATAAAACAGTATAATTTACAGGAAAAATCCTGCACTATCATATAATTTCAGCTGGTTGTAAATCACTGTATCGAATAGGCAAAAAATCTTAATCTTATTTTCAAAGCAACTGCCCCCCTGTAAGTACACCTTTGTTTAGGGGCTCATGTCTTCTCACCCTATCGTAAACTAATAAAATAATCTCTTGCCAATCAATCACTGAATTAAACACCAATCTTTCAAATCACTGCCTAACTCACAAGTCCTCTCTCCTATAAAGTCTCTCCTATCTCATGCCCACAGAGCTCTAAAATAACACCTCTGGCACAGTGTAAGTCCAGTCCAGCTTTGCTTCAGTTTTATTCTCTCAGGCTGTACACGTGCTTCATGCAAATTATATTCAAACATAGCACAATAGGATTTAAGAATATTCATAAGAAAAAGGAGAAGAGAACCAATGACAAGTATAAGTGGAAATATGCAAATGAGAAGAGAACATACCATCTGTTCTAGCTTTCAGAGTTGGTATGTGGTGAAATGAATATGCAAATGATGTGAAATGAATATGTATGGGGTAGAAGAAACTAGAGAAACAAATAGTAATTGTGACAAATAAAAGTAGGGAATGAGTCTAATTTTAACTCTTACACTATAATAAAAAAAAAAACACACATCCTCTCTAAATATTTCACGATATGCACATGTCGCTTTCATAAAAGCCTCCATTGATAAATATACTGGCTAGCGGAATGTTTAGGAAACTTAATTCCTGTTTACTCTTCTTTTGTTTGAATAGAATATTGTTTTTATGCGATTCAATTAAGGTTTTATTACTTTTATTTTCTTTTTGGGTAAAAAATTACAAATCATTTTTTACTCCTATACTGCTGATTTTTTTCGAGGAGAGGGGGGGGGGGCAACAGCCTCCTGCCCCCCACCACCTCCGGCGCCCCTGGATGTAGGGAATATGGGACAGTGGGGAATATAGGACAGCTACGTAATAAGCTCTCGTAAACACTGATTTGTTGTTGTTGTTAAATTATATTTTATTTCCTTCCTCATAAATTCACATTACAAGAAATTATCACTATAAGTCATAAAGAACAAGATCTTCGATATAACAAGACACTTCATAGATTACATCAATCAATGAACAATGAACATAGAAAAATCTCAAATTATACATGATTGTGCATTTTTTTGTATCCATTCTTCTCTGATTGCTGAAAAGATTCTTGAAATTCTAAGCAAGCTTTCAGTTGCAAAACCCAAATTATAAAAATGTAAGATTGGTTTTAAATGATCTCCAACAATTATATCTGATGCTTGAAGTAAATACCTTTTCTGAAATAATTAGAAATAAAAAAAATGTTTAATCGATGAAACATATACACTTATTATAAAAAAAACCCAGATTATTCTTATGTTCTCCAAAATGTCTGCACTTATCTAATTCTTGCCATGCTTTCAACTTGTCTTTATAAAACAATGGTATACCATTCAAGTCCATTGTCTTTATATCATAATTACAAAGAAATATAATTTGACCACCCTGTGATCTGAAAAAGTGGTCAAAGGTTACCTTCCGGCCTGAACACTTTTCTCCATAGAGCAGCTGTTTGATCCACATTATTGCTCTGAGTCCCCCAGCGCAGTAATCTTGATATAATATTTTCTGCTTTATTTTGTCTCTCCCTCCCCCAAAATGATTAAAAGAAATCTTTTATATTTTTCCAAAAATTCTCTGTGGGACTGTCATAGTTTTTAAAATTCATACATTTTCAAGTTTAATTTTGCCAAACATTATTAAATCTACCATCCATCGCTCAGGTACGCCCTGCATTGTTGATTCTGGTTGGGCATTCTTCTCACATTTAGATCTCCACCCTTGAGCTGGCTCACCAAAACTCAGTTGAGATATACTGCTTGACCCTCACACAAAAAACCAAACCCAACCTCTCGACAAGTCAGTATTTAAGTCATTCAAATTTGCCTACAATCAGTAGTGTAACAATTATCTGCGGGACAAATTATTGTAAAAGTACTTTGTATTTCTACACATTGGGATAACAGGAGATGGGGAGAGGCGTAAACCAAGTCGCAAGTGCCCTCAAGCATTTCTTGATCAAGAAAGATTGCAACGATCACCTGAAGACACGAAGGTGGTCCTTTTTGGTGATTCTTGTGTTGGCCAAAACAAGAACTGTCTTGTCCTTGGCATGCTAATCCTTGTATCGACGGCTCACAAGGCCGAGTTTGAGCACATTTTCCCCGTAAGAGGCCATTTGTACATGCCAGATTTTGTTCTTTTTCTCTGTATGATTACTTTGTATGTGTTTTATCTGATTTTATCATACATAAATAAAAACAACAACCCCAACCAAATGATAACATGGGATGACTTTTTGTGGCATCTTTACATCTGCTTTCCACAAAGCATGCACCATGACCAAAGTGATCAGTGGTTTCCAATCAACAGAGATTCATCCTTTCAACCCACTAGCCATAACTGCAGAGTATCTTCAGGGGGGTGTTTCACAAAGATCCTAAGTCAAACTAATCTCTAAGTTGGACTTAATTATTATGGAAAGCTGTTAGCATCTATGAAAATATTTTGTAAAAGTTATTTTAAAAGGCATAAAATGTTGATACAAATAATTTTTATTGTCTATTATCAAGTAGATATCAAGTTCTTGATGTGGAATTTGATTCCATGACATTTGCTCCTGCGACAATTGCTCCGCTGTAAATTTCATACACTAATCGAATGGCTAACTTCAACACTGGATTCAACACTATACCCTACCCTAAACCTAACCCTAAACCTAACATAAAACCCTATTGAAACCCTAACCCTAACCCTACATCTTAGACGAAATAAAGCCCGGAGCAATTGTCGCAGGAGCAAATGTCGTGTCACCGTGGAATTTATGAAAATTCTAAAATACTTGATTTTTCGCTTTTGAATATATTTAATTTTAAGGCTACAAATGGCTCTCCATAATTTTTAAGTCCAACTTAGAGTTAAGTTTGACTTAGGATCTTTGTGAAACACCCCCAATTCTCAACTCTAGACACAGAAATAAGGTATGAAGCAGATGAGTCAACCGAGGAAGATGTAATGGATGACATAAGTCATAGGGATGCATCAGGAAGTGATGGCCGTGCTAACTTGGAAGGCACTCATAGAGATGAATTACATTGACGAAGCTCTCGCTCTACAGAAAGAGCAAACCGTGAAGAGTATTGAAACATCTCAAGTTTAGTTTAAGTTCAAAGGTAACCGTGTTCAATTCAGATTTAATAATTCTCGAAACGAAAGCATCAGAAGAGCAATTAGTCGCATCAAGAAAGGTGAACACGGTTGCGCCCGAAATGAACTCGTTAAAGCAGATGATGACATTGTGATGACAAGCAAATAAAACAAGAAGCAATAGTAGCAGCTAAAGAGGCAAGGAAGTTGGCAGTCGAAAATCAGTCTTTTTTATTTTTTGAAGAAGTTTTTTTTCTTTAAACCTTCTATCCTTGGAATTTCAGTGAAATTGGGGAAGGTGAGCAAAGGAGGGCTACTCCATTCAAGAAGATACTGGTACTTCCAAGAGGAAAACAAGCTGGTATAAAGGGTGCTGTTGTAAATGTCCCTGTGATTGTAGAAAAGGTCTGTAAAAGTCTCCCTCGGACTCCTTGACAGGCTGGTATCATTCCACTCAAGTTGAAACAAAAAATCCAGTCAGGAGTCATGTGGCTTACCAGAACATTCGTCCTGGAATGGTACAAGCTGCTCTTGGACAATTAAAAACGATCAACAAATTCTACTTATCAACAGTGGACAAAAATGAATGGGAGGAACAGTGTCTAAATGAAGATCCTGAGGTATGGAAGGAACTTACAACAGTACAACTGAATTGCTTCACTTGTTTCCCCTCATCGAACGAGAAGTTTGCTCCCTCCTGTCACTTTCAATCAGTCCAGGCTTCAACCAGCAAAGTGTGCATGGAACCTTGGGGTTATGATGAACAATCAATTGACACTGTTAAGTCATTTAAGCAGGATATGCCGTTCTGCTGTTTATGGGTTACATAAGATTGGAAATATAAGGCGTTACCTGGATCAGGACACTACAGAAAGACTTGTGCACGCTTTTGTAATAAGCCATATTGATAGCTGTAATGGTTTATTGTATGGTCTGTCTCATACACTGATTTGTAGACTTTTGCAGCGAATACAAAATTCTGCTGCCAGACTTATCACTAGAACACATTCACGAGAATCAATTTCCCAAATACTTTGTAATTTACATTGGCTTCCAGTTAAAGATAGATTAATATTTAATAGCATTCAATTGTCAGTATAAATTGGCTCCTCTTTACAGCATCTCAATGAATATCATCAAATAAGGCAGCTTCGTTCAAGTTCCAGACAGTCGTTTGTCTTCCTTACGGTATCTACAGTATCATATGGGCAAAGAGCATTTCAACATGCAGTCCCTGAACTATGGAACAAACTTCCTAGTAATATCAAAGAATGGTCTTCACTTTTCTCAAACATAATTTCGCAGTCTCCTCCTGATTACTTCTTGGTCTCTTGTGAAAAGCAAGAGAGCTCTCCACTGACCAACAAACACCCGGTGGTCACAGAAGAAAACCCAATACTGACCAACCAAACCAAGGAGGTCACAGCAAAAAAACCACAAATGATCTAGTCCAGTAACAGCGTCAAGGCATTTTGACCACAGACTACAATGTTTGTTCAGAGATGCTATTCTGTCTGACGTGAATCCACTTGGCAAGGTAAAAAACTACATGTATCGCATTGAATTTCAACAGAGAGGTTCCCCTCATGCTCACTGTGTGCTGTGGGTAGATCAAGCACCACGACATGATGACACAGAGGAGAATGTGACGGAGTTCATTGATCAGTATGTCACCTGTGAACTTCCTTCATCTGATGATGATGATGATGAGCTGATGCATACTCTAGTTTCTACTCTACAAAGGCGCTCACACTCTGCATCATGCTGCAAAACTGGGAAGAATTGTAGATTTCATTACTGAAGGCCCATGGCTTCCAGGACAGTGGTGGCAGACACACCTTCTGATGAGGATCCAAAAGAAAAACAAAGACTTGTCAAATCTTAAACAGAGATATTGAACAAAGTAAGAGATGAGTTAGAGAGAAAATGCAGTGACAAGAGCACAGTGCAAGAAGTACTTCATCATGTGAACATTTCTGAGATCCATCGTGTACAGAAGACAAGCTCAAGAAGTCAATATCAACTCATACAACCCAGTTGTATTGAAAGCATGGCAGGCCAATATGGATCTTAAATTAGTTCCTCTTTTCTCATGCTTTTTCCATTATATTTGTCGTTTCATTGAATATTTGTTGTGATATAATTATTCTTGTTTTGCATGAGAAATAAAATTATTTGAAACATTTGAAACATCTTAAATTTGTCTGCAATCCATATGCCTACATTCACTTCATAATTTCCTATGTGACAAAGGATGAACGAGAAATGGGACAAGCGCCGAAAGAAGTAAGCAAATCCTATAAGGACTCAGACATCAAGCACAGAATGAAGGAAGTAGCATCCTGTTTTCTTAATGCCAGAGAAGTCAGTGCACAAGGAGCTGTTTACAGAGTGCTTGGTCTGCCACTTCATCGTTCCACATTTTTCAGACAGTTTTCATCCAAACAGATCTTCAAGAAAAAAGAGTTGTCTTCTTGAAACCCCAAAGTATTTTGGAGAATTTTGACGAAGAAAGTGAGAATGTGTATGTCAAACCATGCCTGGCCCAAACCATGCTGCAAAAAAAACAACATCAGCCATTTATTCTGGAGTAGACGACTTGTACAGAATTTAGTAGTTGGTTTGTTTCTTCATACAATATGGTATAGAAAGAACAACAACAATCAGCAGAATTTCATCTACTTGAATCAAGTGCAACAAAGGCAACACGTATCAAATCACTGGATGGCAAGGGGTAAATGATGAAACGCAAGAAACCATGCATCATCAGATACCACAAGTTCAATGAAACACAAGAGGAAGAAAAATACTGCCACCACATGCTAATGCTCTACCATCCATTGAGAAGAGAAGAACTTGATCTAAAGAATGGCCTTGGGACGTATGCTGAGCATTATCACTCCCATCTCCCCAGACATCTTATTAAAGCGATCCAATCTGGAGTCGTTCACTAAAATAATCGAGCATGCTATTGAAGAGCATGAACACGTGGGACCACCCGAACATGCCTGGGATACTCTGGATACAGCAACCCAGCAGAAAAATGGAGAATCCCAGACAGATCTTCCACAAGACCACCCCGATCGTAATTTCCTCCAACCAAGTTCCGATCAGACAGTAACTGATGTTCAGGAGTCATGTCTTTGCACTAGCATTGCACTCGCCATTGAACACAGACCAAACTACCCTTCTGATGTAGAGTACAGGAACAGTATGCTAACTCTAAACACTTGCTAACTGGGCAGTCCAAAGTGTTTTCATACATTAATGACTAGTGTGGGGATTTGGTGAAAAGCTGCAAGACACACGTTGATCTACAGCCAGTGCAGCTTTGTGTAACAGGAGGTGTAGGAACAGGCAAATCATCACATCTGATATCTACTATTTACCAGATGGCTATTCATACGCTGAAACATGAAGGAAGTAATCCAGAAGCAGTGAGAGTGCTACTGACTGCAACAACTGGTACTGTAGCATTCAACATCCAAGCAAGCACCCTGCACTCAACATTTCTCCTACCACTGGGTCAGACCAAAGTCTACAAAAAACTGAGTGATCAAAAGAGGAATACCCTACGCTGCAAACTTGCTGATTTGGATATCTTAATCATAAATGAAATATCCATGGTAGGGTGCGATCTTTTTATGACGGTGGACCAGCGCCTTTGAGAAATTAGAGGTGTCAACAAAATCTTTGGTGGCATATCCGTTCTGGCATTTGGAGATCTATACCAGCTTGCACCAGTTTGTCAGAAAATTGTGTTTGAAGATGCTGCAGATTTATTTGCAGGATTGGCTGGCTCCCTTTGGCAAGAAAACTTCCAGTTTGCTAAACTTGATGAAATCATAAGGCAAAAAGATGACAGAGCCTTTGCAGAACTTCTCAACAGAATCAGAGTAGGAGAGAATCTGTTCATGTTTTATTTTTTTTTAATCCCTCATTGTTTTCTTGTTTTTCTCAAACTTTCATCAATTAATTCAGATTTCCTGCCTTCACTCAGGCAAACTGTGTACTCTCTAATATTTTTTAATTTTTTTTATATATCTTTCAGACCCAACATCTACCTCCATGTGGAACGAGTTGTGGAGCAATTCGAGAAGCATTTGCTCTGGGTAGTGAATGGTGTCCAGCAGTCAGGGACCGAGGCTACAAAGATTATTATCTTTACAAAGGGCATGAACAATTGCCAGAAGATCTATAACTGGATGGTGTCCAGCAGTCAGGAACCGAGGCTACAAAGATGATTATCTTTACAAAGGGCATGAACAATTGCCAAAAGATATACAACTGGATGGCGGAACAAGTGGACCAGGTGAGATGTCCACATCCAAGCAAACATAGGCTCGTAGAGATGTTTCATAGCAAAACGACACCTGGCAAGTCCCAGGAAATAATGGCAGAATTTTGTTGCAGGGGAAGCAGTATCAGAGTGGTTGTTACCACTCTGGTCCTTGGACTTGGGGTAGATATCGATGACGTGGAAGTGGTCATCAACTGGGGAGTGGAGGATGCCCTGACGTATTGGCAGGAAGGGAAACATTTTACCACATGGACACGCCTGTTGAATCTAAAACACTTCAAGGTAAACAAAGGGACTAAGGTGTGCAGCAATCATTTTCTGTTGATCCTCATCCTACTCTCTACGATGAGATTCAAAAGACACCCAGACGACCACCAACTCAGCAGACTTGCATGTCAACTCCTAGAAAAAGGCAGAAAATAAAAGCTCCAACTCATAAGTCTATTGGCGTTCAAGTTGATCCATCTCAGTCGAAGATACATGTAGTGTGGACGAGTACGACCATGTTTATTGTCACTGTGGCTGCAGCGAGGTCGACAACAAATCAAAGTCTAAACAAAGGCTTCTACAGGAATTCATAGCTCGTTAATTGGAGTTATTTTTTCGTTCCAATTCATTCCATTTCGTTTCATTCCATACCAGTTTATTCCGTGAAAACTCTTTGCCTGACATAATGACAAACTTATGACTGAAATTTCCTTGATGCTCTGGCAAAAAGGAGATTCTTGCACCTCAACACAACCATGTCTATGTAGCCTTCTGAGTGTGTAATAGCAAGTGAATATCAATAGATGGCGCTATACTAGGCACCTTGCCAGAGGAAGTGCTATTACAAATATATGTGTATTCATATCATGCATCAATAGTACAAGAAACAAATGACTTGGGTGATAAAGTAATTAAGTGCAACTGTCACAACAGTCACCCTGCATTCCGGAAGAAATCACTTAGTCAGAGTGGGTTGCTCACCTAGAAGATGATATCCACAAATTAACGGTAAACTGTGATCAGCCCAAATAAGGAATTAAGAGGGCATTCTAAAAAAGTGTTCCAAAGACGTTCCAGAACTCAACTGGCTGGCCACTTTTATACTAACAGAGTGGTCCAACCTTGGAACAACCTACCAGAAAAAGTAGTGTCTGCACCTACAGTGGCAACTTTTAAGAGTCAACTGAGAGCCCTTCCCTTAGGAAAAGAGGGCTAATCTACCAAGTATACCAAGCAAGTAAGTAGAGCCAATATTTGCAAGCTAAAGACACCGTTGCAAAATTGGAAGGTACCATTGCAGGATGTAAAAAAGAAACTTACTGTTGCAGACATAGCAAACTGTGATAAAAGTGTGAAACTTTACACAGGTTTACCTAGTTATGACCTGTTCAAGTGGTTACTAGCAGAAGTATCCCCACATGTACAGAACCTTCATTATTTCAAGGGGAAATTGTCAAAGGAGGACAAGACCTGGCAAATAAATAACACTACAAAACTTGGAGTTAAGCGATCTCAGTCTATTGAAGATCAACTTCTCATGACACTCATGAAGCTTCGGCTAAATCTTGGCGAGGAGGATCTCGCATTTTGTTTTGGAATTGGACAAAGTGGCTGAACTCAGTGAAGAAATGAAGAAAGAAATCTTAAAGCTGAAAAAGACCAATCTGGTAAGACGACTTGCAACTCGTGATAAGCAATTGCAGGATGAGAAGCAGGAGATGGCCAGATTAGAACAAGAGGTAGAGACATTGCATAATGTTATGAACGAGCTACGACACACAATAAAGAACAGGACAGAGCAAGTGCGGTATAATGTGAATAGACGGTTTGAAATTGAAGATAAGATGGAAACTGAAAATAAGTCTTTGAAGGAGAAATTGAGAGAAGTTGAAAATGACAACGATGCCCTACGAAATCAGCTGGATGAAATAATGGGGGACAGAGAAATTTCGACATTTGAAGAAGGGGCCTTCACCAGTGACATACGTGTTGTATGCTACGAGGTAATATCACGAGGTGTAGGGTCTAAAAATGTTTCATGCTATGAAAAAAAAAATGTCTGCAGTTTTTGGTCGTCCAGATTATCTGGCGTCATTTCAAACCTGTATAAATGCCAGACCAAGGAAGCCCGAGAAACCGATTGCTGTGTATGCTGCTGCCATAACAACGTTGTTAGAAGAGGCATTCCCTTCATATGGAAGCTCGGCTTAAGAAAGTGAGAAGTTTAGAAGATTTGTTGCAGGCTTGAATAACTTACTTCAAGTCCGCATTCCCGAATTGGGGGCGAAGACTTATCAAGAGGCAATTGACATAGCTATCTGCATTGAATGGGCACATGTCATGAGACAAATGATTTTCAGCCAGTCGAAAATGATTGAGTTGAAAACTCAGAAGACTACATTAGACATCCTGAGTGCTGCGGCAGATACTATAGATGTTGCACGCCTAAAATCGGTCTGCAAAGCTTTCGGAGTGACACCAACTCACACTCAGAGAAGGCTAGTATGCAAAATTGAAGTACAAGTGACTGGAACAGATCCACGGGACGCATCTGGCAGTGACTCCTGATGGAGGTGGGTAGCAAGGAAGAAGGTGAACACATGTGCTACCCAGTCTCTTCCTGGTTTTACACATGCTCTCAGAAAAGAACCTCTGCTCAATTCGGACTTTGTGTCTCCAAGCTTGAAGGAGTACATAACCTACCCAGCCAAACATGTTCCACAAAACAGGAGAAGGAAAATTGCCAGAGGCAATATCTGGTGAGGAATTTTGTTGTTACATTAGCAATAAAAGGAAGAAAGAAGAAGAGGAAGAAGAGATGCCGGCACATATGTTTAGATATGATAAGCAACTTTAATTCATTGGATTTTAAAACTGAATTCAAACACCACAATTGAATCATAAGCTCATATGCATTAACTCTCCAAAGATGACTTAGAATATCATATGGAACGGCAGCAAATGTCAATAAAATGGAAAAAATGCTTCGCCATAAATAGCGAGAAGCTCTCCTTTATGTTCAAGACATTTTGATCAGCAGCAATTACAAGGCAATGGATTCGCAGATGGTGAGCCGAAATATTTTTATTGGAACGACTTTGGGCAAGGAGGAGTGAAGAGGAAATCACCAATGAAGAGACCATCGCCAGCATCAGTGTCAGCCAAAAAAAAGTTATGGTTACGCCTTGACCGCCCCGGGGACTCCGGTGTAATGTTCACTGATTCAGAGTCTTGTCCATGGCTAGTCAATGACATTGGCAGTGACATTGATGGTCGTTTAGACACTGCTGACTTGTATCACCTATTCATGTGGCCCATAAGTTTATTTGTTTTATGGATCAACATTTTTTTTTAAAGATCTATTCTAGATCTAGACTCTAGATCTACTAGTACTAATTACACCTATCGATATGAAAATGTAGTGCACAACTGAGCAACTGAATTTCCTTTAGACTGGCTGTCCTGCATTGCTGTGTGCATAAGAAGTGCGCATGTGGGGTTGCGAGCATTGTATTTCGGCTTCGGCTGGTGACATGGTCTGGGGCCCCCTGACTGATGCCTTGGGTATGGTCTGGTATCAGGTGGATTGTATCGCTTAGCTTAGTAGGCGGGTTGAGCAGTTGTAGTATTTGTATTTCATTGGCTTCTCCTAGATTCATTGTGTAGGTAGGATAAGATTAAAGATGGAAGAGTCTCACAGTAGAAAGTCTTCTAGAGAGCGACATGCAACCTACTGAAAAGATGGCAGCTCTGCAAAGTGAAGAAGCAGTAAAGATGGAGCGAAAGTTCTTCAAAAACTATGGGGCTCTGAAGACTATCGTCAAGCAAGCAAGGAAGGCAATTAAGGCGGAAAAAGAAGAAGAGGTGATCAAGCAGCATATCGAGGCACTCGAAACTGGAGAAAAGGAATTGGTAACAATGTTTGAAGACTTGAGGAAGCACAAGGCTCCTATAAGAGAAGTTGGGGAAAGAATGGATAGAGCAAATGCGATGGTCAGACATGGCATAAATGCCCATGAGGAAGTTGTAGGGTCACTGGGAAGTCCCTTTGATGCTGAGGACTGCAAGCAGATCGCAAGAGAGCTCTTGAAGCAAGACTATGCCAAGTCAGTCTTCAGCTCATTCTTTAGTGAGGTGGATATATAAGTTTAACAAGTATGCCCAACACGAGGACAAGACCTTTGAAAGATATTATGTCACACTAAGACAATTGGCAGGTAGCTGCGAATATGGCGCCCTAATGGAAGAGTTGATAAGAGACAGGATAGTGTTAGGGATACTAGATGTTTCAGTGAGGAAGTGATTGCTTCAAGAGCCCAATCTGACCCTGCAGGGGTGCCTTGACATTTGTCAGGCTTATGAGTCCTCTAAGACGCAAACACAGTTCTTGCAAGGTGATGCTCCATTTGGGCATCCTTTGTCGCATAAAATACCAGCGCAAGGGGCAAAACAAAGAGAAGAAGCATGGCCACAAATCAGGGTTGCAAAACAACTCGATAGATTGCAAATTTTGTGGAATGAGCAAAGGTGGCACTATACAGCTATATGTTATACATCATATTGTAAGAGTATGTATCACAACAGGTAAGCAAACTGCATAGATTTTGTCAACTTCCACAAAATTCTGTGTTTGTAGAATTGTTATCAAGATTTCTCATTCATATTTTTCTCTGACTACAGAGCTTCAGATGAAAGGTGACAAAATTAAGGTTTTGCCAGGGAGGTCAGTGTTGACATCCAGCCGACCAACATTTCTTTGTGCCATCGGCTCGGGAAGAGGAGAGAAGGAGGGAGGAGCAGGCAGGCCATCGTCCGGTTTGTTTCGTGGAGAAAGCGATACCATCTCCACGATGGACGGTTCCGGTTGAAGGGGAAGGATGGTATGAGAGGGGTTTTTATCAATGAAGACCTCACATCACTAAGATTCTCTGTCTTGATGAGAGCAAAGGAGACCGGCCCCTCCGGTGAAAGGTGTATCAACCAAATACGGAAGCATCGTCTGCAAACTGCAACATGAGGCCTGTTATTAGTCTGTTTAGCTTCAGTCAAACAAAGCAACATGTAATTTGCCTCAAGACCTTACTGGTACCATGAAACAAAAAGAGGAAACGGAGGAATTAACAGACTGTTTCAACTTTTGTGTTTTGCCACACGGTCAGTTCCTTTTATCTTCAGCCTCATGCACTAACTCAATATTATATCGTAACTCTTGTGTAATGTGTGTAAAGTAGTATATGGATCTGTGACTCTACTCTGGACTGTGTATATGCAGTTATTGTATACCTCTACCTCTACTTCTGCATTGCCTTGCCTAGCTGTTCTGTTTCTATTTTGTGATCCAACTATCGACCCCTTACCCGTTGATATTTTGCTGTATTCAACGCAAAAATACCATGGCTGGTCAAGGTCCTCGTAGTGAAGGGCTTTCGCAAGATAGTCTTGATCCAGACTTTTCCAACATGTCTACCATGCTTAAGAAACTGTTTTGCGAGGATGAATTCATCTCTGCCCTGGAGAGGTGCGTGGAGAAGATTCGGAGGAATTAACGGACTGTTTCAACTTTTGTGTTGTGCCATGTGGTCATGATCTTACATGTATCTTCAGCCTCATGCACTAACTCAATATTATATTGTGGCTCTTGTGTAATGTGTGTAAAGTAGTATATGGATCTGTGACTCTACTCTGGACTGTGTGTATGCATTTTATTGTATTTTTTTACCTCTACCTCTACTTCTGCATTGCGTTGCCTGTTTTGTTTCTATTTTGTGATCAAACTATTGACCCGTTACAATTAACTATGGCTGACAAAACAAGATTGGCTGGGGAAAAGGAGACTGCCTCCCTTACCGGTATTCAGGCAGGCATGACTGATATTCCACATGAGAAATTTATGCAGCTGGGGGGTAATTCACTAACAGCTAAAATCGATCCCAAATGAGATAAAATTGCTTTTAGGGACTGGTCCACCAAGGTATTTGGGATCAATGCTAGCATTAAAATATAATTGTAATCTTCATCGAAATGTATGATTCAGTGGATAGGTTTCCAGGGTGTCTGACAGTGAAATTTCATCAGATTCCCAGCAATCCGACATCGAAGACGAAGAGGCGGTTGAAGAACTTGCAGAACTTGCAGAGCTAGCTGATGGAGCCGCAGGTGTAGGGGGTATTGCGCCATATCAATTTGAGCCGCAATTTGAGGAAGGGCAAGCTCAAGAGCCAATTCTGGGGGAGGGAGGTGAAGCGGATGTGGAAAACAGTGATCCGGATCCCTCTTATACAGAGATGCCAACCTCTTGACACAAAATAACAGACTGAGTATCCTAAAAAATCAGATTTTCACGAAAACTCAACACTACCACTGGCCGTCGGCTCCTGGCCAGTAAAATTTCAGAAAATGTTTGCTCTTTCATTAAAATTTAATGAGAAAATTGTAAAGCAAATTTTTGTTAGGGGTTGCGGGTGTTTACTTGTACATGTTTCTATGCGATTCCGCTGTTTTTATGGGTTAAATTTTTTTGTTTTTGTTTTTGTGAACAAAAATTGAAAAATCATATTTTAAGATTTTAAAATCGTATTTCACTCTTATTATCGTACTAAATATGATTTAATCGTACTGGTTGGCATCTCTGCTTATAGCATTGCCTTTTGTGTGTTACCATTAGCAACCATATACATCTGCAATGCTAATGGCAGTGGCTGCCGATCGGCCCCTTGAAAAGAGAAAGCGTGTTTCGAGACCGCACAAACCACTTAGATCTTTTTGACGACACGGATATGCTGAAGAGCTACAGGTTTTCAAGGCACGTTGTTGGTTACATCATTGACCTACTGAAGGAGGACCTAACATAGTTCAGTTCAATAGCTGACGACCCTACAGGTTCAAGGAAAAGGTTTAGCGATCAGGAGATGGATGCCATCGACAAGATTTTCGGACTATGTCTACAAAGAAAAAAGATTCCCAGAATGGCTGAGGTGAGGGATGCTCTCTTTGATCATCCAGAGGCAGCCGAACTCCTCTCCAGAAGAACTCCAAAGCAAGTAATCAATAAATTTAGTCTGTAGGAAGGTAGGAGGCAAGGATCCTTGACCTTAGAGATTTCTGAAGAGAGAAATAAAAAGGAAATCAAGCTGTTGAAGGAAAGCCATGATGGCACAGGTCAACAATTCAGTATGCTGAGAAGGGATGTAAACTCCGAAGAGCAGTATAGCAGGAGAAACTCTCTCAGGTTTTTTGGTATCCCTGAGGTTGAAGGCGTGCCCTCAGATGATGTGATAGTTGATCTAGTCAACACCTCCCTCAGCGTTCACCTTCAGAAGGGGGATATAGACAACATCCAACGGGTGAATTCCGCTGTTAAGCCAAATGGTCCAAGCACAATGATCGTCAAGTTCTTGTCGTTCAAGAAGAGGAACGAGGTCCTCGGGAGTCGACGCAAGCTTGCTGGTACGAGAAAATCAATCAAGGAGGACCTCACTCGCGATAATGCCAAGCTCCTCAAGATGACCCGTGACCATCAACGGGTGAAAGCTGCATGGACACTGGATGGTCGAGTTGCCTTGTTGCCAGCAACCTATGGCAAAGAAATTAAGAAAACCATCTTTTCTGAAGTGGACTTGGCCAGGCTCTAAATTCAACCTTTGACTAATAACTTGATAGCTCTTGCCACATGATACTTATAACATATCTTTTTAACTTACTATATTAGTGGTACTATTTTTTTTAATGAATTGTCTTTTTACTTATCTGCGTAATGTATGCGCAATCATATTTATGATGGTAGGAAAGTTTACAGGAAAGTTTTCTCTCTCTCAAGAGACCCAAGACAGGAGCAAATCTATCTTCTCAACCTGAGGATTATCAAACTGCTCTTCTCCTTCATACAGCGTGTTTCCACAGTAAAAAAGTGGAACACGGATTATCTTTTCCGGAATTGAAATACTGTGTCGCCGTTAAACCAATCTGTTTCCACAGAGCGCAGCATTCCGATTACCCCCGATTCCGTGTTCCAAGTCCAGCAAATACATTGTCAATCGGAAGTCAAGATTCAACCTTTGACCTCGCAACAGATGTAAAATGGCGCCTCGCTCGGAAATTTCACTGCAGCACTTTGGCTGCGTTTATTTTAATGTTTTTGAACACAAGTGTTCAATTTTTGGGCAGTAATAGCAACGACGGGCATTGACAGCCACAAGGAGTTGCATTTCTAGGTTCGTCAGAAATATGCAGACACAGGCACGTATTTTTGCTCGCCAGAGACGACGGTCTAGACTGGTAATGCTTACCACTTTAAACTTACTCTACCACTCTTCACGGATCGTGGATCCAGATCTACACAGGATTCCACCGATCATATGTGGTTCGAACAAATTGTTCTCCCTCAATTTACTGACGTCAATCCCTGTAAGTCAATCCCTTGGCATCATTAAACGAGTATATGACATACATGCATTTCAGGGAGTGATGGAAGAGTCCTACACCACCAAGCTCGAAAAGGATGCAAACCCATTTACCATCTACAGCTCAAGGAGAGTTCCTCTTCCACTCATGGGTAGTGAAAGTAGATGGGTCGATCCGATTTCAAAACCACGATAAATTCAGTGACGCGATCCAACACATACCTGATTCCATTGATGCAACAGATGAATCTACTTATGGGCCAATGCTGTGGGGGGGGGGGTGGTAGTCAATCATGGAAAAGGAAAGGCAACAAATGTTAAAATCTGTCCTGTGGAAGACGGAGGTAGCCATCTCCTAAGTCTATTTGCCTCTAAAGATATCGAAGCAGGGAATGAACTCCTTTATGATTACGGAGTTCCGTTATAATTCGATGAAATGGTGAGCCACGTTCAGGGTTGGATTAAAATATTTTGTTCACTATCGAGGAGATAAAGAAGAAGTGGCATAATTTGACAATAACGATGAAAGAAAAATTCTTCAAAGAGAAAAGACACATTCAGAAAACCAGTGAGAAACTAGTATATCTAATGCAGCAAGTATGGAATGATCTACAAGGAAGCAGTACCCCAGAGTATCTTCGTGATAGACCCCCTCCTTTCATCAAGCATTGCCTGGCCAGCTTGGAGTCATCAATGTCTATTTCTGCTTCAGATGACTCAAAGATATTGCAAGATAATTTTGAGGTGAGCAAAACCTTGTGGACCAACAACAGTCAGATATTTCATTTGACTTGAGTGGGAAAATATCTGATTCATGCAGGCCTGGTGTGATTTAAATCCCTAAGAAGATCCATCTAGTTACAAATGTGTCTTTCCAATTGAACAGCACCAAGACAAAAGCATTGAATCTGAGCTGTATTTCCTCCAGTTGTATGATCTCTTACACTTAGTTTTGCTGTTTTTCATGAATATTACAGGTGAAGACTAGGACAGCAATGGGAGAGCAGGTTTACATTGTCTGCCTGTCTCCTAGACTTCACGGACAGTGCCAAGATTTCCTAAGATCCAAGCTGCCATGCAAACATATCTTTGTTGTGTTGACTCATCAGCGTGTGTCTGCCAGCATCCTTCATCCTCATGTTTTCGAGGGTCACCTAGAGCTGCGTTGTCCGTTGCTGGTTGGGAGGCTGATTCGACATGAGTGTCTGTTTGTTGAATTTGTTATATGTCATGTCAATTAATTTTGTAGGTGTAATTATAGGTGCATTGGTTAACTTTTTCATGAATATTTTTTTGTCATTTGCTTATTTTTTTTGTTATTTATTGTTGTATTAGTGTTGTTTATATATTCAAATTTGTTATGATTGTAAAGCGCATAGAGAAATTTACAATTTATTATGCGCTTCATAAATATTCTCTATTATTATTATTATTATTCTCTATTCAACACACTTGATGATGACATTGACAAATTTGTCAAAGTCTCTTCAGCAGGGGAGAGTGGAGTGGATATCCTGGCCTATGATCCCTCTGATTGCGCAACGAATGACATCTTGTTGCCAATCAGAGGGACACTGCTATAACGACTGGCAGTCTGTTGTCGAGAGAAGATTTCCTTGCTACGAGATCTTACGTACCTGTGCAATGATGGGGAGGCTGTCACTGAAATGTGTAAAAAGCTGCAGACCACGATTGAAACTAGGAGGTTTAAGACCATCATGCTAAAGCCCTAGACTCAAACGACTGGCAGTCCGTTGTCGAGAGAAGATTTGCTTGCTCCGAGATCTAACGTACCTGTGCAATGATGGGGATCAGGCTCTCACTGAAAAGCTGCAGACCATGATTGAAACTAGAAGGCTATCATTGCCAATTGATGAGGGCCCTGTGGTTACACCAAGTATTCCAAAGAGAAACAAAAGAAAGGCCGGAGAGATGACAACTCTTCCGTCGAGACGCAAGAGACAGCGAGGACATGGACCTTTGAAGGTCACAGTCCCCAAGAACCCCAAGAACATTACTGGTACACAGAACACCATCATAGATGGAACTTTTCGTATTCCAAATAGTAGGTCAAAGTCTTGTATTCAAGAGAGGCAAGTTATTTAACTACTGGCATAGCAGCAGTCTCAATGGAGGTTACATAAGACTGTTGTGTGTATGGTCAGGGCTTCTTTACAGAATGAGTAAAACAATTTGCACAAACTTCAATGCCACTATCATATGGTTCGAAAGGTATCATCCAGTGGCTAGTTAATAGATGATAGTGGTATCAAAAGCATTAATGATATCCTATTTGCTTTAATATATGTGGGCCAATGCTGGGGAGGATAGTCAATCATGGAAAAGGAAAGGCAACAAATTTTAAAATCTGTCCTGTGGAAGACGGAGGTATCCATCTCCTATGTCTATTTGTGTCAAAAGATATCGAAACAGGGAATGAACTCCTTTATGAATAAGGTAGTGAAAAGAGATGGGTCGATCCGCATTTGTGGAGATTACAAAACCACCGCTATCCAACACATACCCAATTCCATTGATGCAACAGATGAACTGACTTATGCTGAGGAGGTTAGTCAATCAAAAAGAGCTCTTGTGACGTCATAATATTTCAAGTGAGTCCGCCAACTTTTTTTCTATGGAAATTTGGGAGTTGGGAAAATCGCACGGCAGGAAATTACCTCGGGCATATGCATGCTCTACCACTTTACCAGCTATCTTGATTGATTGACAAGACTGCTCAATTATGAAAGAAAAAATGAATCACAGGAAGGCCAATTTTAGGCATTCAGAGAAGTTACTCCTGGTAGAGGAATTCAAGAGTAGGGAGAGCATTTTGAAGCCAAAATTCGGATTGGGAGTCACAGCGAAGCTGAAGGAGAGGACATGGGAGGCAATCACAGAAAAGATAAATGCCCGAAAACCCATTAGTGAAGAGGATGGTAAAGGAGATAAAGAAGAAATGGCACAATTTGACGATTACAATTAAAGAAAACTTCTTCAAAGAGAAAAGACACATTCAGCAAACCAGTGAGAAACTAGTATAATTAATAGTTTCTATTATGGCTCAGTTGTATTATGGCTCAGTTGTATGATCTCTTACACTTAGTTTTGCTGTTTTTCATGAATATTACAGGTGAAGACTGAGACAGCAATGGGAGAGCAGGTTTACATTGTCTGCCTGTCTCCTAGACTTCACGGACAGTGCCAAGATTTCCTAAGATCCAAGCTGCCATGCAAACATATCTTTGTTGTGTTGACTCATCAGCATCCTTCATCCCCATGTTTTTGAGGGTCACCTAGAGCTGCTTTGTCCGTTGCTGGTTGGGAGGCTGATTCGACATGAGTGTCTGTTTGTTGAATTTGTTATATGTTATGTCAATTAATTTTGTAGCTGTAAATTATAGGTGCATTGGTTAACTTTCTCATGAATATTTTTTTTGTCATTTGCTTATTTTTTTTGTTATGATTGTAAAGCGCATAGAGAAATTTACAATTTATTATGCGCTTCATAAATATTCTCTATTATTATTATTATTATTCTCTATTCAACACACTTGATGATGACATTGACAAATTTGTCAAAGTCTCTTCAGCAGGGGAGACTGGAGTGGATATCCTGGCCTATGATCCCTCTGATTGCGCAACGAATGACATCTTGTTGCCAATCAGAGGGACACTACTATAACGACTGGCAGTCCGTTGTCGAGAGAAGATTTCCTTGCTACGAAATATTACGTACCTGTGCAATGATGGGGAGGCTCTCACTGAAATGTGTAAAAAGCTGCAGACCACGATTGAAACTAGGAGGTTTAAGACCATCATGCTAAAGCCCTAGACTCAAACGACTGGCAGTCCGTTGTCGAGAGAAGATTTGCTTGCTCCGAGATCTAACGTACCTATGCAATGATGGGGATCAGGCTCTCACTGAAAAGCTGCAGACCATGATTGAAACTAGAAGGCTATCATTGCCAATTGATGAGGGCCCTGTGGTTACACCAAGTATTCCAAAGAGAAACAAAAGAAAGGCCGGAGAGATGACAACTCTTCCGTCGAGACGCAAGAGACAGCGAGGACATGGACCTTTGAAGGTCACAGTCCCCAAGAACCCCAAGAACTCCAAGAACACTACCAGTACACAGAACACCATCATAGATGGAACTTTTCGTATTCCAAATAGTAGGTCAAAGTCTTGTTTTAAAGAGAGGCAAGTTATTTAACCACTGGTATAGCAGCAGTCTCAATGGAGGTTACATAAGACTGTTGTGTGTATGGTTAGGGCTTCTTTACAGAATGATTAAAACAATTTGCACAAACTTCAATGCCACTATCATATGGTTCGAAAGGTATCATCCAGTGGCTAGTTAATAGATGATAGTGGTATCAAAAGCATTAATGATACCCAATTTGCTTTAATATATGTGGGCCAATGCTGGGGAGGATAGTCAATCATGGAAAAGGAAAGGCAACAAATGTTAAAATCTGTGATGTGAAAGACGGAGGTATCCATCGCCTATGTCTATTTGCATCAAAAGATATCAAAGCGGGGAATGAACTCCTTTATGATTACGGTAGTGAAAAGAGATGGGTTGATCCACATTTGTGGAGATTACAAAACCACCGCTATCCGACACATACCCAATTCCATTGATGCAACAGATGAACCGACTTATGCTGAGGAGGTAAGTCAATAAAAAAAGAGCTCTTGTGACGTCATAATATTTCAAGTGAGTCTGCCAACTTTTTTTCTATGGAAATTTGGGAGATGGGAAAAATTGTACGGCAGGAAATTACCTGGGGCATATGCATGCTCTACCACTTTTCCAGCTATCTGGATTAATTGACAAGACCGCGCAATGGAAGAAAAAAATGAATCACAGGAAGGCCAATTCACACATTCAGAGAAGTTACTCCTGGTAGAGGAATTTAAGAGAAGGGAGAGCATTTTGAAGCCAAAATTTAGAGTGGGGGTCACAGCGAAGCTGAAGGAGAGGGCATGGGAGGCAATCACAGAAAAGATCAATGCCCAAAACCCATTAGTGAAGAGGACGTTCGAGGAGATGAAGAAGAAGTGGCACAATCTGACAATAACGATGAAAGAAAACTTCTTCAAAGAGAAAAGACACATTCAGGAAACCAGTGAGAAACTAGTATATCTAATGAAGCAAGTATGGAATGATCTACAAGGAAGCAGTACCGGAGTATCTTCATGATAGATGCCCTCCTTTCATCAAGCATTGCCTGGCCCGCTTGGAGTCATCAATGTCTATGTCTCTTTCTGCTTCAGATGTCTCAAAGATATTGCAAGATAATTATGAGGTGAGCAAAACCTTGTCGACCGACAACAGTCAGATATTTCATTTGAGTGGAAAAATATCTGATTCATGGAGGCCTGGTGTGATTTAAATCCCTAAGAAGATCCATCTAGTTACAAATGCGTCTTTCCAATTGAACAGCACCATGACAAAAGCATTGAATCTGAGCTTTTTTTCCTCCAGTTGTATGATCTCTTACACTTAGTTTTGCTGTTTTTCCTGAATATTACAGGTGAAGACTGAGACAGCAATGGGAGAGCAGGTTTACATTGTCTGCCTGTCTCCTAGACTGCACGGACAGTGCCAAGATTTCCTAAGATCCAAGCTGCCATGCAAACATATCTTTGTTGTGTTGACTCATCAGCGTGTGTCTGCCAGCATCCTTCATCCTCAGGTTTTCGAGGGTCAGCTAGAGCTGCTTTGTCCATTGCTGGTTGGGAGGCTGATTCGACATGAGTGTCTGTTTGTTGAATTTGTTATATGCAATGTCAATTAATTTTGTAGGTGTAATTATAGGTGCATTGGTTAACTTTCTCATGAATATTTTTTTTGTCATTTGCTTATTTTTTTGGTTATTTATTGTTGTATTAGTGTTGTTTATATATTCAAATTTGTTATGATTGTAAAGCGCAAAGAGAAATTTACAATTTATTATGCGCTTCATAAATATTCTCTATTATTATTATTATTATTATTATTATTATTATTCTCTATTCAACACACTTGATGATGACATTGACAAATGTGTCAAAGTCTCTTCAGCAGGGGAGACTGGAGTGGATATCCTGGCCTATGATCCCTCTGATTGCGCAACGAATGACATCTTGTTGCCAATCAGAGGGACACTGCTATAACGACTGGCAGTCTGTTGTCGAGAGAAGATTTCCTTGCTACGAGATCTTACGTACCTGTGCAATGATGGGGAGGCTCTCACTGAAATGTGTAAAAAGCTGCAGACCATGATTGAAACTAGGAGGTTTAAGACCATCATGCTAAAGCCCTAGACTCAAACGACTGGCGGTCCGTTGTCGAGAGAAGATTTGCTTGCTCCGAGATCTAACGTACCTATGCAATGATGGGGATCAGGCTCTCACTGAAAAGCTGCAGACCATGATTGAAACTAGAAGGCTATCATTGCCAATTGATGAGGGCCCTGTGGTTACACCAAGTATTCCAAAGAGAAACAAAAGAAAGGCCGGAGAGATGACAACTCTTCCGTCGAGACGCAAGAGACAGCGAGGACATGGACCTTTGAAGGTCACGGTCCCAAAAAACCCCAAGAACTCCAAGAACACTACCGGTACACAGAACACCATCGTAGATGGAACTTTTCGTATTCCAAATAGTAGGTCAAAGTCTTGTATTCAAGAGAGGCAAGTTATTTAACCACTGGCATAGCAGCAGTCTCAATGGAGGTTACATAAGACTGTTGTGTGTATGGTTAGGGCTTCTTTACAGAATGATTAAAACAATTTGCACAAACTTCAATGCCACTATCATATGGTTCGAAAGGTATCATCCAGTGGCTAGTTAATAGATGATAGTGGTATCAAAAGCATTAATGATACCCAATTTGCTTTAATATATGTGGGCCAATGCTGGGGAGGATAGTCAATCATGGAAAAGGAAAGGCAACAAATTTTAAAATCTGTCCTGTGGAAGACGGAGGTATCCATCTCCTATGTCTATTTGTGTCAAAAGATATCGAAGCAGGGAATGAACTCCTTTATGAATACGGTAGTGAAAAGAGATAGGTCGATCCACATTTGTGGAGATTACAAAACCACCGCTATCCAACACATACCCAATTCCATTGATGCAACAGATGAACTGACTTATGCTGAGGAGGTTAGTCAATCAAAAAGAGCTCTTGTGACGTCATAATATTTCAAGTGAGTCCGCCAACTTTTTTTCTATGGAAATTTGGGAGTTGGGAAAATCGCACGGCAGGAAATTACCTCGGGCATATGCATGCTCTACCACTTTACCAGCTATCTCAATTGATTGACAAGACTGCGCAATTATGAAAGAAAAAATGAATCACAGGAAGGCCAATTTTAGGCATTCAGAGAAGTTACTCCTGGTAGAGGAATTCAAGAGTAGGGAGAGCATTTTGAAGCCAAAATTCGGATTGGGAGTCACAGCGAAGCTGAAGGAGAGGACATGGGAGGCAATCACAGAAAAGATAAATGCCCGAAAACCCATTAGTGAAGAGGATGTCGAGGAGATAAAGAAGAAGTGGCATAATTTGACAATAACGATGAAAGAAAACTTCTTCAAAGAGAAAAGACACATTCAGCAAACCAGTGAGAAACTAGTATAATTAATAGTTTCTATTATGGCTCAGATCAAAGACTAAATCTATCTTGATTTTATTTTGTGTAATGAAAGGTTCTGGTATTGTGATAGTGGAAGATCTTTCAAAGAAAAATCTTGATCGCCTAACACGGACACCATGTCATCCTTGCGTCTCGGCATTTGTGTCAAGAGCCTTGTCAAAAACTGAGCAAGACAGAGTGTCTGGCTATAGTGTGAATTAAGATTCCAACAATATATATATCTAAGGAAAGATTATTACAATGGAAAAGCCTCGTACCAATCTTTACTTAATCTTCGCATGGAACACCAAAGAGAGATTGTAAAGAATGCTTCCAAGATCGCATCAGATCCAATATAAACCAGGAAAAGGGAATGGATGTGACATAATGGCTAAGCTTACCTCCCTCAAACAATAAACTAAGTATATATATATATATATATATATATGATACATCAGATTTATTTTCTTTTACTGTGTATTCACACTTGGATTAGGTCAAAAGGACAACAGAACTCTGATCATTTTAATATGCATCTTTTCTAAACATGCATAAAAAGAGAGATGACCTTTGATATGCACAACCTGAGAATAGGTGTGCATTATGATGTATCATGCAATATCAGTTTCATTGAGTGGATTAGCGCTTTGAAACATCAGTAGTAAGTGCTATCTGAACGTTACTATTACTATCATTATCATTTCTAGTTTACTTAAACACCATCACTGCTATATTCCAATAACCATTTGCATGAAAAATTCAAACTTGTACTGGTTCATTGTATGTATCACAAAAGGGAAACAAACCAATTAGATTTTGGGATATTTAGGTCAAGGGACAAATGGACGGACAACCTGAAAACGTAATGCCTCTGGCACAATTTTTAAAAAAAAATTTAAAAATAATAATTGCACTACATTGAGAGAAAAATAATTACAATTGATGTGAAAATATGCATAAACTAACGTTAATATGCATAAACTTGCATGAATATATAAACTTGCATAAAAATGCATAAACTGCATGAAAATGCATAAACTGAATGAATATGCATAAACTTTCATGAATATGCATCTCATGCGTTCTTCCCATCTTCCATATCCGAACAGAGTACTGCACACTCTCCTTGCTCATTTCCTCTTATGGCAACATCCTCAACCATAGATGTGTACTGATCACATCAATGCACATTTTGATTTCACACAATAAATGAGTACTGAATACTACCTTTAGCTCATCGCTTTTTGTGCGTGATCGTGAGTGCACAATATCCCAGCCTTTGGCTGGTCACCTGGCATACCTTCAGTGTTGCTTTGAGAAGCTTCCAACATTCTTTTTAAAGTACTTTTTGTTCAGCTTACTGCACCATGACCAGCCTTTCTCTTCACACCCTTCCCCCTCCCTTTACCCCTTCCCCTTCCCTTACCCCTTCCCTCCTCCTTGCCCCCATCATCACTCCCGTCCTCTGTAGGAATCTTAGGACCACTATCCGGAGGCACCAGGCCGTCGCTGATCTTATAGTAGACTATGGTTGAATCGGAATCAGTGATGGCCAGAGTGATTGCCCTCTTGGCTCGATGCTCTTCTGGGATGACTGCCTTTGAGGGAGTCTTGAAGGAGCTCTGGAGACTGGAATGCTCAGGATCAAGGGTTGTAAGGAAAGTTCTCAAGCTGTAACAACGAGAGGCCAGAGAGAAAATTGAAAATAAAAAGAAGATTAGCATAGCCCCTGGTCCGATATAGGGTTAGGGACTTAGGGTTAGTTGTTTTTTAATGTAATCATGCTGAAAATCTGAGATCTACAAAAAACTGTACTTTCATTCTATTAATTATAAATTTTAAATAGGGTTCAGAATTTTTATCAGATTTTCATTATTTGCCTGATATACAATATAAACAAACTTGTGAAACGGAACACCAATACACAATGCATTTGCATTTGGCAACATTTCACTTTTGACTTAGCCTCATATTTAGGTGTACTGCACAGTCCATGATTACATAATCATTACAAATGGGGCATCATTGTAAAGGGAAATATGTATAAACAGGCTTTTCAATGATAACAACATCAAATATGATAATGTATTAACAGGAGAGAAGTCATCACTTATTTTGAAGGGTATTTGAATTCCTATTTGTGATACTTCTTTACTATCATTACCTAAAACTGCATGGACAAATCTAACTATAATGATGTTCAATTTTGTTCATGTTTTATGGAAAATTACTACAAAATGAAGTTGTATACCGTACATTTACAGGTGTCTCCTAAAAAAGAGATTTTAAAAGTACATGTACAAAAATTGAATTTAGATTCTCCTTCTTGTTGTTGCATTTTTCATTGTTTTATTGTACCTTGATGGTGATAGAGTAGCCTTGGCTTGCAGAGGTAAGACTGCTGTGATGTCATCCTTCTTGAAGGCTCTGCCTGTGATGTAGGCCATGTGTAGAGGCCAACAGGGATGAATCTCCATGTGCCACCAGTTCTTGCCTGTGCAATTAGATGAAATAAGATGAAATAAGATGAAATTATGATAGTCAGGGGTGAAAGTGAGAACTAAAAAAAATATTTTAAAAATTCCCCTCAACCATGCCCCCCTTGAGTAAAAAATAAAAGAGAGGATTCGGGAGGAAGAAAATGTCATCTAACAACATTCCCCCCTCGTGAGTAAGAAAATTGGGAAAAATTGGGAAAAATGGGAAAAAATAAGGGAAAAATGAGGAAAATATGGATAATTACGGGGAAAAAAAAGACAAATAAAAATCAGGAAAAAAAAAATTAAAAAAAAGAAAATCAGGAAACCGATTTATCAGGCCTGGATAGTGTCGGGATCAACACTGACATGCACCTGGGACACATGGGCTTACTTCGAATCATTGGGTCATCGCGTTGGGTTGGGTGGTCGCGTTACCTGACTTTTCGTGAAAAATGCGCCCCTCAGCGTTTTTCAGCTTTTTTAGTCACTACACTGTGGATTTCTCTCCCGGCACCCAAATGGACCACAAGTTACAAGAAAACGTTTTAAGTTGGTACACATCTAGCAACAATAGGAGCAGGAAAATCAGGCCTTATATACAGGGCTCCAGTTTTATACAAAAATGTGATCGATTCAAATCTATCGCAAACCTCAAATCGCAAGTTTGCAGTCTCCTTTCTCTTATGTACATGTACATTGTTGCGATTTATATCAATTGCAAATAAGTTGTGATTAATTTCAACTCTTTATAAGACAGGGCCCTGGTCTAATTCTTCATTGTTATAAGAGAATGAGATATTCATTATTGATTGAAAGAAGAAAAGAAATCCTACCTTCACACAGATCCAAGTAGACCAGAAGTGTTGAAATTATTTGTGACGAGTCTTCAAATCCCCATGACAGCATTTCATGGTACTGTAAAGAAAAATACAACAGTAGAAAGATGAAGAATAATTAACTGTTAAAATTCAAGAGCGTCTAAATAAAGCTAAAGACTAAAATAGTTTTGAAAATAGACGTGTCTTTTTCAATTTGTCTAACTCAATGTGCATAAACCTTTAAGACTATGAACAAGTGACTGAGGCAAGTTGATTTTTATTTAATTGAGGTAAACTTCAATTTCCATAAATGATTTAGTTAGATTTTCTTTTCGACACGTTGGATATTTTACACATTTTCCAAGTGCAAAAGCCAGAGCCAATACCCTCTAGTGATAAAATCAGATTCGGAAAATGGATTAAATTGAACATTACGACTAAATATGAACACATCAACAAATTTCATTGATACTGAAAACGAGCGAGTTACAAATCCATCATCTAACTCTACTTTAAGAAAACTTCATCCCAAGAATTAACTTTACTTATTCTAAGAGATTTAACATGGCAAAGAGAAAGTACGCATGCGCGGTAGCGGCGCAGCAAATAGAAATATTCATGATATAGAGCGCCGTTCGCTTGAAATTGCTGAATATGCAAGAGGTTGAGGAGGGCTTTGTCTCTTTGATTCATGCATATTCAGCAATTTCAAGCGAATGGTGCTCAATGTCATGAATATTCATATTTGCTGCGCCGCTACTGCACATGCTTACTTTCTCTTCACCATGTTGAATCGATGATACAACATGGACAAATCGTCAGGTTAGGACCAAGAATCACCCTTTTTCCCACCGAAGACTTCTTCAAATTAGAATTTCAAGTGGTTGGAAAGATGCCCAGAGAAGTCGAAAAAAATCAGAATTGTCAAAATTCAAAGGTCAAAATTGTCATTTTACCTCTTTACATTGCGAAAAAATGTGACCCAACCCGCTGTTTGAATCATTTTCATAAACAGGCTCTAATAATAATTACCCAGTGTAGCCTCATCAGTATTCATACTGTTCTCCCTGAGGGCCCTGCAATCATATTATTAACCCGGCTTTAACCGAGCTCCCTTTAAAAGGTGCTCAAGCACTCATGGAATTTCTTCCTACCGGGTACCCTTTTACCTCACCTGGGTAGAGTATGGCAAAAGAAGATTGACTCTTGCCAAAAGACATTAGTGCCTCTAACGCACTCCAGCAAAGCATAGACTATAGAGAGTCAATGCTAATGCGTATTGACCTATAGCGCGGCTCTACATGTTACATAGGCAGCAATTGCACACATGAATAGTCAATACACAAATAACACACAAATGCACACAATGATGCTGATGTGGCTGTAGACTAGTACTTTAGTAGACTCACAATTTTAATTTTTGATTTCTTTTTCTAACATCGGTGAGTTGAGTTTTGTACAGTGGTGTTTGAAATGTTGAGAATCAATAGAACAGGTTACACAGCCATCTCCAGCTAGGTCGATAACTGTCTCCGAAACAGTAAAAATTGAAATGAATATTGTCATGCCTCATGCCATCACTCCAGCAAAGCATAGAGAGTCAATGCTAATGCGTATTGACCTCTAGCACTGCATGCTTGCTGTGAGGCGGGTATTATTAGACCCATACACAAATATACACACCACACAATGTCGCATAGACTCTACACAATCATGTTGATGCAGCTGTAAGCAAAGTTTGACACTAGACATACAATTTGAATTTTGAATTTTTTTGAATTTTTTTTAACATCAGTAAGTTAAAAAAAATGTATTTTACTGCTATTTACATGTAGGTGTCATCAATTGTCACTAAAGTACACTGTACCAATTTTGAGTGAAATCAGTTGAGTTTTGTACAGTGGTGTTTGAAATGTTGAGAATCAAAAGCACAGCTTACTACACACTCACAGTTACAGCCAGGATAGTGATGCTCCTATATGTGCTATTTAGGTGTCATCAATTGTCACTAAAGTACCGATTTTGAGTGAAATCAGTTGAGTTTTGTACAGTGGTGTTTGAAATGTTGAGAATCAAAAGCATAGCTTTTACTACACAGCCAGGATAGTGATGCTCCTATCATGGATCACCTGGAATTGCACTCTACTCCAACATTACCAACATGGATTTCGGAAACAACATTCCACCGAGTCGCAGCTTGCCATAACAGTCAAAGAAATAGTGAGGGCTCTGGACCATCACCATCAGATTGACATGCTGATACTCGACTTCTCCAAAGCTTTCGACATGGTACCACATCAGCACTTACTGGGGAAAATAGATCACTACGGCATCTGAGACAACACCAAGAACTGGATAAAGACCTGGCTGACTGCACGGACACAACGAGTAGTTGTTGATGGAGCAGCATCGGAAACCATAGATGTTGAATCAGGGGTGCCGCAGGGGACAGTTTTAGGGCCACTGATGTTCCTACTTTACATCAATGATATTGGAGAGGACATTAGCTCAACCATCAAGCTCTTTGCCGATGATTGCCTCCTGTTCAGAAAGATCGACAAAGATGAGGATGCCCAGGATCTACAGAAAGACCTTCAAAAGCTGCACAAATGGACTGGAAAGTGGCAGATGCTATTCAATGCGAAGAAGTGCTACAGCATAAGAATTCATCGCAAGCAGAAACCCATCATCCTTAACTACACCATGGGAGATGAGGTGCTCGCCGCTGTTTCCAGCCAGTCTTACTTGGGGATGGAGATCCATGAAAAACTTAGCTGGAAACATCACATCAAGGCAGTCGCAGCCAAAGCCAACAGAACACTTGGATTCATTCGAAGAAACCTCAGCCTATGCTCATCTGCCATCAAGAAACAGGCATACACAACACTAGTCAGATCACAACTAGAATATGGGGCAGCTTTATGGGATCCATATCGGCAAAACCAGATAGATAGCCTTGAGAAAGTTCAGAGGAGGGGGATACGCTTCATCACAGGGAATCACAGCCGAGAAGACAGCGTCACGGCTACGCGATTGAACATCGGACTCCCAACTCTACAAGAGCGACGACTGGAATCATGTTTAGCCATGATGTACAAGATCCTCCACCACCAGATAGCCATCCCTCTTCCAGATTACATCTCACAGAAAGACAGAGCTACAAGGAGTCAACATCATCTTCGTTTCACCAGACTTGGTACATCCTCCGATTCTTACAAATACAGCTTCTTTCCTCGCACCATGAAAGACTGGGATGAGCTTCCTACAAATATCATTGAGCTGCCCACATTGAAGCAGTTCAAGGAAGCCATCAGCTGCGAATAGTCACAGCATCATCATTATTTTTATGATTTTTATGATTTTTATCATTTTACTTGCACCATAAACATGTATATATTTCGGCACAAATTCACACAAGCCGTCCACCGTCGGCATAAGATCACCCTTGTCTAGATGCTGAACAGGCTTTGACAAGTAGTAGAATAGAAGTAGAATAGAAGTAGATGTGTGCTGTTTACTCTACTACTATGTGTGATCACACATAGGAGTATCACTATCCTGGCTGTGTAGTAAAAGCTGTGCTTTTGATTCTCAACATTTCAAACACCATTTTACAAAACTCAACTGATTTCACTAAAAATCGGTACTTTAGTGACAATTAAAGACACCTAGAGTAAAGGACCCGGTTTTCGGCCACTTAAGACAAAATCCTATTTTTTGGACTCTTTACTTCCTATTTATTATCATTTCTTGTTCAAATCATGAAGTAAATATTATTATTATTTAAACAAAAAAAGAATCCCAGAAAAAAATCACGAATTGCCATGACAACATTCGTTTCAATTTTCACTGTTTTGGAGCCGGTTATCGGCATAGCGAACCGGTTTTCGGACGCATGTACAAAGTCAATAGGAAGCGCTCGCGCGCGCCGTGCGTTTCCGCGCTGATGTATAGCACAAGCGGGCGGAGCAGGTATCCCACGCCGGAGCTCCCGGGTGCTTGCCTGGTCGAAGACAGGCACAGCGGTGATCGGAAGTTGGAATCTGAATTAGACAGACATATTGTGTGTGCGTGGCGGGGTCCGGCTGCATTGATTTAACACATGCGATGAGATACTTTTGAGCTTGCGACCAACACAAAATCGGGCTCTAAATCTGAAAAATACTTGAAATAAAGCTCATTTTATGGTACCCATATTTCTTACATACACGCGTAAGAAACTCGATTTTCCAGATTTGGGTAGCGGGACCGCCGATTACATCGCTAAAATGTGATATTTTAGGATATATTTTCCATCGCAAATGTGGTTCTTCAGTGACTCTGGCATGGTATGGTATGTGTGGGATATGTGATATGCTATTATGCGATGTATTTTAAAGGTAAAGACCAGTATTGGAAACGACCCAATTTCAAAAAATGAAATGGAAGCTCTCATTATCAATCATGTGAAAGAATATGTTTTGACTAATACATGATGATAAAAAATTAGCCGGGAAACCGCCTACTAATTCATATATTTGGTAAATTTGTTTCTCTCATGGTCTGTGAGAGATATAGGGTAGTCCCATATACATCTTTCTGTGTATAGTGCTTGTAACTTTACGAAGAATGGGCCAAATTTCTTATCATTTTGATGATTCCAGAACCTTGCAGATGCTAGATGCTAGATGATCAACCTTTTCTGATCGATTCAACAACGTTTCTTTCACAATGCAATCGCATGACCATAACTGGTCTTTACCTTTAGAGTCTAAAGGTAGGGTGTCTGAACGATTTTTCAAATTTCAATTTGGGATCGTTTTTCACCATTTTTGTTTGATATTTGAATAAAAAATGTTATCAGAATAATACATTTCAAATTTCAAGTCTCACCGATGTTTCTATCAAAAGTTACAGCCCCTCCAACACGCTGGTATATTCATATCATTTTGGTCAAAATCGTCGAAAAAGACGTCCACGCAGAGTGATGTTGTTTTGCTAAATTTAGCCAAACAGCTGTATCGCGCGATATGCAAGCGTATGCATATCGTACGCATGCTGCTAAGCCAATCCGCGACTTGCAGCTTGAGCTACGCTGTCTCCGCGACATGTGCGATTGACTAGTATGGTTGGCGTTCGTCGCACAATAAACCCGGAAGTGATTGCACGTTATAGTTAATGGCAATATCGCGGAGACAACGCACGTTGTCTCCACGATATTGCCATTGACTATAACGTGTATTCACTTCCGGGTTTATCGAGGGAATTTCCAACCATAATTTCAGTCACTATAATGTGTAATTGAATTTGGGGTTTCGTTCGTGCGCGGAGATGTTACGCGATGTAACCATGGTTTGGACTGAGCGGAGCGCACGCCCCCTAATTAGCTGATCCACCAAATAGCGAGAAGGGTATTTTTAAACTGTTATCAGTTGTGATCCCTGGGGGCTAGCGAAAATATAATCACATAGAATTGTTCCTTAGGACTGGGACTACTTATCGATCGGGGCGTCATATCTCAAAAGTGACAAACCTCAGAGTTAGCCAGGACACAATGTTTAAATTGCTGTTTTGACCAAGATATTTTTAGGATTTCGGGGGCTACGCCCCTTTGGAAATATTGGAATTCACCTGCTCTTTCATATGACACCTCATTCATTGATTATCACCTTCAGGATCACAACTGATAAAGGTTTGAAATTGAATCTCGATTTGAAAAAAAAAAATTGACTTTTTTTGCATGGTCGCGCAATGCACGTAGGCTGCATAGGGATGCGTGTAATCTCTATGGGAAGAATTTTAGCACACAACATCGGGTGCGCGATCAGACACCCTACTAAAGGGATTTTATCATGCATCCAATGGATCGGCCGAAAACTGGAGCTGTCCGATTACCGGCTCCTTTACTCTAAATAGCAGTAAAATACATATTTTTCAACTTACTTAGGTCTACTGATGTTAAAAAGAATAATTTTAAAATTCAAATGGTAGATCTAGACTAGACCTAAGTCTAGTGTCAAACTTTGCTTACAGCTGCATCGACATGATTGTGTACAGTCTATGTGATATTGTGTGGTGTGTATATTTGTGTATAGACTTCTAGGTCCCTGCCTCACAGCATGTATGCAGTGCTAGAGGTCAATACGCACTACCATTGACTCTCTATGCTTTGCTGGAGTGTGTGTGATGAGTATAATATTAATAAGGCACGTGAAATAAAAGGACAACACAAAGAGACACATGTGGGACCGAAACTCTTTTCAACGCAATCCCCAGGCAGGTGATGAAGAGCATTCGCAAGGGGATATTTAGACACGGATCACGTATTTCCTGATATATTTACCTTAGGATGTTCTGAAAACCAAGAGAAGCGGTCAACTGTTACGTCTTCCGTTCCTAAATTTTGACCAGAAGCCATTTCTCTAGGCTTTTTACCTGCTTGTTCGTTGAAATTCGATGGTTTGCGTTCAGACTCGAACAGCGCTAGTCCCTAAGTCTCGTGCGTTACGTACGTACACATACACTTGATCTCGTTTTCTGCGAGATTTCAAGCGATGTAAATTTTATGTTAATTAGCCATACATTTGACCAATCGCAGCTTAATATGATGATGTCATATCAAAAAATTCCCACGACGCAGTAAACACAAGCATGTGGATTTCTAAATTTAGAGAATTGCACCATTGTAGAACTAGGGTACTTGCTCTCCCATGTCGCAATACTTGCAATACAACTTCCCGAATATAGCTCGACATTATTCAAAGCATTCAGTATAAGCAACTGGCGTGCAAGCCAGAGGTATTGTCGGCTTTGCTAGTAAGATAAGTTTTCTTCTCTATCGGATTAGAAACAAAGTAAGCAAAATGGTTGCTGAAGTAGGAGAATCACAGGTGGAATGCTTCCCAAATGTTAATACAGGGAAAGCGCCTGAAAAAGGTCCTGCTGAAAAGCTTACTGCCAAAAGGGCGGCGGTGTTGGCTCGCAAACACTCTAGGAGTCTGACTAAAACTCAGGTAAAACAAAATCTAAAGATAACTGTGCCAGACGATGCTGCAAGCAACAAGGGAAAGAAAAAGAAGAAATTTGTACCAGCTCCGTGGTTATGTGAAGACATGACAGTTGTATTGACAGCGCCCATTCGGTCTGATTTGGACGACGCAATGGCTTTTATTGAAGGGAAAGCACAAGCAGGAAGTGACAGCAGATACTATGATGACTCAGAACCAATTGATAGAGACGAGTTGGAGCTTGCCATGTGGTGTCGCACGAGATTAAAGAAGAACAGGTGTTTAATGCACCAAGTGAAGAACATACCCGGGTTGAACTATGCAACAAAACGCAAATTGGAAGAGAGGATCAGAAAGCATGGGGAAAAGGTTGTGGTTGGGAGTAGCGTTATGTCGCGACTCAAAGCAAAAGATGATGAGGTCACTTGCACTAAGGAGCGACGAAATGACAACACTTCTCGCATGCTCAACCATCATGGCATGCGAAGAAAGAGTGAGTTGGAGCGCATGCTCGACCCCCTTGGCACCCGAGGAAAGGGCCAGTTGGAGCCAAAGAAAGCCGAACAACCAAAGCCAAATTACACACGTACGAAGAGACATAAGGGAGGTCATGGGGGTAATGACCGCAAACGTCGTTGGACTCAAGAACAGAAGGATGAGCGGGTTTACATACCACACGAGTTCGAGCTCGTGACTGAGAACATGGACCATGACGACCCCGAGGAAGTGAACCTGTTGTGTTTCCTGCTCGACTTTCAGCACCGTGACATGACGCCCGAGGACTACGAAATGCTGCTCAGACTCGACGATAAGATCGCACCGAAGACCATAGCAGACGACAAGCTGGCATCCCTACGAACGGAGATCGTGAGCGATGCAGGTACCGACGGACCAGACGAGGGTATCCGATGGGAAGACACTGTGTGTGCTGTCTGCATGGAATCATACGAAAAGGACCAAACAGTGAAGTTCTTGCCATGTGAACACTACTTCCATTCGAACTGTATTGAAATGTGGCTGAATAACAGTGGTAATACATGCCCTCTGGACGGACTTGAAGTATGACCATGGACGAAGGGCGGATCATATCTTGCCCCCTTTTTTGTTGTTGTTATTGTGATGTTATGACAAGCCACTTAAAGTTTCTGGTGAATATGGATACTACAGAACCTTAGGGTATATGGGAAATTCTACCTCCTCTTCCTATATCTAGCGGATAACGAATTGAGATCATGTAAGTGTATTATTTTCGTTCATTATCAACGCATGTATAACTGGATTTGCTGTTAAATTACCATTTGGACAGGACAGATCGATATTGCACCATATGATATTTGGACGAAATGACATTTTACAGATATGATAAATAAAGCTTTCGAAATTAGTAACTCAAAAGTTCATAAAAGCTATGAACTTTTAAGAATGGCAGCACTACGTCAAGTAGTACACTAGAGGCAGAGCTGGATGAGTCGCCCTCGGACTCTGATTCGAAGTCACAGCTAAAGATGAGGTTGGGTTCTGGTAAATCATTAATGTGAACGTAATTTGTGAATTTTCTCGTTCTTTTGACACTGCCACATTGAGAAAGTAAGCTGTTGATTAATTAAGTAAAGTACTGTAAACAGAATTTTCTTACCCACATTTGACTGGTAATTTGTGAACAATAATTGATTATGGTTTCATAATGAAATTGTACTTTTATTGCAGTTGGTTGTAGAAAGAAGTTCATTAACAGTACCACAAAAAAAAACACAGTGGCACTGAGAAAGTATAGTCCCCCTTGAATGACTCCTTTTAGTATAACTTGAATGATATTTAATGAAAATTGTTAATTATAAAGTACTGCGTGCAGAATTTTCGAACCCACGTTTGACTGGTTATTGGTGAACAATAATTGATTATGGTTTCATAATGAAATTGTACTTTTATTGCAGTTGGTTGTAGAAAGAAATTCATTAACAGTACCACAAAAAAAAAACACACAGTGGCACTGAGAAAGTATAGTCCCCCTTGAATGACTCCTTTTAATATAACTTAAATAATATTTAACGAAAATTGTTAATTATAAAGTACTGCGTGCAGAATTTTCGAACCCACGTTTGACTGGTTATTTGTGAACAATAATTGATTATGGTTTCATAATGAAATTGTACCTTTATTGCAGTTGGTTGTGGAAAGAGGTTCATTAACAGTATTACCCCCCCCCCCCTCCCAAAAAAAAAAAAAAATCACACAGTGACACTGAGAAAGTATACTCCCCATTGAATGACTCCTTTTAAAACAACTTGAATAATATTCAATGAAAATTGTTGATATATAACGTACTGTATGCAAAAGTTTCTTACCCACATTTTGACTGGTTATTCGTGAAAGATAATTGATTATGATTTCATTATGAAATTGCACCTTTTATTGCAGTTGGTTGTAGAAAAAAAAAGTTTCATTTTCTCTTTCACAATGCAATGCAGGATGTATTTCTTTTCTGCACGTTCACTTTCATTTAATTTGTTCATGGAGAAGCGAAAAACTTGCCCAAATCATGAGACTGCATTGAAATGTCTTGATTGGTATAATTTCACAAATTGTAATCGCAAATTATGCGCTGCCTTGTACATGAACAAAACATGAAAACAATTGAACAGAGTATTGAAAATTGAACCCTATATAGCTGCATTGTGATAAGAAAAAGAAAATGCATAATTTTGCTTTTTAAACTAACGACTTTCATACAAAATGTATAGAGTTTATGCGTCGGGAGGGGGTTGGGGGGGGGGGCAAAGGAGGACTGACTGTTTTGGTTAATATTGAGTATGTCTTTATAATAATTACACCGAAGCGACTATAACTTACACCCTTAGTTTTCCTTTCTGATGTCATGAACTTGTAGGTGTATCAATTTTACTACTAATAAGATATACAAAACACATTCATAATATGATTTTGAAGTAACAAAAAGACGTTACAGAGCAGTAGGCCTATTTATCACTGGGACTGTCCTTCTTTCTTCGTGATCGAAATGAGTTCTACTTGAATCGGTTTGCGAAAAACTTCTTACCTGTGCAACCAATGACTTTCCAATGTTACGTGACTATCTGTTCTGATGGTAAAGTCTTTAAAAACATTTATTTGCCGATTTTTCTCTTTCTTTTACGCGACTTGTATCTATTCTTCCAGGGCATGTTGTTTCAAAGCCTTTCATACCGTACATCATTCACGTGTGAAATAGTTGGTATCCGTACAAGTTAGGAGAAGCACAACTCGAACAATGCCAGACATAATTGTGTATGTCCTCGATCAATTATAATACTTGTGTTCAATCTATCCATCAACTCACTTAGTATATTTTTTTTATTGAATCATGAAAAAGAGTTCATAAATGAATTATGCTTTCTCAGGTCATCACGGTCGATCATTTGGTTTATGATTCCTAAAGTAAATGAAATGTAGACTCCATCTGAATTATATTTTAAGAACAAAATATGTAAATTTTATTACACACATCTTGAACTTGTGGCGCAAGGGTCTCCGAATGTACATGATTATGTATGTATATTAAAATGTAAAGTATATTTTGTATATTCATAATTTCTCCGTTCTTTTCAGTTGAATATGATTAATAAAAAGTGACTGCGTTCATAACAATGGCGATGACATTAATGCATGAAAATAAGGATGGTAAAAAGAAAAAGGTAAAGGGAGAGAAAGAGAGCGAGGGGAGGGGGTAGAGAGGGAAGATGAGAGAGGGGGGTAGAGAGGGAAGATGAGAGAGAGAGAGAGAGGGTAGTGTGTACTAATTTTTTTTTCTCGTTTTTTGCCCCCGGAAGTTTGAAAATCGTTCCGGCCGTTATTCCCCCCCCCCCTCATGAGCAACAAAAAAATGGTAAATTTCTGGTCACAACTTTTTTTTTTTTACTGATTTTTGGGGGCTTTTTTTTTTTGGTCGGGGGGGGGAACCCCCCCCCCCCCTGGATCCGCGCCTGCTCTTGAAATTTCTTCCTCTGTCACGAACAATATCGCTTGCTCGTGGGGTAGAACCACAGCATTGGAAGCAAATAATCGTTTCCATTCCAAAATTTACCAAAGTTTAACGCTGTGCAAACTGCTATTGTTATTATTATATCATCTTTGTTCGTTTATTCAACTACGTGACATTGACCTCATTATTTTAATAGAACTCAATGAAATTTCCCATGTGGTATTCCCCGGCGATTGGCTCTGGCACAGTGTACTTTGTCTTGTAAAATAGGTTAGAATTCTCTTCATTGTCTACATGCATTATTAACCTTTTAGATCTGTTTCAAATACATAAGTCATGATAAAAAAGTTTGGTTTCGTGCTATTTAGTTAGCTTGTTTGTTTTGTTTTTACTTAAATCGGCTGATTCTCATTTCATTTTATTTTGAACGGATATAATTCGATTGATAACGAATAGGATGGGAGGTAACTGATACAGCTATAAACCTTAATTTTAGTACATCACATGATATACTAATTGAAAGAAATGACAAAGATCAGGATAAACAAAAACGATGAAATATTTCTTTTAAAAAACAACAATGGTTGCGATTACCGCATGGTCCCTGGTTACAGAAAACAGGGTTGACTATTTCGCAACGAGGTAAGGGGGGTAGAGGAATATTGCTTCTCTATGTTGCAACAACTGTTCTAGTTTTTGTCGTTGACAGCAGTGGTTGCGACATAACACAGTACTCACTGCGCTTGCGTACATCCACTGAGCAGCCTACTTTTCCGGTCTTCAAACCACTCCTTTGAACTTTGTTGATTTCGATGATGATTTCAAGGTTTAAATTGAACATGATATGAACCATATTATTTATATTTAGTTGCGTAAGGAGTCTGACATGTCAGACAGCATGATATACATGGAACACAAATAGAATTTGAAAATTCTCTTGATCACGTACTGATAAAAATAAAAGCATAGATTCCGAAAAAGTAGACTACCCTCCTACTTCGTCACTTCCGGACAATTTTGTGCGGGGATTCCCCACTCGACGAAACGAGCCACAGCTAGCTGCTTGCTTGCTGAGCTACAGATATATATAGTCATCAGTGACAGACCACATCTTTTCATTCCAACTGTTGAGCGGCGAGAAGAAAGGAATATGGAAGAGAAAGACGAATTGCGTGGTCACATAGTGCGAATCGACAGAGGTTTTGCAAATATTTCGGTATCAGGTCGGGCCGGGAATGCTCGCCTCGATACGTCGGCTGCTTGCCGTAGCACGGGTTCGTACATTTCCGATCTCCGTGAAATACTGGAAATCAATACTTGGCTTAAGGTTCGAGTTGTTCCAATGTCTGAGGAGGTTCTGTCAAAGATTCCTCAACACTTTCGCAATACGGTGAGGAGAAATTCTCAATGGGAAGTGAAGTTTTTCAGGAAAGACATTGAACCAGCGCCGCAATTAAGTCAGTTCAACGATCCCGAGAGGTATTTTACAGACGTCAGCAGCTTCAGTGGTGTGCCACGAGAGGCTGTCGGCCGGATCATCTCGGCACTACTGCAGATCACAACCATGCTCAACAACATACGACTTCAGAAGCTTCTTCCTCTCGCGAAATCACATTTCAAAGTCAAGGAAATCCCTGAAATCGGCCGTTATTTAGCGACAGAAGGGAATCTGGAAAGATTCATCCTGAATTGTCCTCAATATTTCACGATTTCATTAAGCGTTGTGAAGCGCTGTTGTGGGTTTAGCGAGGAAGTTTTCAATTCAGCCCTTACCAAGAAGACCCTGGAGATACAACTTCCAATGAAGAGAAGACAGACCGCTGCTGCATCTGCTGCTGGTGACCCTGTTGATTTCAAAGGTAACTGATCATTTTTGTTTATTATATATTTTTTTTAATTTACAATAGGAACTAGAAATTTAATTCGTCATGGGGACGAATGAGGTGGTCTGTCTTCAAGTCTTATGATAGATTATAATATTTACTATATTGAGAAAGGGAGAAGTTATATAGACATGTAAACTATGATGATCATCATGATGATCATGATGATGATGATCTAATTGATAGTAATGGGGATGACGATGATGATGATCATCATCATCATGATGATGATGATTATCATCAACAGACCACGATGACATCAGACTGAAAAAAAATGAGAGAACATTTAGATAGTATATAGTCTCAGCTACAACATACTAAAAAATCAACAAAAATCAAGCCGAAATAACGGCGATATTGCTCGCAAAAGACAAGAATGTAGAATCCAGATTTGAGAAAAAGTCATCTCCCATAAGGATTACACTCAAAAAGTAATGGATCAAGTGATAATAGGGTAATAACAAAGTAAATATGGTTGTTTATTACATTATTTGCGATTGTACGTGTTTTAATATTCAAAGGAGTTGGTACAGGGAAACAATCAAAAGTTATATGTATTAATAAAGAACTAAATATATTCAAGATTTGTGTGCTTAGTTTACTTGATTATTGGTTGCCGTTTGGCATTGGAAATGACATTCAGAGAACCCAACTCCTTGAAAGTACAGTAGTGTGTCTAACTTTAAACCCCAAACAAAACTTGACCTAACCTGGTGTTGTGCCTGGTGTTGTTCTAGGTGTTGTTCCAGGTGTTGTAGCTGGCGTTGTCACAGGTGTTGTTCCAGGTGTTGTTCCGGGTGTCGTTCCTGGCGATGTTCCAGGTGTTGTTGCAGGTGTTGTAGCCGGAGTGGTTCCTGGTGTTGTTCCTGGACTTGTTCCTGAGGGAAAAAATCAAAAGTTATAAGTATTAATATAGAACTAAACATATTCAAGATTTGTGCGCTTAGTTTATTTGATTGTTGCTGTTTGACATTAAAAAAGACATTTATACCCGATGAAACACCAAAATGCATTGTTACCTTGGCATCTAGGGTCAAGGAAACCTACATCACAAGCCTCCCATCTTTTCCCAGGATCGGTGGTGTAACACCAAGCAGTCTCATAATCATCCGGGTTTCTGCAATAGTTGTCGTCTAGTCCCGCGTTAGGATAGTTAGCTGGAGTCGTATCGTGTTGATGGGGATCCTGAGACGTCCATTCTTGACAAGTATGACCGTTGATTGTCTGAGATAAGTCTCCTCTGTAGTTCACTCCTGTAGGATCTTCCTGGCATGCAGGTGGGTCTCAAGAAGAAGAAAAAACAAGAGGTTATTCAATTTGGTCCACCCATTTCCCTCGAAAAAGCTTTTATATTTCAACATGTTTTATTCATTTGTCTTTGATTGATTTAAACAAATTATGTATTACAGAAGTCTGTTATTTTTAGTTTCTCTGCACTCTGGATTGCTTTTTATCTTTTTACATATTTTAATTATGTTTAATTCGATGTATATTGCATATTATAACAAGTTTTGTTTATGAAGTGTGGGACGAATTATTCCTCAAAATAGTTTATAATTAAGATAGAAAACAATTTTATGGCGCACCAAAAAGATATTTAGCCGTGACGTCTACATTTAAACACGGATGCGGAGGCCAGGATGCAGTCCATGCGTGGATGGCATCACGGGGAGTAAAACCCAATCCAAAACAAGTTCGAATTAGTAGGTGTTTTAGTAATTCTCTTATTCTAACTTAAATCTAACGATGATAACAACAAGTTAAATTATTATATCTCATCAATTTTCAATATAGGATAAGACAATGAACGGATAATGCCAAAGGGGCCTAATATGAACTGTTATGATAATAATGAAGTTTGGATAGATAGCAAACAGTTTTATAATTATGATATTTTTTGATTCCATGACATTTGCTCCGGCGACAATTGCTCCGCTGTAAATTTCATACACTAATCGAATGGCTAACTTCAACCCTGGATTCAACACTATACCCTACCCTAAACCTAACCCTAAACCTAACATAAAACCCTATTGAAACCCTAACCCTAACCCTACATCTTAGACGAAATAAAGCCCGGAGCAATTGTCGCAGGAGCAAATGTCGTGTCACCTATTTTTTCTCACATCCGGGTTAATGGCGGCTGGGGTATTGATAACAACCTTCATTTAATAACGCCCTGAATAATATCAAGTTATCATCCTGAACACCTAGTGGGGGTATCTGGTATAACACTTATTATCAGACTCAAGGTTTTATAGAAGCATCACTTCTGTAACTAGGCATGATAGTAAGGGATCCCTAAAACGACTTCCCCCAACATGGATTTCCAATCCTTTACATTTAGATATATGTACCGTGGCGCTATGTAGAGTAATAAAGTATCAAGTATCGTGTTTTTTTTTATCACATGCGCATCATATTTCCAACATTTTCTTTTCATGAAGCTTCGTAATTCCGAAAAATTTATCCTGTACCAGAATGTTCATGTATGAGAAAATGGAATTGGGTTAATGATTCAAAATTGTTGCTTTACTCTAAAGGTTCATTGGTCTGAAAATGAAATTGTTCCGAAGCTTAATAATTCTGAAAGTGGGATGGGGGCTCCATTACACCAAATAGAACATGAAGTTACCAATGTTTAGCAACCATTACATCATATTCATAAGCGAGAGAGCTCTCTGTATTTCATTTTTATTTGATTTCGTATATTTGATAATTTTGATAATTAGATTAGGTTGATTTTTTTATATAATTTTATTTCTGCATTTTTCTTAATACAATAACTGAATAACAGTAACAATCACATAGATATATATATATATATAAACGAAACTTAATATTTCTATAATATAATACTAGAAATTTAATTCGTCATGGGGACGAATTAGGTGGTCTGTTTTCAATGTTATGATCATTGAAAAGTCAAAAAAGAAAAAAAATGAAGAAAAAAAATTGTTGGAGACTCCCGGACTCGAACCAGGGATCTCGAGGTCCGAAGTCAAGTGCGTTACCGATATACCAAAACTAACCAAAACATTTCCCATAGCGATTACACGTAAACGGAAAATGAAATTCTCAAAATCCCACTTTGCAAGTGAAATATGAGCATGATCCCGGCATCTGATCGAGAAATAAATTGCACACTTATGATAGCTTATTGTCTCAGCTACAACATACTCAAAGCTCAGCGAAAACAAAGCTAAAACGACGGAGATATTGCTCGCGAAAGACAGGATGTAGAATCCAGTTTTGAGAAAAAGTCATGTCCCATAGAGAATAAACGCAAAATGTGAAAAATTGACATGCCACCTTTAATCGCAAAAATACGCCATGATACCTTTGTCAAAATGAAATATTGTGTTGACTGTGTTTGTAGAGAATCGTCTAAGCTAGATCATATCAAAATTTGGAAGAAAATCGATCAATATTTACAGAGATACAGTCGATTTTCCAGAAATCTACTGACGTCATAATATGCAAATTGAAATTTTGAGTTGGGAGAACATTATGATGACGTCATGAGTTAATTGAGGGTCAAATGAGAAATGAAATCATATCTCCAATTCATACTCTATCAAAATATGGAAACAAAATTGGGTTCACCCTACATCCTTAAGCGCTACAATGGATTTTGTATAGGCATGTTTTTGCCCATGTATGCTATGTATTACAAGAGCTCGCACGCACGGAAATTATCTTAAACGGACGCTCATTCCGTTATTAATGGTCAGAAAAAGGTGAACAAGGTATCAAAATGCTTGACAAAAATGTGCCAAATATGATGACAGAGGAAAATTGGCGATTCAATGTTGTAAAATACCAGTACGCGCGAAAACGCGCGCGCATGCACGTGTTCGCTTTTTTTTTGCAAAATGCTTAAAATGGCCTGAAACGTATGCAAAATTAATTTGATATGATTTTGAGCATTTTGAACATTTTGCGCGCGAGCTGACGCGCGGACGTACGCATGCTCGCGCGCATTTTTTGACCTGAAATTGACCGGACGGATATTGACCTTAATCGTGATAAATATGAATGAGAAATGCTTTTCCGTTATGAAGATATGATCATGAGTAAAAAGTGCCACAAAAAAACACAAAATGGCGGCTGGATGACGTCATGAAGATTTGATGACCTTGAAAATGTTACTGTCACGTCTCATGACAATGACCTATGACTGTGCTAAAATTGAAGGAAATTGATTGAACCGATCTTGAGTTATCCTGTGAACAAAAAAAGGGGTAAAATAAATAAAAATAAAGAAATAATAATAAGAAAGAAAATTCTGACGAAAACAATAGGGGATCTGTCGTTGACAGACCACCTAATAAATTTCTTTAGACAAGGCCCCGTGCTTTATTTCAAAATCTATATTCATTTTATTATGCGTATATACTATATAATAGTGATTTATCTTTCATAATTTTATATACGTTTATGTTTTCCGTCATATAGTTATTAGGACGGCCTTTTTTCATTGATAGAATTGGTTAATATATTTTACCTACTTTAAAAAAATGATTTCCAATCAAACCAATGAAAATTAAGACTGGTACTTGTGTAAAGTTATTATTAAAGGATTGCTCATTTACATGCATCAAAATTCACAATTCGTGATAAAAACAGACTTCTTTACACTGTCACCCATAAAGTCTTATATTTTTTACCACTCGTCGTGAAGTGATTGTGACAATAATCAAGGTCCGTATAAATTGTTCGGGCACACACAAAATACACACTATAATCAAGTATCTAAGAGAGCAAACAACTCTCTCAGACGACAATAATTAACATAAAAATAACAATTATCACTGGATAAAATATCAACGGAGTCGTCTCAAGGGAGTATAAAACTCACCTCGAGGTTAATCTCGCCACGGTCAAAAATGCACAAATATAATGAATCGTACAAAAACACCATTAAACAATCATAAAAAAATCAAGCACAAAAAAGGATCGTTAATATTTCAGCA